AGTAATATTAAAAAATTCACCCCTCGGCCCCTACGGCAAATCTGGGGGTGCTGGTGGGCTAGAAAGATACCAGAGGACCTAATGCAATAATCTAGACTAGTATCAGGGTGCTGCAGTCTCTAATTATTGAGAAAATAATGTTTACATTTGATATTGAAAACGAGGAATATTGAAAAATTCACCCTTCGGCTCCTACGGCAAATCTGGGGGTGCTGATGGGCTAGAAGGATACCAGAGGACCTAATGCAATAATCTAAACTAGTCCCAGGGTGCTGCAGTCTCTAGTTATTGAGAAAATAATATCTAAGTATGCTATTGAAAACGAGGAACCCCTCGGCCCCTACGGCAAGTCTGAGGGTGAGGGTAGACAGGGAACATACTAGAGGGTCTATTCGAATTATCCAGGGTAGTCGCAGATTGCTACAACTTTTGTAGTTTCAGAAAACGATTTTTCAATTGATATGTTCAATACTTGTCTGGTCAACTGTAATTTTATGAATCTGAATCTGGTACAGATCGAATATGAATCTAACTTCAGCCACATACTAATTAGATAAATTCGTAAATTTTTAAAAGCTCGATATCTGGAAAACGGTTAAGTTAAGGTCTATGATGTGTTACATGAATTTTGTTCAGAATTTCGAGATGAACTGAAATATGGAATAATATACAGGGTGTTCCATTAAAGAAAACGTAATTTTGTTTTGTCATAACTTTTTGACTGACCCCGTATACTTAATTTGTCTTTATTGTAATAGATTTTAAAAAACACTAAAACTTTTGTATCTTAACATTTTTCGCTAGCTATCTTACTTAACTGACCGTTTCCATACATATCAGCGACCCTGTATTATGGGATATATTAAGGGATATAAATGTATTATAAACATGTTTCAAATCATACATGAAGGTTTCGGATTGTTTGCACATTTTTGAGAAATAAGTTCGCAATAACAATTTTGTCGGAATCGAAATTTTTTTATCTTTTCAATATTATTGAAAAAAATATATTCTTTTGAATGGTGATGAAAACACAGTTTTTAATAATAATGTTTATGGAAGGAGAAACAGGCGATCTTTTTTCGTCATATTGGAATTAACGGAATTAAGGTTGATGATTAACTATATTAGAAAATCATTCAGTTTTAGTCAAAACAGTAAAGTTTTGTAAAGAGAGAACTCGTTTTTTCATTTCAAAACAAATTATGATGAGGTTAAAATCAAAAAAACTCAAAGTTCAGGTTCAAAAAATTGATAGACACACTGGAAGATTTTTACCATCGGTTTAGCGTATACATAAAGTTGGTGTGTTTCTTATTTGTCTAATCTTATTGTAACGTAGAATATGGATCTTATTCCCAGCATAGGCTATGAGTAATTCACAAACAAGACTTACGAAGAGCAGTAGTTTTGGAAAAACTACTGCTCTTTAATTTTTATATTATGGAAAGCATACATTCTAAAAGAACCTGTCATCCAACGTCTAATACAGAAATCTCTCTGTTTTGTTGAACTCCTCAGCTCTTTTTCTTCAATCTGTCTATAAAAGCGTTATGCTGTTTGCTTGATTGCATTTCCATGTACTGGGACTTTTTTCTGTGCCATCTTCCAATTATATTAGTAGAGCTGTTTCCATTTTTTCCTTGATATGATGACGATTTCGCACCAAAATGTTTTCCTATACAGTTAGGATCTTGTCCAATTGCTATCCAAAATTTTAGCTTTAAATTCTAAAGAAAGATCGCTTTTCTTTTTCTTTTGGTTGCTGACGACTGAAAATACTTCAGTTGTGACTCACTATAAACTGTAAAAAGACTTTGTAACGGAACGTCGAGCTTACCTAGGTTAACCTCTTATAAATGCGCAATACTGAAATAATAAAGAAATACGAAAAAGCTACTTACATTTATCTACTTTTGATGATATTAATTAATAAATCTATAACATTCACAAATTTCACTACGATTTTTCACCGTAAAATATGAACATATACTTTTAATCGATGTCGCAAATTGTACCGCGTGTATGTATCGAGTTCTGGGAGTTTCCCGTTGTATAGGAATATATACAATTGATTTTTAATTTTTGTAATAATTCTTTAGATTGTTATTACATAGTAACAAACGATTTCTACTAATTACTGATTGATTTAACTCTTAAATTAAAACTAAAATATTCTACTTGAACATAATTTATAAATTTAGGATTACGATAAATTAATGGCCAAATTTTAAAAAAACACCACTACTTTATTTATGGGTAATGAAAACGCGACTTTACATTATTACAGAAGTTTTTCTTATAACAACGAAAAGTTACACCATTTTGATTGCGTAATTTTTACTGTGTAACTTATTTTGTTGATATATTATGATATAAGTATTCAATTTTACGTGTAGAATCTAAAAGAGTAATTTTTTATCAACACCTATCGTCGAACAACAAAATTGTTATAGAGATTTTGCTTTTTCTTTTCTATTTATTCTTTTTCTTTCAATCCTGATTTTTTTTTAAATAAATCAAATTTTTTAAGGAGTTCCCTCCCATATGTACGGAACATATCGACAAATGAGTACAGCTGATAGAACGATGTCTCCGGAGTTTGCTAGATATGAACGGCCAACTTCACCATCTCCTGCGTTCATGCACCATGTGGGTAAGTCAACAGTTCCTCAACACTTAGGACAAATTTAGAAAAACAACGCACGACGTCACTTACTCATCCCCATCTATTATTAGTTCACTTCTGTGCTTCATTCGTTAATCACTACATATTTTCATCTCGTTATAAAAAAAAACTATACTATATGAGATGTTAATTAGTGTTCTTTTTTAAATAAGAAACCTAAATAAAGCATATACATTTTTACTTAAAGTCTCATTTTATTGTTGTAATCGTTAATACATGAAATGGTAAATTAAATTCTTCGTTTTTTTTGACGATTATTTTAAGAATGAAAAATTACTTTGTTTCTTTGAAATATTATCGCGTGTTTCTTTTCGATTTTTTTTTTTTTTTGAAACATTTCGCCCAATTCTCCAGAATTATGCATGCGCAAAAATAACACCCGGATCCTCTCTCCCCCCTTTCTATGGATGAGATCGTCCAGAAAATTCGTCGATTTAAAAAAGAAAGTGATTCAAAAGTTTTGGGTATCGCTCAAAAATAGGTCAACAAGGAATGAGTCGAAAAAAAATTTGAGATTCGTTAAATAAACACTTTAGATATCAGACTTTTTATCAATTATATCAATTTTAAAAATAACTAAATTAAATAGTTTTGAAAAAAAAGACTAGGTTTGTGATGTTATGATTTATGAAGTTTAATGTTTTTAATATTAAATTTATAATTATAAAATCGATTTATATCGATATTCAGTTATTGGGGTGTGTAGCAATAAATCGTGAAATAATTGTAATATTGTAGACGGCATCTGGTAAACCTTAATGTTCCTCTCACGTAAATACATAAGTGTTGTTCCGTATGAAATAGCCACCCCGACGATTGTGTACTCTCGTCTCGTCATGGAGTTCGTCGGTATCCAAGAATAGAACGTTTCCCACCTCCAGCCATCGTCGCGATCTAACATTTCTACGCGGGGGACTTGGTTCACTCTTCGCCCGCAATCCGCAAACGACCGACGTCTTGGTTAAACTTACGTTTCGTATATCGGGGACTAAATATTATGACCTGAACAGTTTTTCGCCGACGATACCGTTTTACCAGCCCAAAGAGGCGACAGCGATACGAACTATATCTAAACTCGCGTTTTGATTCCGCTTTTGTGCTACGAATACTTTTTTTGTTCTTTTTGTGTGCTTTTTCCATCACCCCGTGTGATATTTCGACCCCCTATCCCAAGTGCTTGATCAAGTGGTGAGAACGATGAAGAAGCAACAGCAGATTTCGCAACAGCAACAGTACAGCCAGCAAACACAGCAAACACAGCAAACGCAGCAAATGCAGCAACAGCAGACCCAACAGCAAAGGGTCAGCCGAACTGAACAACATGTTACGAGACAGGTCACCAGTCAGCAGACAGGTTAGCATCATTTATCATCATTTCGCTTCAGATACAGTCTCATTACTTTGCATGATGGTCAAAAGAAATTTCGTAAAAATAAGCTGCTGCGGAAATTGCGCAAAAATTATCTGGATGTCATCCAAAAAGATTCTTATATTAATAGCCATCTGTCATCATCGCTATTCCTGCTTTTAAAATTCTCTTTTACGGTGGCTGGAGGATTTGGGTTCATTTCGCTTTAAACCAACTAAAATCTTCTTGTTGAATCGCTTTATGAATATCGATATTATAACCTAAATATTTATCTAAAGAAGTAGTCTCAAAATCATGGATGATTTCCAAATCCAAAATAAATTTGGTTATTTCCATTGATGGTAGGGGTAACGCATGCGTAGTACAACATATTTTATTACACATATATGTATCTTTTTTGGAATTATTTTAATTTATGATGATATTTATGATTTTTGAAATTTATTATCGTTAATTTATGTGCGATAATATGACATAATAATTATGATAAATTCCCATAATTCTATTTTTGAATAAGTAAAAAATAGATCAAATTTCGATTAACCAAAAAGTTTCCAAAAAGAATGAAAAAGAGGTTCACCTTTCCAAAACTGCAAATACCCAGTTACCACGAGATCTGGATGGCGGCGTTACTGCAGCTTCAATCCTATTGGTGGGGTAAAGATAGTTGCTCCAAAAATGGCCCGTGTAACGCGATATGAAGCGAAAATAGGACAGCCTGCGATTCTCTTGGCATCAGCTGCTCGGTGAACGCCTACCCGTGATAAGTCACCGCTTTATTTTACGCGATTTTGACAAATTTTTCTCCTTGGCAATTTATGCCACCTGGAAAGGTGATGAGAATTTGAAAACGATGCCAAGAATTAATAAAAAGGAGTCCCCTTTTGTCCATGAAATGCAATATTTTAATATAAATGAAAGCGTAACTGAAACATTCTTTTATGAAAAAGAATAAAATCTCTTCGTATTGTTTTACAACATCAAATCAATCCATTTCTCCAAGATCAATTTGTATCTAAACAACTCATAGCATTTAATTGAAGTAATTATTAATTTTTAATAAAGATTTATTACGATTAATTTGTTACGATAATGATTCGAAAAGTTTAATAAACAATTAAAAAATTCCATAAAAAATTCTTTTAAAATATTTCTTCTTTATTAAAATTTAATTTAAACGTTTCATTCTTTACGATCTAATACGTATTTTACGGGTATTAGATCGCCACAGCCTTGACAATCTAACGTTACACACTGCTTTATTGCAATTCAATCTCGAGTATCGCCTTACCAACAAAAGCAATCTTCTTTTAATTCTAGTGCAAGGCGGCCAGTACCAAGTTACTGGAGCTCAGCAGATTACTGGATTTGGCCCAAATGCGGCCCCTCCAGTTTTCGAAAAAGTCTTTAGCAACGCTCGCTTTGCCCAGGGCGGAAACGCCCTATTCGAAGGGCGGGTGACCGGAAAACCGATGCCCCAAGTGAGCTGGACCCGCAAAGGAACCACGCTTATCGAATCAACGAAATATAGATTTTCGTATAACAATCAAAATGGGGATATAACCCTCCAAATCAATCAAATCGGACCTGGTGATGAGGGAGAATACGTTTGCACCGCTCGTAACCAATATGGAGAGGCCATCTGCTCCGTGTATATCTCGCCGGAAGGAATGCAAATGCCTCCGACGAGGGATTACCAAAAGAAAACAGTCCAACAAACCACAACCTACACTAACGGTTCTTTCGTTGAAGAATTTAAAGTAGATACTTTCGAATATCGACTGCTGCGTGAGGTTTCTTTTCGGGAGAGTATCACAAGGAGATTTGTCGGTGAAAAGGATATTCAAATGTCAACAACCGTCGAAAGATCCTTAGGACCACCCGCTCCACCTCAAATATCGCAAAAACCTCGCAATTCAAAATTGTTAGAAGGATCAGATGCTGTGTTCACCGCTAAAGTTGGAGCAAATCCACGACCGAGATTGACTTGGTTTAAAAATGGACAAAGAATAACCGAAACAACCACCAAATTCGAGACCACTTACACTAACAATCAAGCAACCCTACGCGTTAAACAAGCTCAGCATGAGGACTCTGGCCACTACACCCTTCTCGCCGAAAACCCGCAAGGATGTGTTGTTTCTTCTGCTTATCTTGCCATTGAGCCCGTGCATACCCAAGAGGGCTTGATCCACGAATCCACCTTTAAATCGACTCAACAAATTGAAGAAGATGAAGAAGGAAAAACTCTGGCACCGAATTTCGTGAGAGTATGTGGTGACAGAGATGTTACCGAAGGAAAAATGACCAGATTCGATTGTCGTGTTACTGGAAGGCCTTACCCGGAAGTAACATGGCTTATAAACGGAAAACAAGTAACCAATGATTCTAATCACAAGATTCTTGTTAACGAATCTGGCAGTCACTCTTTAATGATCACTAAAGTAACCAGAAATCATTCTGGTGTCGTAACCTGCGTAGCTAGAAATAAAACCGGAGAAACATCCTTCCAATGCAACGTGAACGTAATCGAACAAGAACAAGTTGTAGCTCCGAAATTTGTAGAGAGATTTACCACCATGACGGTGAAGGAAGGTGAACCGGTTGTCCTCACAGCCAGAGCAGTTGGAACACCAACTCCAAGGATCACATGGCAGAAGGACGGTGTCCTCATCCAGAGTAGCCCCGATGTTCGCATTATGACTGAAAGTGGAGCATCCACCCTAGATATTTTAAAAGCCAAGGCGTCGGACGCGGCATGGTACCAATGCTCAGCGCAAAACGTAGCTGGCTCCACTGCTACAAGAGCAAGGTTGTTCGTTGAACAACCACAGGGTCCACCACCCGAACCCAGAAGACTTCACCTGCCGCGACCGACCAAAGTTATCGAACCTGAGTAAGATTACAAAATAATATCATATTATTTACACATTTTCCAATATTAATTTTTTTATTAATTTTTTAGACCCGTTCCTGGCCCTGAAGTTATTTATTTACGACATATCGAACCAACAAGACCTTACGAACCCCGCGCAGAAGAGGATCGTGTGTATCCTCCGCCACAATTCATCATTCCATTGCATGACCTCCAACAAATAGAGGGTGGTAAGGTCCACTTTGAGGCCAGGATCGAACCTGTTGGAGATCCCACTATGGTTGTAGAATGGTTCCTTAACGGTGTACCACTACCAGCAAGTAAGAAAATAATTAAAACACCTCGTTTTCTTTTAATTATTTATAAACCTCTAATCTTGTTGTTTTATAGGCTCCCGCGCTACATCAGTTTTTAGATTTGGCTTCATAGCCCTTGACCTCATCAGTTTAATAATGCAAGACAGCGGCGAATATGTCTGTCGTGTAACAAGTTCGACTGGATCGGTGATGTCCAGAGCAATGCTAAGCATCACCCCCAGAGCAACTATTGAGAAAACATCTCAACACCCGGAAAGTCTCCAGTACATCCAACACCTTGAAGATTACACGAAATATGAAAGACATGAAAGTATGGAAGAGAAATCTTCGCAAAAGCCGCACTTCATCCGTCCACTCCAAGACCTTGGGGAACTACAGGAAGGTCGAAATGCTCACTTTGAGGCACAACTAACTCCTGTTAGCGATCCTACGATGAAGGTGGAGTGGTACAAGGATGGACGTCCGATCACAGCCAGCTCGCGTATTACGACCATTTTCAACTTCGGTTACGTCTCTCTAAATATCATGCACCTACGTGCCGAAGATGCCGGGTCGTACACAGTCAGGGCTGTAAACCATCTTGGTGAAGCTATTAGCACAGCAACGATTAAAGTTTTTGCCAGATCAACCGTCACTGGAGACCTAGGAATACCAGAACAACAGAGGTACATCGAAAAAGTTGAGGAACTTGAAGCGTATCAACAATCCCAAATGCATAAGTACATTCAAGAAGCACCAGAAAGTACTTATCCACCTGAATTTAAATCGCCAATCAAAGACCAAATTGGAATTCGCGAAGGTGGGTTTGCGCATTTCGAAGCTCGTCTAGAACCAGTAGGGGATTCTACACTACGAGTAGAATGGCTGAAAGATGGCAAAGCCGTCAAAGCCAGTTCTAGAATTACTTCCTTCTTTAATTTCGGATACGTAGCTTTAACTATCAAGGATGTTACCATTCACGATGTAGGCAATTACATCTGCAGAGCATACAACGCCATGGGTCAAGCTACCACAACAGCTCAATTGAGTGTTATTAGCAAGAAAGATATCGTAATGGACTCTCAACATCCTGGAGGACTTGAGAAAATTCAATTCCTCGAAGACACTACTAGATTTAACCGAATCGAAAAAGATGAAACCCAAGTTAGTCAAAAACCGAAGTTTAGTGGACCTTTAAAAGGTACCAACAAGATTATTGAAGGTCAACGTGCTCATTTTGAGGCACGTGTAGAACCTCAAAGCGATTTAACCATGAAGACCGAATGGTATTGTAATGGAAAACCGATCCAAACCGCCAACAGGATTCAAACTTATCACGATTTTGGATACGTTGCTTTAGATATCTTGAGCGTTCGTGCTGAAGATTCCGGAACGTATACCGTTGTTGCTAGAAATGCTTTGGGTGAAGCCCAACTCACCGCTAATATGGTTGTTGAAAGTAAGTTACTAATTTTTTTATTTCTTAATAAACAATAATTTAAATGTTATTTCTTTTTAGCACGCTCAAGTATTGATACCAGAAGCATGCACCGTGCCGCTTACGACAAAACTCGTGCTCTTGAGGACTCCAAATTCGTTGAACCTCAATATGTTATTGAAGAAATTTCAAAATCGAAACCGATCTTCACCCAACCTTTATCTGATCCACGCCCTGTGAACGAAGGTCGCAACATTCATTTAGAATGTCGATTGGAACCAATGGGCGACCCAACCATGAGAGTTGAATGGTTCTGCAACGGAAAACCTGTCACCGTAGGCTCAAGATTCAGAACTTACAACGATTTTGGCTTTATTGCCTTAGATATCATTCATGCAACTGCTGCTGATACCGGTGAATACACAGTGAGAGCAACTAACCATTTAGGATCAGCTCATACTTCTGCCCAAGTCAGAGTTATTGCCCGATCTGACATCATTACGGATACTCAACATGAACAATCTCTGGAACAAATCCAAATGTTAGAAGGTCGTCAAAAACATGGACCATCTGAAGATATAACTGTTTATGAACCACCTCACTTCACCAGACCGTTACACAACATTGAAACAGTTGAGGGTACAAACATACATATGGAATGCCGTTTACAACCAGTTGGTGATTCAAGCATGAAAGTTGATTGGTTTTGGAATGGTCGCCCAGTAAAAGTTGGTCATAGATTCAGACCAGCTTACGATTTTGATTACGTAGCCCTTGATTTGTTATCTGTATACCCAGTAGATTCTGGCGTTTACACCTGCCAAGCTAGGAATCAACTTGGTGAAGCCGTTACATCCTGCTCTGTAAAAGTTATCCCAAAAAGAGATTTGTATTTTGACACCCAACATCCCGGTGGATTGGAAAAAATTCAACAACTTGAAGATCATTCAAGAGCCTTCAAACGCACCGAGTACATGGAAGAAGTGGTTAATGTGCCACCGAAATTCATTACCAAACCCAAAAGCTTAGAAAATATGCGTGAAGGCCAACATGCTCACTTTGAATGCAAAGTCGAACCGATCACCGATTCAAATTTAAAAGTAGAATGGTTTAAAAATGGTCGTCCAATTACAGTAGGACATAGATTCAGACCAATTCACGATTTCGGATACGTAGCTCTTGACATCATTGATTTAATTGCCGAGGACTCTGGAACCTACACATGCAGAGCTGTTAATTTAGTAGGATCTGACGAAACTACCTGTTCATTAACTTGTTCTAGCTCAACTCAAATTGTCACTCAAACTCAAAATGAACAAGGTCTTCAACAAATTCAACATTTAGAAGATCGCTCACGATACCAACGTCAAGAAGACGTTGAAGAAACTACCAAACAAATTCCAATCTTTACAACTTCTCCAAAGAACATCGAGATTAAGGAAGGACAAAGAGCACATTTCGAATGCCGCCTTATTCCGGTATCTGATGCAACTATGAGAGTTGAATGGTTCCATAATGGACAACCTGTAAAATCTGGCTCCAGATTTTCAGAAACCAATAATTTTGGTTTTGTTGCGCTTGATATTTTGTACGCCTACCCTGAAGATTCTGGTACATATACCTGCCGTGCCACTAACGCCGTAGGCGAAGCTGTAACATCAGCTACTTGTGTTGTTCAAACTAAGAAAGCCATCGTTAGAGAATCTGTCCACGAAGGAGCATTAGAACGTTTGAGAGATTTGGAAGATTCATCCAGATATCAACGTCAAGTTGTACAAGAGGAAACAATTTCTCAAGCTCCTTGCTTCACCCTTCCAATCAAGGATTTAAGAGTTGCTGAAAATCAAGCTGCTCATTTCGAAGCTAGATTAATTCCTGTCGGAGACTCTAGGATGAAAGTAGAATGGCTTAGGAATGGAGTTCAAATTGAAGCATCAAACCGTCTTACCACCATGCATGATTTCGGATATGTTGCTCTTAACATGAAGTATGTTAATCCTGAAGATTCCGGAACTTACACCTGCAGAGCTGTTAATGACATTGGTGAAGCTGTAACATCAGCCACCTTATTCGTACAATCCAAAGCATCATTGCAAATGGAAACTCAGCACGAAGGTGCTCTGCAAAAGTTGCGACAATTAGAAGATTCTACCAAATATCAAAGACGTGAAACTGAAGAAGTTGAAGTCACACAAGCTCCAAGATTCACAACTCATTTGAACGGACCTGCTGAGTTATTTGAAGGACAAAGTGCCCATTATGAATGCAGAATCGAACCATATCCAGACGCCAATTTGAAGGTGGAATGGTTCCATAATGGAAAACCTCTCTCCACTGGACATAGATTCCGTACCGCTTACGACTTTGGATTCGCCAGCCTTGATGTTCTCACCGCATATGGTGAAGATTCAGGTACTTACACCTGCCGTGCTTCCAACCGCATAGGAAAAGCAGAATCATCTGTCGTAACCAACATTAAATCGAAGGCATCCATCATTAAAGAAACACAACACGAAGGTGCTTTGCAAAAGATTCAATATCTTGAAGATGATTCTCGTTATAAACGCACTACTCAAGACGATGTTGTAATTATTGAAAAACCCCAATTCGGTAAAGGTTTAAAACCTGTTGAAAATCTACCGGAAGGAAAAACAATACATCTTGAAGCCACACTTACACCAGTTAATGATCCAACGATGAGAGTTGAATGGTACTGTAATGGTAGACCCATTCCTAGTGGCTCCAGATACAAAACCACCTATGATTTTGGATTTGTCGCATTAGATATCTTACACGCCTATCCTGAAGACAACGGAACATACATGTGCCGTGCTAGAAACGCTGCTGGTGAAGCTGTCACCACAGCAGGAGTTTCTGTTGTTGGAAAATCTGGACTTCAACTTGATACATTAGATGAGCAAAGATTAAGAAAAATTAAGGACTTGGAAGCTTATGAAAGGCCAAAGAGGGAAGAAATCGAACAGCAAATGCAAAAACCTGTCTTCTTAACTCCTCTAATCAACTTAGAAAATTTAAAAGAAGGTGAGCATGCCCATCTTGAATGCCGCGTAGAACCAATCAACGATGCTAACTTGAAGATTGAATGGTTTGTAAATGGAGTTAAATTGAAGACTGGTCACAGATTTAGAACCACTCACGATTTTGGATATGTTGCACTCGATATTCTTTACGCTTATCCAGAAGATAGTGGAACCTATATGTGCAAAGCAACTAATTTAGTAGGTGAAGCAGTAAATACCTGTACCATTAATGTTGGTACTCGCCGTAGTATCATCCTTGACACCCAACATCCAGAAGGATTAGAAAAGATCAGAGAATTAGAAGCTCAGGGTCACCCAGCTCGTTTAGAAGTTGAGGAACCGGCACCGTTTCCACCCAGGTTTATTACTGAGCTTCGTGGAACCACTGAATTATATGAAGGCCAAACGGCTCACTTTGAGGCGCAAATTGAACCGATTCATGATCCTAATTTACGTATTGAATTCTACCATAATGGAAAGCCTTTACAATCTGCTTCAAGATTCCATATCACTTTCGACTTTGGTTACGTTGCCCTTGATATTGGGCACGTTGTGCCAGAAGATGCTGGTGAATACTCAGTTAAAGCTATTAATAACTTGGGACAATGCGTATCGTCCATCAAAATGCGTGTAATAGCGAAAAGCAATATTATTTTGGATTCACAACGCCCTGAAGGTCTGGATAAAATCCGACAATTAGAAGAACACCAACCATACAAGAGACCAGAAATCGACGAACCAGTTACTCGTCAACGACCTGTATTTACTCAACCGTTACAAAATATTGATAACATTAATGAATCCGAAACTGCCCACTTCGAATGCCGCTTAATTCCGGTTGGTGATCCAACTTTGAAAGTGGAATGGTTTAGAAATGAAAAACCACTAGAAGACAGTTCAAGAATCACCAAAGTCCACGACTTTGGATATGTTTCTTTGGATATTGCGCACGTTCGTGATGAAGACCAGGGTGTTTATATGTGCAGAGCTTCTAACCCACTTGGAGAAGCTGTTACGACTGCATCTATGAGAATTAGAAGTAAGTAAAACTCAATTAAGGTTAGAAAATTTTATGAAATATTTATAACTTCACATTTTTTTACTTTTTTAGCCAAAGCCAGCATCCAATTGGATACACAGCATGCAGAAAGCATGCGTAAAATCCAACAACTCGAGCAACCATTAGCACCAAGACCAGAAGAACCTGAAAGAATTTTCGAGAAACCAATCTTCACTCAAGTACTTACCGGACCAACAGAGTTGTGGGAAGGTCAACATGCTCACTTTGAAGCTCGCGTAGTACCAGTTGGTGATCCAAGTTTAAGATTTGAATGGTACTGCAATGGAATAGAGTTAAAGATTGGGTCAAGAATCCGTTCTACTCACGATTTCGGGTTCGTCACATTAGATGTATTGAACACGGTAGTAAATGACTCCGGAGTTTATATGTGCAAGGCTATCAATAAATCTGGAGAAGCTGTGTCTTCAATTTCCATGAAAGTTAAAGCCAAATCAACAATTTCTACTGAAGCTTTACATCCCGATGCATGGGAGAAGATTCAACAGAAAGAAGCTGAAATGAACAAAGTACCAGAAATGTTCATAGATACAACACCACAACAACCACCTGTATTTACTACTCACCTCAAAAGCTACGATACCTTAACTGAAGGACAACACGTCTACCTAGATGCTCAAGTAGAACCAAGAGCTGATCCAAACTTAAGGGTTGAGTGGTTCAAAAACGGAATATCATTAACTACCGGTGCCAGATTAAGAAGCACCTTTGATTTCGGTCTTGTAACTCTTTCCATCAATGGGTTAAGACATGATGACACAGCTATCTACACTTGCAAAGCCACCAATCTTTACGGTGAAGCTATCTCCACTTGCACATTGAAAATTGAAGATAAACATTGGTTGCTCGGGCAAACTTTGCATCCTGATGCAATTCCAAAACTAGAGGCCTTAGAAGCACCTAGATCCGAAGACTCTATTCGTCCTGAACCTACCTACGATGCGCCAGTCTTCGTTAGTCATCTTAATAACGTCGAAAACGTTGAAGGCGATTCAGCTCACTTTGAATGTAACGTAGAGCCATCAAAAGACCCAACTATGAAAATTGAGTGGTTCGTTAATGGAAAACCACTTCCCAGTGGTGCTAGATATAAAAGTACTTACGATTTTGGTTACGTTAGTTTGGATATTAACCATTGTTATGCTGAAGATTCTGGAATATATACATGCAAGGCTACAAACAACAAAGGTACTGCCTCCACTTCTGGAACTCTTCGCACTACCGATAAGACCAAGATTATCTGGGACACTCAACATCCTCAAGGAAAAGCAGGTTTGAGCGCTGTCGAAGAAGTTGATAGTGCTTATGCCAATAAAATGCAGCGCCAACCTTCAGGTCCTGAAAAAGAATATGCTAAACCAGTATGGACAACACCACTTGGTCCTGAATTCAAGATAAGCGAAGGTAAACCATTGCACCTCGAAGGTACCGTAGAACCAAAAGAAGATCCGAACTTAAAGATCGAGTGGTTCTTCAATGGAAAATCCTTGGACCACGCTTCCAGATTTAAACTTACCAGCGATTTTGGTTTTGTAACCTTAGATTTGACAGATGTTTACGATCGTGATCAAGGTATTTACACCTGCAAGGCTTCCAACAAAGCTGGGGAAGCTTATACATCTACCACAATTTATTGCACCACCAAAGCCGGTCTAATCGATCGTACTCAACATCCTAAAGGGCAAGAAGGTCTTGAAAAGATTCAAGATTTGGAAGACGCTCTTAATAGAATCGATCAACCATTACCTGATGTTGATGAAGGTCACGCTCCAGTTTTCACCTCCGAATTTACAGCGCTCACCAATCTGAGCGAAGGTGAAATTGCTCATTTCGAGGCTGGATTAACACCAATCGGTGATCAAACGATGAAAGTTGAGTGGTTCTACAATGGAAAAGCAATCGAAGCTAGTCACAGATTCCGAACTGTTCACGCTTTCGGAATGGTTGTCTTGGAAATCCTTGGTTGTAAAACTGAGGATTCTGGCACTTACACTTGCGTTGCTACCAATGCCTGGGGTAAAGCCGAACAAAGCGTTACATTGGAATGCGTTGAAAAGCTCAAAGGACAACCACCCAAATTTACTACTCACCTCAAGGACATTATTGGTCTTAAAGACGGCCAACCAGCTCACTTTGAATGCACATTAGTTCCAGTCAATGATCCTAAATTAAAAGTGGAATGGTTCCACAATGGTCAACCAATTTTACAATCTACTCGTATCAAGACCGTATCAGACTTTGGTTTTGTTGTGATGGACATCGCGTATACTCAAAATCATGACTCTGGAGAATACGTTTGTAAAGCAAGTAATGAATATGGTGAAGATTACACCAAAGCCACCATCAATGCTTATGGAAGAAGTGGCGTCTTCACTGAGAGTTTACAACCTGACTCTTTGGCCAAAATTAGAGAATTGGAAAGCTATCAAGTCCAACAAACTCAAGCTCAAGTGGAAGTCACCGAACCACCTAAATTTATTACACAAATTGCAGATGTCACTAAATTGGTTGAAGGACAAAGTGCTCACTTTGAAGCCAGACTTACACCAGTCACAGATCCAGATTTGGTTGTGGAATGGTATTACAATGGAAAGAAATTACCTCACGGCCACAGATACAGAACTTTCCACGATTTTGGTATTGTAATCTTAGATATTTTGTATTGTTACGAAGAAAATTCTGGCGTGTACGAGTGTAGAGCTTATAACAAATACGGAGAAGATTCTACAAAAGCAACATTGAAATGTACTTCGAAAGCTAATTTGATTTTGACCTCGCAACTACCGCGGGTAAGTAATAAATCACAATTATATTCAAGGCATATAGTAATAATGTAATTTCTTTCTTATAGGGCATGGAAGGTGGATTAGAAAAGATTCAAACATTAGAAGACTCTATGATTCGCGTACGCGACGAGAAAGAAACAGAAGAAAAAGGCAAAGCACCCGTATTTACTACTCCGTTATCTAACATTGATGACCTTCGTGAAGGTGAAAGTGCTCACTTTGAAGCACGACTTACACCAACAGATGATCCTAAACTTAAAGTCGAATGGTTCTGGAATGGAAAACCATTAAGAACCGGTTCCAGATTCCGCACGTTCTGTGATTTTGGATTCGTTATTTTGGAAATATCGCCAGTTTACCCTGAAGATTCAGGTGAATACTCATGCAGAGCTACGAATGAATATGGAGAAGCCGTAACCGTATCTACAATGAAGGTTCAAGGAAAGCGCAGCATTATTTTGGAATCCCAGCTTCCACAAGGTATGGAAGGCACAATTGATAAAATTGCAGAACTTGAAGGATTGGGTGTTATTCACACTCAAATGTCTCAAGATGAAGATACCGGAAAACCACCAGAATTTATTACAACACCCTCTGATTTATCGCTTTCTGAAAATTCATTGGCTCATTTCGAATGTAGATTACAGCCAGTTAACGATCAAAGCATGCGTGTTGAATGGTTCCATAACGGAAAAGCTTTATGGGCTGGTTCGAGAATCAAAACCATCAATGACTTCGGTTTTGTAATCTTAGAAGTAGCTGGAGTCTATCAAAGAGATTCCGGATTATACACTTGCAAAGCTACTAATAAACATGGAGAAGCAACTGTTTCCTGCAAATTACAAGTGCGCGGCAGACAAGGCATTGTAATGGAGCCACAATTACCAGCTAGTTTCAGAAGCGGAACTGAGAGTATCCAAAGATTGGAAGAAGATCTTTACAAAAGAGAAGAAATTAAAGTTGACGAAGAAGTTCCAAATCCACCTAAATTTACTGTTAATATCAAGGACAACGTTGATGTTCCAGAAGGTGGCCCAATTCATTTCGATTGTAGAGTTGAACCAATTAATGATCCTACCATGCGTATCGAATGGTTCCATAACGGTCGTCCATTCGCAACTGGTTCCAGAGTACACCAATTGAATGATTTCGGCTTTATAGCTCTTGATATCGATTATTCATATACTAGAGATGCTGGGGAATACATTTGCAGAGCTACAAACAAGTGGGGTACAGCCACAACAAAAGCAACTGTAACCACAACAGCAAAACGTAACATCGATTTTGATTCCCAATTACCATCTGGTATGAGTGCTGAAAAATTAAAAGAATTAGAAAAAGGTAAAGTTAGTGAAGCTCCAAAAGAGGAAGAACCTATGAGTCCACCTAAATTTATCACACAAATTGAATCTGCAACAGTTGAAGAAAGCGAATCTGTTCGATTTGAATGCAGAGTCGAACCTAAAAATGATCCAGATCTTCGTATTGAATGGTACAGAAATGGAAAACTATTACCAGCAGGTTCCAGATATCATACTAATTTCGAAATGGGCTACGTCACTTTGGGCATTACATATGTATATCCCGAAGATTCGGGCGAATACGTCTGCAGAGCTTTTAACAAAATGGGAGAAGATTTCACCAAAGCAAGCGTTTCATGCAAAACATTACCGAGCATCATTTTGCAAAACCAAGTACCTAAGGGCATGAAGCGATCCGAAACACTCATGCAAATGGAAGCTGCCATCAAGAAATACACTTCCGAGATTCATTTAACTGAAGAAGATCTTTATGATGCCGAAAAGAAACAACCACCGAGATTTGTTACTCAAATCCAGGATCAAACTGAACTTGTTGAAATGAACTCCGCTAAATTTGAGTGTCAATTAGCTCCTGTTGGCGATCCTAACATGAAAGTTGAATGGTTCTTTAACGGAAAACCATTACCTCACAGTAAGGATAGGTTTTTGGATTTTTATAAGTTGTCTTTAATTTTAATTTAAATTTTCAGAAAATCGTTTCACTCCAATTTATGATTTCGGTTATGTTGCAATGAACTTCGGTTGGGTTTACCCTGAAGACAGCGGCGAATACGTATGCCGCGCCACTAATTTATATGGCATGGATGAAACTAGAGCAATCATCAAAACTGCTGGTAAACCAGGTATAATTTACGAATCTCAATTGCCGAAAGGAATGAAGAGTATTGAAAGAATTAGAGAGATGGAAGCAGCTTGGCAAGTGTAAGTTTTAATCGTTCTATAACCAAGGATATATTTATCTATTTTTTGGGTCCATAGTATTCCAGACGATGCCGAAGAAGAAGCTAAACCAAGATCAGCACCTTTATTCGTCAGCAAACCAGAACCATGTACCGTTGAGGAAGGCGAATGGGCACGATTCTGTTGTCGCGTTACAGGTCATCCTAAACCACGTGTTATGTGGTTGATTAACGGACACACCGTCGTCAATGGATCTAGATATAAATTGACTTACGACGGGATGTATCATTTAGACATCCCAAAAACTAGGCAATACGATACTGGCAAAGTTGAGGTCATTGCCAGAAGTAGCGTGGGAGAAGCAATAGCCGAAACTGAACTGAAGGTTATACCAAGACATGACGATTACAGAAATGTACTTAAAAACTCACCTAGACGTAAGTACACTCCACTTTTATCTACACGCTTATTAGGTAGTATCGCAAAATCTGCCGATAGCTATCTGCCGAATTTTGCTATATTACTTCACTGTGACAAGTATAGACATTAAGTATACTTTACACAATGAATTTGAGCACTCCACGCTTACTTAACACTTATAAATAAACACACTCCATTCCTAAAAACATCCCTATATCCTGGAGCTTCTGATGGATACAACGTTTATGCTTTACTGCGTAAAAAAGGATTTTTGCACCAGGTAGGACTTTTGGTATAGGGTCTGTTATTTTTAATTTGCATGTCAGTGTCCGACGAAGATGTGAATTTTACGTAATGTACTTTTACTATTTCCATCTCTTCCCTTCTTTAACCCATGAATTATTTATGGCATGAGCTGCTTTGAAAATACCCATGACAAAAGGATAGCATTAACATGTTTTATTTCTTAGCGTGGTACGATATCGAACTCCAACAATATCAGAAAGATAGACAAGAAACCGAACTCGAGAAATTCTTCGACGAACGTCATCAAACATTACAGCAAAGCGGACACTCAGCTATGTTCATACATCCAAAACTATTCGAAAGGTCAGAAGCCGATTGGCAAAACAGCGTTAAACAGAGAAAAGGTGAAGAATACTACAACAAACTTCAAGAATTAGAAAATGAACAAGTAACGAGAGAACTTAAATTGAGGGAACAACACCATCAATTTGCTATTCCCGGGGATAAAATCGTAGCTAGCACCATCGCTAAAGGAATGGCTCAAAAATACGAAAATAAATTGTAAGTAAACAATAATTATTATATTAACTAAACTAATTGCCATGATACTTTTTAGGGACCAGAAAGAAGAAGTATCTAATATGTACACTCAACAACTGAAAAGAACCGGACTACGTGAAACAAAGCAACATAGTACTGAATACGAAGTAGACTCTAAAACTGGTGCTTATCCACCTGATCCAGCAGCTTCGGCTGTTCACGGACGTGAGCGTTACGTTACCAAACAAAAGCAAACTCAAAGAGAAACCGTCGGTGACACTGAAATCACAAGAAAAATAACAGCTACTGAAACAACCGACGTCGAACATTCAGGAAGAGCCGAGGAACGATTTGTCCAAGAACAAGTTTTACCGTCGAAACCACCATTCTTTACAAAGAAAATCCAACCTGTTAGGGCATTCGAAAACGAGCCAGCTAAATTTGAAGTAGAGTTCGATGGCGATCCATTACCAACCATCAAATGGTTCAGAGAAGATTTCCCCATAACTAGTTCACCTGATTTGAAAATTTATACCATGAGCATGAAATCTATTTTAACAATGAGACAAGTTTTCGTTGAAGACTCTGGCGTATTCAGTGTAATTGCTGAAAATCGCGGTGGAACTGCGAAATGCAGTGCAAATTTGGTCGTACAAGAACGAAGAAGAGCTGGAAGAACAGGAAATGTTCCTCCTAGCTTTGTGACCACCGCCCAAAACGCTACCGCTAACACCGGCCAATTAGTTAGATTTGACGCCAGAATCAACGGAACCAAACCAATTGATGTCTATTGGTTGAAAGGTGGAAAGAAAATTCTTCCATCAGATATGCGTTACAAAACGTTAGAAGAAGATGAGGTCTATACCTTACTAATTATTGAAGTCGTTCCTGACGATTCAGGTAAATATGAGTGCGTTGCCATCAACAAAGCAGGAGAAGCTCGTTGTGAAGCTGAATGTGTCGTAAATCCACCAGCTTCACCGACAAAAACATCAAAACCAACAACTCCAGGAGCAGAAAAAGCTCCAGCGATTGTAGATGCGCTCAAAAATCAAACTGTCCGTGAAGGCCAAGCTGTTTCATTCAGATGTAAAATCAGTGGAAAGCCAACTCCTATCATCAAATGGCAGAAAGGAGATAAAGTTATTAAACCATCAAAATATTTCCAAATGTTGAAGGATGGTGATACATGCACATTAAAAATTACTGAAGCGTTCCCTGAAGACGAAGGAGTCTACAAATGTGTTGCAACTAACCCAGCTGGCACCATAACTACTCAAGGAACCTTAAAGGTTACAGCCGCCGAAAGTCAAGAGGTACCACCTTCATTAACCAAAATGAAGGATGTTATTGTACCTGAAGGTAGTCCGGCACAATTTAAAACCAGTGTTTCTGGCAAACCACGACCAACGATCCAATGGTTGAGGGATGGATTTTTAATTCCGGAATCACCAGATTTCCAGGTAAGAAAAATTTAATTGCTTTTTTAATTTTTTATTTATAATAATAGAATCTTTATAAAAATAAGAGTAAAATTTATGGACATTTAAATAACATCATAACATCACTGTAATTTATTAAGGATGACAAAAGTAATTTACTTTTCACTTTGTAACTTCCATAAGTTCATGTGCCAATTTAGCGGTGTTAAGTTGTCTTTCATAGTTTTGTGAATAATATTGCCAAAAGTAAGTAATAATTAGTTAAAAAAAATGTTATGGTATGGAGTCTAATTCCTATCGTGCTAAATATAGTATAAGTATGCCAACAGACGAGTAGACAGATTTATGTATCTGCATTATTTTTAAAATTCTAAAGTCATTGACCACTTATATTTAACTTCTCCACACGAAGGTTAAAAATATAATTAAGAAAAAGAGAAACTTTAATTTTCCGTTAGATCAAAAAAAGTCAACAATTTTTCCAAATTTATCGATCCTTCTGTGTATGCTAAAATAATATACAAAGAGGAAGTTTTGTATACAAATCGATAGGAAACATGGCCTATAACCAATGATAAAATAAACATGTGGAATGAGGTCGCGTTAAATTTTTTGAAATTCGTAATTCCAAAAATAAATGAGATGAGCTCACCGCCAAAAAATTTTTTGGAATTGTAAACTTTAGTCGTTTTTTTTTGTTATAGATGATTCATGAAGGCAACAACGCAGTTCTACTGATTTCGAGTACTTATGAGGAGGATTCTGGGTTGTTCACGTGTCGCGCCACATCTTCAGCAGGACAAGTGGAACAATCAGCCAAACTGATCGTCAAAAGTAAGAAATAGACCTTATCTATGCCCCAATGTTATTGTTGTTGCAAGAGAAATGTTATATTTTCCTATGATACATATACATATATTTATTGTTGCCAAAGTTTATAAGGTCGGTCGCCAAACATATTTTCTAGTCTAAAACTAAGCTTGACGCTTTAAATGAAGCATATTCTACTACCACTGGTTGTTATCCCTTTTTTGTATATTAAATATTAATACTATACCCACTTCAAATTCACTTGAAGGGAAGGTATGATGAAATGGTCCAATCTTTACTGTGTTTTCTTGCAAGGGTTCCAAGTGATATTTGATGAAAAAGGAATGAAAAAGGCTTCTGGCTAACAAATTCATTCTCATCATATTGTAGTTTGTATAGTGTTAAACAGAAAATCGTACAAAAAAAGTAAAAAAAAAACGCTGTGCTTTATATTTTATGTTATGTAACTTTTTAGTTAATCAGTAATAAAATGCTATTTATCATTTACTTGTTTTCACATTCACATATTTTCGAAACTAACCTTTTTTTATATAAAATTTTTGAATATTTTTGAAGATTTTTTCAACTAAATTTCCAAACGATTAAGTCCCCATTAAAATACCAAGTTAATTCGACACTCAAAACGATTCGGTTAATAATAACGCGATGAATAAACAATACTTAATTAGGTTTTGGCAAACGTTTCTTCAAATTGATTTTTTTTTACTCATTAAAAAGTTCTTAATGAGTCAGAGGTATAAATAACGCAAATTGTGTTTTGTTTACGAAAAATATTCAACGAACTTTCATCACATTTCTATGAATATCTAGATTATTTTAAGCCCTTTCAATGCAACAATCCGAAATGATCTTAATAATAATATTAAAATGAAGTCACAATTTAAATGCTTTTTGGCAAGATATTAGATATATCAGCACATACTTTGTTGAAGGAATAGATGGAGATGTTTTAGTAATTAAAACATTCAACGTTAAATATTTTTGGGATAAAAAAAATCTAAAACTGAAACTTTCAGGAATTTGAGGATCAATTTATTTTAAATAACTTTTAAATCAATTAAATTAAACAGAATTTTTTCTAATTAATATTTAAATAACAAATTCAGGAAGTTATATAAAGGATTAAATAAAACTCTCAACCATAAAAAGTCTTTATTTTTCCTTAAAGAATACGTCCCCCTTTTCTCCCTTGTGATTGTCGTATGTCGACGTCACGATCTAGATATTCTATTTTCAAACAGAAAAACGAAAAAGCGAGTTGTGAGCGTTTGGTGCCGTGTGCAGCGAGAACTCCTAGAACTAGTATTAGCGTAAACTATTTTGGTTCGGCGTGTGTATTACATTACTGGACCGGCTAAATTTAGCACAGAAGCCGTACCTTATATTCACAAGGATTTTTGCGGAAATTTTTCACACACATCCAGTGAATCACCTGAAGCTGTCCGTCTTATTTTGGAACTGGCTCAAAAAAATCAGACCGATGTAAATCACGAAATTATATTTAAATCTGAAAACAGAGGCACACGGTACCAATGCGTCAACTCTATGAAATGAAACATTATTACGAGTTTTATTAGGCTTTACTTTATTTTCGTCCCCTTATTACAATACAAATTTTATTCTCACTTGGAACCCAACACAGTAACTTAATTAATTTTCTTAAGATAGGATCAAGTCTATTCTGTTCGATAATTGGCCGTTTTAAACGCAGAAAGAATTAATATCCTTTTAGAGTTTAAAACGGCCAAACATTACTTTATCACAATTTGCACCCCAAAATCCACTTTACACCTGCACTTCTCCGAGCTTCAAAGAATACTAAACACAAAATAGACGAACGCTTCCATACTGAAAGGTGAAAATGGTGGGGATATTCAAGCAGTCTGGTGTGAGCAAAAGCTGTGTGACAAATCGACCCAATATGAGCTTTGCCACACGCGTTGGACACGCAATTGTTTGTGTTGTCAGGCGGAGTGTAGCGTACTTCTAAAAATAACTAACCGTCCGTTGACTGAATCACCACATTACACATTTCAGACCAAAGGAGATTCATGATTTAGTATACCCCATAGAAGGAGATTCTATTTGTATTTTACAACTCAATTTTAAAAAAATAAATGGTTACATTTAACGCAATAATTTAAAAAGATTCCATTTAGTGTTTTAATTTATACCTACATCATAACATAACTCATCTACTATTTTGATTGTTAAAAGATTCTCAGTGTCAACGTAATTATTTACTTGGCCATAATGAATACACCTGGTCATACCAATTACGCTTACAAACCACTTGGCAACGACCTTTATTGGCGAAGTTGTGAGCATTTAACGATTTGGGACAATCATTGCCCAAAGTGTTCGAGGGAACAAAAATTTAATTTCAATTTCGTCTTATGCTCAACGCAGATGGCGTCGTTTACTTATCGGGAGTGCTATAAATAATATGGAAAAGCAAGGATATCCTCCGTCTGAAATAACATTCCTGTGTTCCTTGAACACTTTTTTATTTCATTTAATTTAAGAACATAGTTCTATATTTAAAAAATTTGATAGTATGAAGGTCAAGAACAATGCCGTTGCTTTAACACCAATTTCTATAAAATATCATCGATACTTGGATCGGATCCAAAAATTTTTGGCAACCTCCCTAAAGTTTATTACACTTTATTTTTTATGTGTTAAACATTTCCTTTCAGCAAAATTCTTTAAACTTAAACAAAATTTCAGAGCGTCCCGGAAAAGTATATCGTACTCAAGTACCAGATCAAAAAGGGCAACAACAACCTACCTATCCACAAGCACCTTTCGGTGCGAAACAAAGTCCCGGCACAGGCTCTTTCATAGATGGCGTAGGTGCTGGTGATCAACCAATCGATGGGGAAGCACTCCCTATGGGCGATGAAACACTTCCATGGAGAGCGAAAGGCAAACCAAAGCCTAAGGTCCCATGGAGGCAAGCGCCGGTCGGTTTAACTCTTGCAGAACAAGCTCAGCAACCTGAAAGAAAGAAAAGCAAATCGTTAGAACCACAAAAAGCAGAAATAAAACCTTGGACTGAAGAACCAATCGTTCTCAAAAAAGCTGCAATTGAAAAGAAAGAGATCCTTAAGGAAACCATAGAAGAAGTTCAACTAAAACCCTCCAAACCAGAACGAAGGGAAATACCACGTTCTTCAATAGAACATGTCGATTTAAAACACAGGGAAAGAGAAGAATTAGAACGTTTACACCTCGAAGAAATAGAAAAAATGTCAAAAGTGACCAAATCTACAGTTGAAGATAAAACTTTATTGGATGTTAGTGAAACTGAAGAAGTCGATTCAATCACCAAACCTAAACCAGCTGATTGGCGAAAACCACGGTCGAAAAAACCTGAGGAGGTTCAAAAGCCGAAATCAAGGGACACATCGAAAGAGAAACCCGAACCAATTCCATGGACTCAACAAGAAGTTAAATTAAAGAAGACTGAAATTGTAAGAAAAGAAATTCCAAAGGAGACTTTACCTGAAGTTCAACTTCAACCGGTTCAACTCCCAGAAAAGGAAACACCTCGAGAAAGACCAAGAGATCTATCAAAAGATAGACAAGAACCTATTCCATGGACGGAAGAGGAAATTAAACTCAAGAAAACTGAAATTGTAAAGAAAGAAATTCCAAAAGAGACATTACCAGAAGTTCATCTTCAACCGGTTCAAATTCCCGACACAGATAGCCTCGCGGACGAAACAAGAGATAGAGAAGGTCCTATTCCATGGACGGAAGAGGAAATAATATTAAAGAAAACAGATATTGTTAAACAAGAAATTCCTAAAGAAACTATTGAAGAAGTTGAGCTTCAACCTGTACCATTAATTCCCAAACAAGTTCCAAAAGAAGAATTCCCGAAGATAGAATTAAAACCGAAACCGAGAGAAATTATCGAAACTCGCGATCAAAAAATTGAAGAAGTAATCAAGGAAGAGAGAATATCCAAAGACATTAAACAAACAAAAGTAATAACTGAAGATTCTTCGAGACTTACAATTGAAGAAGAAACGAAAGAATCAATTGTGCAAGAAGTTGAAGAAGAAGAACTACCTAAATTCTGGGATTGGAGACAACAACCTAAGGGTGGTAAAGTTACAAGAGAAGATATTGCTCACCTTGAAGGTAAACCATTACAACCTGAAAAAGTAGAGAAAAAGCCGCAAAAAGTTCTACCAAAACCAGAGGAAGCGGTGCCATGGAACCAACAGCCAATTCAATTAAAGAAAACTCCCATTACACCTAAAGAAGCAACAAAAGATACTATTGAAGATGTAGTGTTGAAACCAATTCCTACCCCAACACAAACGATTGAAGATAGAACGATTATTTCAATTAAAGAAACTGCTACAGAAGAACAAAAACAGAGACAAGAAATTGTAGATAGGAAGAAAGTTGAATTCGTTGAAACTCAAGATAGCACAATGCTTCAAGTAAGCGAAAGAATCACTGAAAGGACAGAGATGAAGGAAACTATAGAAAAAGGTTGGCGTAAACCTAGAATGCCGGAGCAACCTGAGACTATTCAACATATTGAAGACCAGACATTAATGGACTTGAAAGAGACGATTGAGGAAGAGAAAAAGAAACCAAAGAAAGTTGTTCCCCAAAAAGATGAACCTGTTCCATGGAATGAACAACCAATTCAATTAAAAAAGACGACTAAAGAAACTAAACAGGTTGTTAAAGAACAAATTGAGGATGTTACACTGAAACCGATTCCCAAAGAAACACCATTTACTGAAGAAATTATTAAACATGAAGTAACAAAGGATATCCAACCTGGGAAGGAGGATAAGCGAGAAATTATTGAAAAGAAGAAGGTGGAATTTACAAAAACCGAAGATAGTACATTTATGAGAGTTGATGAATCTATCACTGAAAGAACCGAGAAATCGGAAGCGATTGAAAAAAGTTGGAGAAAACCTAAGCAACCAATTGAAGAGAAACAACCTATACAACACCTCGAAGACAAAGCGGAATTACAAATACAAGAAACTGTAGATGAAGAAAAACGAAAACCAAAGAAACCTTTGCCGAAAAAGGAAGAACCAATCCCATGGAATCAACAACCCATTACATTGAAGAAAACTCCCAAAGAAATAAAACCTGTAGAAAAAGCAGAAATTGAAGATGTTACATTAAAACCAATACCAAAAGAAGAGAAAGAAATTGGACAACCTAAGCAAATACTCGAGGATAAAACGATTATTAAATTAGATGAAAAAGTTGTCGAGGAAAAAGTTGTAACACAAAAAGAGGAAATTAAAGATTGGCGTAAACCAAAAGAAATAAAACCTCAACCAAAAGAAGAAGTTCCTCTTCAACCACTACAAAAGCAAATATTAGAAGATAAAACAATTCTAAAAGTAGACCAGAAAGTTGTTGAAAAACAAACTGTTGAAGAGAAAATTGTTGAAGAACAAGTTGTTGAAACCAGGGGTTGGAGAAAACCACGTAAACCTGAAGAAGTAACACCAGTTGAAGTTGAAGAACTTCCCAAAGCTCCTGTTGAAGCAAAACCAAAGAAACCGTTGCCTAAAAAGGAGGAACCTATTCCATGGAATCAACAACCTATCCAACTTAAGAAAACACCCAAAGAACCGAAACCTGTTGACAAGGAGGATTTAGAAGAAATCGCTCTAAAGCCAGTTAAGAAAGATGTTGAAGATAAAACGATTCTAAAAGTTGACGAAAAGGTTGTTGAAGAAACTAAGAAGGAAAAAATAGTACAAAAACGGGATGAACAGGAAATAATTCAAGTTGTAAAACAAGATGTTGAGGATAAAACCATTTTGAAAGTAAAAGAAGAAGTGGTTGAAGTAAAAGAAGAAACTCGTGGTTGGAGAAAACCACGTAAACCAGAAGAAGTAACACCAGTTGAAGTTGAAGAACTTCCCAAAGCTCCTGTCGAAGAAAAACCAAAGAAATCGTTACCTAAAAAGGAAGAACCTCTTCCATGGAATCAACAACCTATCCAACTTAAGAAAACACCCAAAGAACCGAAACCTGTTGACAAGGAGGATTTAGAAGAAATCGCTCTAAAGCCAGTTAAGAAAGATGTTGAAGATAAAACGATTCTAAAAGTTGACGAAAAGGTTGTTGAAGAAACTAAGAAGGAAAAAATAGTACAAAAACGGGATGAACAGGAAATAATTCAAGTTGTAAAACAAGATGTTGAGGATAAAACCATTTTGAAAGTAAAAGAAGAAGTGGTTGAAGTAAAAGAAGAAACTCGTGGTTGGAGAAAGCCTAGAAAACCGCAAGAACAACCTAGACAAGATGTTGAAGACAAAATAATTACTAGTGTTGATGAAAAAATTGAAGAAACAATAGATACACGTCAACCATTGCAACCAAAAGAAGAAGTTGTTGAAGAGGTACAACCTGAAATTAAATCTTGGAGAAAACCTAAAAAACCGGAAGATAAGGTGACTGAAGTAATTGATAAGAAACCTGAGGAGGAGAAACCAAAAGTGGTTGAGAAGAAACCCAAGCAGATTCCAACCAAGCAAGAAGAACCACTTCCTTGGACTGAACAAGTTAAACTTAAGAAAGCCAGAAGAGAATCAAAAGAGATACAAAAGGAAACTCTAGAGGAAGTTATTCTTACTCCTATCAGAAAAGATTCGTTAAAAACTACAGAAGAGGTTGTTGAAACGAAGGAATGGAGAAAACCAAAAATTCCAGAAGAAAAAGCGCCAGAGGAGAAAATACCAGAAGATAAGCCACGTAAAATAGAGGAAAAACCACAACCTAAACCCGAACAGCCCGAAAAAGTACAACCTAAAGAAAAAGTAGCAATACCAGAGAAAGTAAAACCGGAAGAAAAAGTTGAAGAAATTGAAGAAGGAAAATTACCTTGGCAACAAGCAAGGTTGAAACCTACCAAAAAAGATGTGAAAGAAACAGAAAAGACAGAAATAGATGTAAGTTTGAAACCGGTTAAAAAGACTACAGTTGAAGAACAAATAGAAGTCGTCGAAGATATTGTGCAACCTGTTAAACCTAAAGATGAAGTACGCCCTTGGCGTAAAGAAAAGAAGGTTGTAACAGAGGAAATTGTCGAAGAAAAAATTATCGAAGAAACCAAACCAACGAAAAAAGTTGAAGAAAAGATTATTGAAGAAAAGATTGTTGAAGAAATTATTCAACCAGAAAAACCCAAAGATGAAACTAGATCATGGCGTAGACAAAAGAAAGTCGTGGAGGAAGTTGTAGAAGAAAAGAAGGTGGAAGAAATTAAACCAGAAGAACAACCTAAAGAAATTATAGAGGATAAATTACCTTGGCAACAAGCGAAATTAAAACCAACAAAGAAACCGACGAAGGAAGTTGAAGAGACAAAGATTGAGGTTGAATTGAAACCAATTAAACGTGAGGATAAACCTGTTGAACGAGTAGATATTCTGGAAGAAACAGTAACCGAGGTTGAAGATACTGTTATACTTAAAGTCGATGAAAAGCCAAAAATAACTGAAGAAATAACGACAGAAACTAAGAAGCGTAAAAAAATCAAAACGCATGTAGAGGAAGATAAAGCTGTAGCGGAAGAAGAAATAATCGAAGAAGAAGAGGTTGAGAAACCTGTACCTGCTGAAATACCTATTGAAAAAGAAAGACCTACCGAAGAAGAAATAAAAGAACTTCCGGAGAAACCGGTTGAGAAAAAACCAAAGAGAATACCAATCAAACCAATAGAACAAAAGGAAGATTTTACAGCTATTCAATTAAAACCAGCAAAGAAAGTTCAAAAACCTGTCGAAGAAGAAGTGGTTGAAACGGTAGATCTTAAACCAATCCCCGAAAAAGAAATAGTTCATGAAGAGGAGGTAGTTAAAAAAGACAAGAAACCGAAAAAACCAAAAGAAGAAATTCCAAAAGCGCCTGAAGAATTGGAACAATACACTCCTGAGAAATTGGAGATAATTGAAGTTGAAAAACCAGAAAAGAAACCTGAGGAGGTACAACCAGCAGCACCTTGGCGACGACAGCCTAAAGAAAAACCAGAAGAAAAGATTGATGAAGCTCCAAAGTTAATAATCGGAAAAGGTAAAATACCAGAAGAACAAAAAGTTGTTGAGGAAGTAAAACTTAAACCAATTCCGAAAGATAAGAAACCGGTTGCTGAGAAAGAAATTCCTGAAGAAAAGCCTTTGAAGAAACCAGAAGTGAAGCCTTTCGATGTAGAACGTGAGGAAGTTACACTGAAACCGTATGAAAAACCAAAACCACAAGAAATTCCACAAGAGCAGAAAGTTGAAGAAAAAGTTCCTCTTCCGGAGAAACCTCTTGAAAAAGTAGAGGAGGAAAAACCTTCTACGCCATGGCAAAGAACACCTAAAGAGAAACCCGTAGAAGTACTTGAAGAAAAAGCTTGGCCAAGAGGAAAGAGGAAGCCAAAAGTTCCGGAGGAGCAAGAAAAAGTTGTATTGAAACCGATTCCTAAGAAACCTGATGAGAAACCGGAAGAAGTAATCGAAGATAAATTTAAAGCTCCAATAAAAGACATTCCGTCCGACGAAAAACCAGAAGAAGTTCCTTGGAGGAAGCCAAAAGCTCCCCAAAAAGAACTTGTTCCTGAGAAAGTTGAAGAGGTTCCTGTTAAACCCAAAGAAGAACAACAAATTAAATCGACCGCTGAAATGGTTTTGAAAAAAGAAGTGGTAGAAGAAGTCATCAAAGAAGTTATTGAAGAAGTACCTCAAGAAGAAGAGAAGGACGTGGTATTTAAGAAAGAGATGAAAGTTGATATTGTGTCAAAGAAAACCAAAGCTGAAACACATAAGAAAGTCGTCCAATTCGATGATGATCGTCCATTGCCAGAATTGGAAATAATTTCGCAAAAGAGAGTTACGGAGGGTCTCGATAAAGTTGCTCAAGATGAAGTTGTAGAAGAAGTAAAAGTTCGAGAAGATAAAGTGGTTCGAAAATCGATTATCGATAAAACGGTTGCTGAACTTCATGCAAAACCGACCAAACCTAAACCACCAAGGTTTGTTAAAAGAGTTGAGCCTGTTGCCGCCGAAAAAGATAAACCGACGAGATTAGTTTGTAAAGTGGAAGGTACACCATTCCCTGAAGTAAAATGGTATAAAAATGAAGTGTTGTTACAACCAAGTGAGAGAGTCAAGACAATTGTTACCGAGGATCAAGTAATATTGGAATTTGCGACAGTGCAGCCCCAAGATGTTGCTATTTATTCATGCAAAGCCACAAACCCAGCAGGAGTGGCCACGTCAACTGCAAATCTCGTCATTCTAGGTACTAGGCGTTCCGTGTGTCTAAAACTGCTCACGGCTGCAGTTTTATTGTGTTTCTTTTGTCCGGCTGTTTACAATTAGGCTTGCTGCCAAAAATAAAGAGTCAGTAGCCCCAGAAACTTACTCGCTCGCTTCACTTAATCCCAGCCGCAACATGTCTGTTATTTTTCGCTCTTTTGGTACAATTTTTGGCGTTTTTAATCAACTAACAATCGATTTAATAGTTTCATTATATCGCTATAACACCATTATAACACTTTTATTTTACAGAAAAAGAAGAAAGTGGAATTGCTCCACACTTCACCCAACCTCTTAAGCCTCAAATCATAGAAGAGAAGAAAATCGCAAAACTCGAATGCGTTGTTGTTGGAAAACCAACTCCCATGGTGAAATGGTTTAAACAAGATAAAGAAATTAAACCTGATAGTGCGAAGAAAATCACGTATAACCCGGAAACCGGGGTAGCAACTCTCGAGCTTCTCCAACCTACACCTGAAGATGAAACCATCTTCAGAGTACAAGCGGATAATAAATTCGGCAAAGCGGAATGCAGAGCGAATTTAATCATTTCAAAATCAGTTCAAGTAACTCAACCGGTAGTAATGCAAGCTCCTAAAATCACAAGAGCAGTTCCAGCTGTAGTTACTACTCCGAATAAAGATATTGTTCTTGAAGCCGAATTTGAAGGAACCCCAACTCCTGAAGTTAAATGGTTCAGGAATAACACTCCTATAAAACCTGGTAAAGACTATGTGGTCACCACTCAAGGCACCAAAACAAAATTAACCATCAGCAAACAAACACCGCAGAAACCTGGTAAATATGAAGTAAGAGCCGTTAATCCTAAAGGTGAAGCAAGATCTTCCGGTTCTGTATCGGTAACTCAAGATAAAGAACTTCTACAAACTAAAGCACCTAGATTTATCGAACCCATTCAACCTAAATTGGTTGCACCGGGTGAAGTTGTTATTTTAGAATCGATCGTCGAAGCACAACCAACGGCTTCTTTCACGTGGTATATTCACAATACTCCAATTAAAACATCACCAGATGTTAGAATTACCACGATTGAAAACAAATCAATTTTATATTTAGGCGACGTTAAACCTGAATATACGGGATCAATAACTTGTAGAGCGGAAAACGTTGCTGGCTCAGTAACCTGTACTGCTAATCTAGAAGTAACCGAACACGTAGAATGGGAAGAAACAACAGAATTGGAATATCCTAGATTTGTAAAACAACTATCACCAGTTAGAGTAATGGACGGTGAAAAAGTCACTTTTACTTGCAAAGTTACTGGAAAGCCAATTCCAAAAACTGAGTGGTTCCACAACGGTCAACCAGTTCAAGAAGCTAAAGACGTCGTTGTTTATCAAGACACGGAAGGAGTGTGCATGTTATCAATAAACGAAGTATTTCCTGAAAACGCTGGCGAGTATATCTGTCAAGCTGTTAATAGAGTTGGAGAAGCAATCTGCAAATCGTCCCTCGTTGTTGAAGGTTTGTATGATTTATAACAAACACAACACTTAAGATAGTTACGTAAACATCTTTAAAGTTTAAAAATAACTTTAAGGTCAAGATGCGGATAAATACGTAACTCATTACTTTTTTTACAGCTTACGAATACATACAGGATTCTGAAATTGGAATCATGACCGGGCCTAGTGGTTCCGAAGAAGATTTATTAGGAGATAAGGTAACCATAAAATATTGGAAATCGTTTTATGATTACGAACCAGAATGTTACTAAATTTAAAAATTTTGCAAAAATAAAGAACCCAAACAAATAAACCAAATAAATAAAAACTGAGTGTTTTTTTTTATTTTTCGCAGACCTTGAGCGAAATTGACTTCTTCTCAGACAGCGATGTAGAATGCGCGCCTAAAATTACTAAAAAACTACCCGAGATCATCTCAACCAAAGATGGAGATGTTACTAGGTTTGCTTTTACAAACAACACATTGTAAAAATAACTTTTTATTACTTGTTTTTTGTTTTCCCCTCAGATTGGAAGTAAAAGCCGTTGGCAAACCAATGCCAAAAGGCAGGTGGTTAAAACATGGCGAAGAAATTTTACCATCAAACGAATTTATGATCGAAAATTATGAAGACGGCACCTCGGTGTTAACAATATCAGAAGTCTACCCTGATGACACAGGGGAAATTATTTATGAAGCTCAAAATCCACTAGGAGTAGCAGTTACGACAACTGAATTAGTAGTCGAAACAGTCGAAGGTACTTCATATGAAGAGGCTTCAAATACTAATGATTTTTTAATTTGCAGCTTTTCCTTTAACCTAATATATCAACAAAATACATATTCACACCATATTTACACTAATAACTAAATATGAAAATTGTTTTGACAATCTACTATTTAATGTTTAATGTGTAGGTATCATTGGAACGAAGGAGTACAGAAAACCAGAATGGGTCACACATATGGAAGAATTACAAGCTGCTTTAAAAGGTAATAGTGATAATGTTGAATCTCCATGCATGAGTGTGCACAGTTCAGACGGTCTTTCCTTGGACAGTTTAGAAGTGTCAAATTCAAAACTTCCACAGCGTAAGTCTTTAGAAACGAACTTCGCACATCCAAACATATCAACGCAATCAATTAATTCATCAACCGCTTCCGTTAAAAGCGAACCAATCGCTAAATCTACAAATAGATTGAGTTTTATTAAATCGGCAATGGACGAATATCTTAATTCACATCGGCACTCTCTAAGTTCCGTGATCGAACTGCTCGATTCGTCGCCGAAAGAAAATGTTACCGATGAGGTGGAATTAGATTTGAATCAATTATCACTTATGTTGGAGCAGTGTGGTAGTCTTCCAGAAGAACCTAGGCGATACTCTCAAGATGCGTATTTCACTTTGTCCCCCATTGAAGAAAATTCTGAACCATCTACAACAAGTAGTCGAGATACAACATTAAAATACAATCAGGTTTATTCAAGTTCTTTTGACCCAATTCCATCTGAACCAGAATATTCTGATTATCCAGAGAAGTACCAAACTTTTCCGAGGTCTAAAAGTGCCGATAAAAATCAAGGGATCAATAAAAATTATTATTATGATACTACAATGTATCCATTAGAACCTAGAGAATTAGATCCGAGTGCTTTTAATCAATTACATACAGCTGATAGTCAAGAGGAATTACAAGAATTTTTGCTATTAGAAAGCGAATGTATGAGTGATAAAGGAAAAGGTTTAGCAGCCGCATTTTTATCATCAGATGATGAGAAAGATGATGACACAGAGAAAAGGAGAGGTATTTAGACAAACTAAAATTTGCGTTGTTATTTTTACTAATCCTGCATGATTTGTGTTTATATTATTTAGGTCAATGACATAATTTATTCCATAGTAACATAAGGTTAGTAATTAAAAAAATTATTTAGCTTTATAATTAATAATTGTGTTTTGATCTTTTATAGCCGCCCACAGCGTACCAACTTTCGTTAAGGAAATCACTAATGTTCATACTAATGAGGAAGAAGTTGTAGAATTTGAAGCTCTGTTCTCTGGAACGCCAACTCCAGGTAAATTTAAATCTAAAAAGTTATTTAAAATACTAATTTAAATCATTCAACAGATATTATTTGGTATCATAATGATAAAATCATTCGTAATACCGAAAAAGTAAAAATAAAAATTCACGATAACAAAACAACATGTACAATAACTGGAGTTGAAGTGCATCACGCTGGAACTTACGTCTGCAAAGCCATCAGCGATATCGGTTTGGCTGTCACCAAAGGAAAACTTTTCGTTAAAGAAATACCCGAAGAAACGAAAAAAGAAATAAGATTAAAGAGGGCACAAGAAGTTGCGGAAAAAGTGAAAAAAGAACGCGTAACCATCGAGAAGAAACGAGAAGAAAGAAAGAAGAAACGAGGATCGATGACGATGGAGCCCGAACTTGCACCTGTAGACGTAAGCGAAGTTCAATCAGTTGAAAAAGTCGAAGAAATTCCCGAGCAACCGAAAGAAGAAGAAAAAGCTCAACCGATCATCACGCCACAAGAACCTCTGTCCACCGAAGCCATCGCCAGTTGCAAAAAGATTGATCAAGTCGAAGAAGACATCGTTCCAATCATTGAGGAGAAAGCCGAAAAGATTATTCCATCACAAGAAGCGTTAGAAATCGCTGAAATTCAACCTGAAGCTGAAGTAAAAGACCTTAAAGAAAAGAAACCGAAGACGAAAAAGGCAAAACCGGAAACGCAAGAACAAGTATCCGAAGAAGTTTCCATAACCGAAGTAAAATTAGAAGAGGTTATGAAAAGGGTTGAAGAAATCATCATTTCAGAAGAAATCAGAATGGCAAAAGAAGTTTCTGAAGTACTCGATTTTATTAGGGTTAAAGAATTTGGCCCTGGAGAAAATCCATTAAGAGAACTTGCAGAAATTGGGTATTTGGTTAGAAATGGAATAACAGTCAAAGAGATCAATGTGCTTTATCACGAAGAAGATAAATTTCCTCATCTCAAAACACCAACAGCACAATCGGCGATGGTTAATGTAGTCGAAAGGAAAGGATTATCTGCATTAATTACCGAAGTTATGACCGCAGAAACTACAATTGACGAAAAAGTCCTTGCTGAAACTCTAGGATTTAGAGCTTTCATGAAGATGATCGAACTTAAACACGCCACCGTTGAAGAAGTTATCACTCAATTCGTTCCTGACGACTTTATCCAAAAAGTTTGGGAAACAACAGATGTGACAGAGGTAAAAAAATCTTTTTTTGCAACTCATTCAAAAATAAAAAATAAATTAAATTTGTATTATAGGAAACACTGAAAGGGGTTACCGAAACCGTCCGCATCACTGAAAAGACTGAAGTATTTATTGGTGAGTTGATAATGAGTGTTTTAACGTTTGTTACTTCGTCTGTTGTTAGTTTAATTAAGTTGTGTGCCATATATTTAAGTTATAATAACATAAATAACCAAAGTTTTGTATACATTAATAATAAAAATAAAGTATTTTTATTGCTGCAATTTTAATAAATCCTTCCATAAAGCAAAGCTTTTGTGTGTTATAAAAATTTATCTCAAATCATTTCTGAAAAAAAATTAAATTTTCAGACACAACGAAGAAAACCAAGAAGGTCAAAATACTAGATGAAAAACATGGTAAGTTCGATGTTTGTTTTTATAGTAGTGAAAAGGTTTTGATTTACGCGAGATACCGAAAAGTTAATATTGTTGTTAAAATTGGAAAACATATCTATTTAGTTTATTATCATTTCATTTCAGCTATTTTGGTAAGATTAGTAATTTTAATGGTTAGATTCAAAGTTTTAGTTATAATATAAATTGTAAATAAACAATATCTAACAAACTAATACGTTTATATAATATTATATATGTTATTTGCAAAATCCGAATTTGTAGTGAATAAGTTAACAAAATCATGATGGTTTTGACTGTGAATTTTGACTTATTTTAAAATTATTAACTTCAAAAGCTTATAATTGACTGATTTTTGGTACTTTTCCACACCACCTTTTAAAATTGTTCTATTACAATTGGTATCCCAACACATTATATTCTTGTATCTATTTTTTAAATATTAAGATTTCCTCAAAATATTAAGTTAGTTTTACCCTTTACTCCGTAAATTTTGTTATTAAATGACGTAGAAATGCTCAAATTCTTTGTAGTGTAAGAATCAAAACTATTAGTTTAATGAACCAAATTGTTTGACAAATGGATATTTTGCTCATCATTCTTTTTCTCTCATTCTTCGCAGAACTGATTATGAAATTAATTTTTCAAAACAACAATTAATTAGAAAACCTTCAAATTGTTTGACAATTGTTATATGTACATGTTGATAAGCGATGGATTATGACTCATGGTCCAACAAAATCTGTTCTAGAATACTATCATTTTCTTTCAGCATCCTTCTTGTCATCTCAGTCTCCGTTTGGTCTCTTTCTGCTCTCTTTTCCTTTTCTATACCTCTTCTATAACTAATCTCCTTTTAATCCGTTTCTTCTATAACCAGTCTAGTTCCTTTAGTTCTAGTTTCAACATCAATGTATGACACTGCTTAAATGAATGATTGATCAAATTAATGAATCAACTAAATAGTTTTTTCATTTAAGTTGATTATTAAATACTTTAGTATAATCTTCAATAACGTACTTACTTCTAGATACTCTGTCCTTGTCAATTACAGTCTACATCTTCATATGAAACCAATTGGGTTTTTTACCAGTACGTTCATAAAACAGTCTACAATGTAATTTTCTTTTTATATATCAGAGCATTTTTACGTATTCTGAAATATGAACTGGCGCATATATTGATAATCAGTTATAATCATATTTATTCCGTTGAGAATAACTCTTGATGACAAGTCCAGTCTTGCATTTGATTGCTTCATCCTCTTCATTCTTCTATAATATAAATACTCATTTACACGATCTTGGAGTTTCATGTTCATGTTCAAATCGACGTTTAAAGCATATGCTGCAGAATCATCTAATATTTAGGTCTTCTCGCTTTAGGTTTTTCTTTCTGTTCTGACTTCTTGAATGTTGATGTAAATTTCTTATTCTAAATGTAGCGTATTCCATGTAGCATCGAACATTTTCTGTGACAAAATGTTACTTGTAAACTTACACATTTTTTTATGTATTGCAGTCATTATAAATATAGTACATTAAGTAACTTATTTTTGATAATATCAAATTAATGCTTTAACATTGTTGACCATTAATTTATTTAGGTTTTAAAAACAAATTTCCTTATTTCCAATATAAATATTGATATATCTTTGTAATTTGCGAAAATAAGTCAAAAATGTGCTATGAAGAAAATAAATGAGTAAAAAAAACTATTTTGACTATTGTCAAATCCAGTTTTTTTACAAGCAGTACTTCTATCGGTATCTTTTGGAATAATTGTTTTTGGAGAAATGTTTTGCTTAATATTACCAATTATGTATCTCTTGTCAGTTTTCAGTAAAACTGGGCCAATTATTTGAGCCTAACAGCCAAAATTGACATAAAGCCAGTTTTGTGAATGTGGGCTACCTAATTAATAAATTGTATTCCACTTATTAGTACACGGTTATTGCTTTTTTGTGTCTCAAATCCAAATTCAACAGGACATCTCAAACGAGTATTCTTTTAATGAAATTACTATTATTTACATTCCTCACGCTTCTTACTATCTGAATCCTCTTGTTTATCAAGGTGATCCGAATCTTCTTCCTCAGTGAAGACATCTTCTTGGTCTTCTTCTATCAAAAATTGATTTACCGCGGTCTCTAGTTCCTTAACTGTTGTAGTGACCGTATAACATGAAAAAATATACCTGTGTGACTTAGCAAGCTTTAAATTATCACTCGAAAGACACTGGTGTCAAGCTGACCCCACCAATACTTCAATACGTTATACTCGCACTACCAGTGAATGTTTTGTCTCCTTGTAAACATTAGGTATATTTCAACATGTTATCTCGAATTTACACGAAAGGACTCGATAATCAAAGATCCCTTGTAACAGTACCTCTCAGTTATGGAATGGCTAGGGTCTGGAGGTCCCGATGGTGCCCTCGGAAAGTTAAGAGACTATTTAGTGTCATAAACAATTTTCTTTCATTTTACCGAACTTTAAGCACTAACCTCAAAATTATAGTAGGTTGCAAGCTGTTGATGATGATATAAAGGAAGTCCACAAGAAGTTTAGTTCGTGAAATATTCAAAAATTCAATATCTCGCTAACTGAACTGTTTGCTGTCTTTTATTTTATACGAGGATAAACTTCTTGCAAAACTTTATCAAATTAGTATAATTTTGTAGTTAGTACGTGAACTTTAGAAAAATCTTAAATGTTACGTTTTGCTAAATTTTAGATTACAACAAACTCTATTAAATAACTTATCCATAGTGCTTATTATGACATATGAAGTGAAAAATTAATAACACTCCAGTATAAAAGATATATGTATTAATGTTTGAGACACTACTTCACTATTAGTGCTTTTAGTTCTTTTGAGCTCCATGTAGATTACTTCCTTTTTAATCATTATCATTTACTCCATCTCTTACTTCTCCTGATACCCAAGGTATATGAATATCAATTGAATTATATTTCTTTTGGATTCACGTATTGAGAAAGCTTAGACGGTTTCGGATATTGCGAAAAATATATATATCTGTATATGTTTAACAGCACGTTCGAAAATTCACAATAAATCATTATTGGTAACTTTTTGTATGATTACTGTTAATGTTACCCTTTAAAAGGATAACAATTAACTATTATATATACGTCAACTATATATATACGTCATATAAAATATACATATAAAAACATGGAATTAAATTAATATATAATACACAATTAATTCTTTCTAACGTTACCATCTCCCATCCTCTTTAATATCATTTATTTTATTCTTTTTTTCGCTAACAATTAAAGTTTAATAAAAATAAAAGTTTTAATACACATATTTCAATAATTTTAGTCAATAAGTAAAATTCAACAACAAAAGTTACCAATAATAATAATCATTTAGTTTTAAGTAGTAATGTATAAAAGCAATGTTTTCCAAAGTTAAAACAACAAATTGGTTTTTATAAAATCATCTTTCGGTATCTTAATATAAAGATTTTTGTGATAAATTTTTTTATTATTTTTTCACACTTTGTATACGATTTCCAATCACGCGAATTCTTAACAATTTCTTAATAACCGCTTTGCTTAAAATGCAGCTCTAACGCTATAAAATATTATTTGCTGATTATTTTATTATTTCGCGTAAGTTTAACAGTGCTTTTTAGTGATTTATTTAGTGCTTCATACTGCTGCTTTTTTTTGGCGAAGGTGAGTCGTTTTAGTCTTGTGTTTTTGTGCTGTTAAAGAGATTGATCAATATACATATTCATGTATATACCTACATTCTTTCATTACTCTTAATTCAACTCAAAACTCACATAGTATATATACTTAAACTGATAACTCTTCAATAAAATAAATAAAAAAACTACCACTTGCCGCCACTAGTCTTACAGCCCCCCGCCCCTTAATTTTTCTTTAAACTCCATTTCTGGCGTTATAACGCTTCACACCGTGCCTCTAATACACTATCTTATGATCGCGCTATCGTAGTTCGCATCAAAGTTACTATTAAGTGTAAATATTTCGTGAAAAACACAAAGTAGCAAAAACAATTCATACACTTTCACAGAACTGATCGCAGTCGAAGAGGACACTGAAAAACCCCTAGCTACCATTAAACCCGTCGAGCAATCTGTAACTATAACCGAATTGAAACCAGAAGAAGTTACGGAAGTAAGTAAAAAGGTTGTTAAAAAGACAAGAAAAATTAAACGCGTTAAGAAACCCCAAACCCCATTTGAAAAAGAAATTATCGAAGACGTTGTTGAAGAGTTTATTGAAGAACAGCCAGAAGAAGCCCCGAAAGAAACTGAAATTCCAAAGAAGAAAAAAATTAAGAAGGTTACCACCACAACCTCCGATAAAGGTGAAGTAACACAAACCGAAGAATTCGTAGATGAAGAAGGACCAGAACAAGTTGAAGAAGGTGTCGAAATTATTGAGGAACAGCCAATAGTAACAGTCGAAGATACAACACAAAAAATAATTAAAAAACGTATTAAAAAAATTAAAAAACCAGGTAAAAAAGTCGAAGAAATTGAAGAAATCATCGAAGAAATAATTGAAGAAGAAAAACCAAAAGAAATAAAACCAAAAGAGATAAAATCAATTGAAGAAATAAAACCAATCGAAGAAATCAAAGCAGAGAAACCCAAGAAGAAGAAAATAAGAAAAGTACGGCGTAAAAATGATAAAGGAGAAGTTGTTGAAACTGAAGAAATTATTGACGATAAAGGACCAATTGAAGAACAACCTGAAAAATATGTTCAAATTATTGAGGAAAAACCTATAGTGACAGTTGATGAAACTAAACAAACAACAATCGTAAAGAAAATTAAAAAAATACGCAAGCCCGGAAGAAAAGAAGAAACAGAAGAAATTATAGAAATAATTGAGGAAGAAATTCCAGAAGAAAAGAAACCTATTGAGGAAGAAAAACCTAAAAAACCAAGAAGATCACGATGGGGACGAGAAGAGGTTGAGGAAATAGTTGAAACAAAAATCATTGAGGAAGTTAAGAAACCAGAAGAAATTAAACCTGAAGAAGAAAAGCCTAAGAAACCCAAAAAGTCTCGTTGGGGACGGGAAGAGGTTGAGGAAATAGTTGAAACGAAAATTGTTGAAGAAGTTAAGAAACCAGAAGAAATACCTGAAGAAGAAAAGCCTAAGAAACCCAAAAAGTCTCGTTGGGGACGGGAAGAGGTTGAGGAAATAGTTGAAACGAAAATTGTTGAGGAAGTTAAGAAACCAGAGGAAATTAAACCTGAAGAAGAAAAGCCTAAAAAACCCCGAAAATCACGTTGGGGACGTGAAGAGCTTGAGGAAATAGTTGAAACGAAAATTGTTGAAGAAGTTAAGAAACCAGAGGAAATTAAACCTGAAGAAGAAAAACCTAAGAAACCCAAAAAGTCTCGTTGGGGACGGGAAGAGGTTGAGGAAATAGTTGAAACAAAAATTGTTGAGGAAGTTAAGAAACCAGAGGAAATTAAACCGATTGAAGTTATAAAAGAAATTATAGAAATACCTGAAGAAATTATCGAAGAAAAGAAAGTGCGTAGGAAGAGAATTAAAAAGATTAAACGTAAAGATGATAAAGGTGTTGAAACAGAAGAGATAGTTGAAGATGAAGGACCAACACCCATTGAAGAGAAACCTGAAGAAGGTGTTGAAATTATTGAGGAAAAGCCTGTTGTGACTGTTGAGGAAAATAAACAAACAACAATAATAAAAAAGACAAAGAAAATAAGGAAACCAGGTAAAAAGGAAGTTGTAGAGGAAATTATCGAAATTATAGAAGAAGAAAAACCTGTCGAAGAAAAGAAACCTGTCGAAGAAGAAAAACCAAAGAAACCTCAAAAATCCCGTTGGAGACGCGATGAAGTAGAAGAAGTTGTTGAAACAAAAATAATCGAGGAGATTATAAAAGACGAAGAAAAACCAAAAGTAATAGAAAAAGTAACACAGGATATTAAAGAATCTGTAATTGTAAAGAAAACAGTTAAAAAGGTAAAACGTCGTGGTGATAAAGGAGAAATTATTGAAACTGAAGAAATAGTTGAAGAAGAAAAACCTGAAGTTGTTCAACCTGAAGAAGGCGTGCAAATCACAGAAATAGTTGAGGAAATTCCTGAATTTAAACCTATACAAGTCAAACCTATTGAACAAATCGAAGAGTTTAAACAAACTGTTGATAAAGTCGAAGATATAAAAACGATAAGAAAGAAAGTAAAGAAAGTTAGACGCCTTGGAAATAAAGGCGAAATGATTGAAACGGAAGAGATTGTAGAAGAAGAAAAACCAACAGTAACAGAAGAAAAACTTGAAATAACCGAATTAATTGAAGAACTTCCAGAAGAAAAACCTGAAAAGATTAAACCATTAGAATTAATCGAAGAAATAAAACCTATTGAGAAAGTAGAAGAAACAATTACTACAGCAGTGACAAAAAAGGTAAGAAAAGTTAAAAAGCGTGGTGATAAAGGCGAAATCATTGAAACCGAAGAAGTTATCGAAGAAGAAGAAAAGAAACCTATTCAAGAAATAGAAGAAACAACACGAACAATAATTAAAAAGCAAAGGAAAGGTAAAGGTGAAAAAGAAGAAATAACAGAAACAAAAATTGAGGAAATTTCCAAACCCAAGAAAAAAGTTCAAATCGAAGAAGTCGTAGAAATTATTGAAGAAGGTGGAGAAAAAACAGTAGTTAAGAAGGTAATTAAAGCGAAACGTCCGGATGAAGATGAAGAAATAATTGATGAAGGAGATTTAGGAGTGGTTAAACCATCAAAATTCCCCACTGAAAGAGAAATTCCTTTCCATACATCTTCCACCACTTATGAAACTGTTGGCACATCTAGAGTAACACAAATTATAGCCGGTAAAGAAACTGAATGTACAGGTACAGTCAATTTATCGCCTTATACACCATTAACGGAAGAAGAAACGGTAACGAGCGAAAAAGAGGAGTTTAAAACAGATATGAAACCCACAACGCAAAAAGCTAGCACCACAATGGAATTGTTAGAAACTTTACAAGTATCAGAACAAAACACCGAAACTGTTCCAGGAATATTCGATGTTAAATTTAAACCAGCATCATATAAAGCTACTAAAAATCTGCAAATAACCGAAAGTATAACTACAAGTGAAGTACAATCATCTGATTCAACACAAAAAATCACACCTGAAGAAAGACAAAAAGATTCAGCTTCGGTATATATTCTACCTGAAACTGCAAAATCAATTTCAATAATACAACCAGCACAAAAAGAAAAAGAATTTGAAGAAGCTCCAACGCCAAAATCAGTTCAAGCTACCACAGGATACACAACTAAAGAAAGCATTGTAATTGAAGAAGTTACAGGAGCGGTTAGTGAGGACACTTTAGATGTATCACGTCCTACAGCGGCTCTCCCAAAAATGGATATAAGTCCAGTTGAATCAATAATGGTTGAAGAAGTTGTTTCTGGGACTCAAGAAGGACCGTATGTCCCTGGTTCCTTTGGACCACTAGAAAAAGAAATACCCCTTCAAACACCAACAATTACAGCAGAAGCTTTATCAACCGGACAAGTTAGTCAAATCTTTACAGAAACTCCAGAAAAAAGCTCAGGTACAATGACGGTTATATCACATACGGCAATCACAAAACAAGAAACAACAAGTATGGAACAAGGGGAAGAACATGAAACGTTAAAATCTAAAACATACACAGCTACTAAAACCATCGATCTTAAAGACAGCTTGCAAGTGTCAGAAGAAATGATTAACGCAACTCCAGGGATTTTCGATAAAAAATTCGCACCTACTACATACAAAGCAACTACCGATTTAGAAACTGTAGAAGGTGTATCAATAAGTGAAGTAGAATCTTCGACCGCACCTAAACAATTTATACAAGAAGAAACTAAACAAGATACTGCAATGTTAACGGTATTACCGCAAGAAGCTAAATCAATAACTGAAACAATCCCATCTCAAAAAGAAAGTGATTTCGATAAATTTACTTCACCAATAGGTTTTCAAGCTGATACAAAATACACCACCACAGAAAGCGTGGCTGTTCAAGAAACTCGTGAGTTTAGATCAGAAACTAAACTTGATGTAGTAAAACCAGTTGAAGCTCAATCAGATATTAATATCGATTCAGTTCACTCTTTAACAATACAAGAGGTTGTTCCTGAAAGAACGTCACAAAAATTCGAATCTGCTCCAATGATTCCTGGAGAAAAGCAAATACCATTAAGAACCCCTTCTGAAGTAACTGAGATTATCTCAGAAAGGCACTTAACAAGGATAGGTTCAGGAAAAATAGAAGAAGAAAAAGGAATTATTGATTTATTACCATTAACCGCGTTAACAAACATTGAAACCATATCTAATGAAAAAGAAGAATTTAAAGAAGAAATAAAGCCTACTACTCACACCGCAGATAAAACTATCGATTCAATAGAAACCTTCCAAGTTTCAGAGCAAACTATTCAAGCTCTCCCTGGAATCTTTGACAAAGAATTTAAACCAACTTCCGCAACAGCGACGAAAAATGTTGAAGTTACTGAAACAATTTCAGTTAGTGTAGTCGAAAGTAACGATGTGCCATTAGATATTCTTGAAAGTAAACCAAAAACTGATACTGCCAGCGTAACGCTTTCCCCACAAGAAGCAAAATTCATATCTGAAACAGATGTCCAACAAAAAGAGACGGAATTTGATGAATTCAAAGTACCAAAAGGTGTTACTGCGAATACGAGCTTTACCACCAAAGAAGGTGTCACAATAGAGGAAGTGACGGAAAATACTTTCGAAAGTAAATTTGAAGAAACTAAACCTGTATCAGCAAAACCTAAAGTAGACATAAGTAGTTACGAATCCCTTCAAGTTGAAGAAACATTAAGTGAGACTAAACCAGGAAAACATTTACCTGAAGCTTTTGTACCAACTGAAGTAGCTCGTAAAACGATTATTCCGCAACACCAAGTGACGTATTCTGAGTTAGTAGCTCCAGAACGTGAAGGAACTTTCACGCCTGGACGATTACCTGCAGGTCAAATAGCTGAAATTGATTTAGCTACCGGCGAAAGTGTAATTGTACAAGAAACGCAGTTACAAGATAAAGAAGATGTATTCGATGAGAAACCACAACCAGCTAAATCAACAGCTACTGCAGACTTTGTAACATCAGAAGGAGTGCTAGTAACTGGAGTCGATTATCAAACCCAGCAGAAAGACGTAACAACCGAAGAAACAGTACATGAAATAGCCACAGTTGATATTTTAACTAAAGAATCAGTGATTACCTCACAAACATTAGTAACTGAAAGTGACAAGGAATTTATGCCGGAAGATCGACCAGAAAGTCGTCAGGCTGACACTTTAATTACATGTTTAGACATAACCGATCAAACAACGGTATTATTACAAGAAGCTGAAGGTGAATTTATCCCTGATAAGAAACCTTCACACGCAATAGCCGAGAGTTCAATAAAACCAAAAGAACCTATTAATATAGAAGAGGTGCAAACGTCAGATTTTCCATCAGAATTCACTGACAAATTATCATACCGAACAGAAGAAGCTTCAAAAATAATACAGTCACACGAAGCTCAAGAAGTAACAATAACTCAAACAGCCGACAAAGAATCTACATACACCGAAGTTGAGCAAACTTCTCAAGTGGTTAGTACCACTTATACAGATTCACAAATCGAAATAGAAGTTACAGAACAAGAAAAGATGGAAAAAGAATCCGATTTGAGACCGTTTGAGCTTCCTGACTCTTTCAAAGGGAAACAAATTCCAACTCATCTTCTTCCAACTAGCATCGTAGAAGAAGTACAACCCAGTAGCGTGACACAAACGCTTACTGATGAAACACAACTTGGCGTAAAAGCCGAAAAAACACAATCTACTCTTGAAGAAACAACAATTACTGAAACTATTATTGCGGAAGGTGTTTTAAAATACGACACTGAAAAGCCAGAGGGAAAAACTGCTGATTTAAAAATTGATGAAATACAAACCATCAATGTAAGTGAAATACTTACCGATGAAAAAGAAAAATTATATGTACCTGGTGAGTTACCAGAACAACAACAAGCAAATAAAAACATAGAAGGTCAAGTAATAGCTAGTACAACTGAAGTTGTATCAAATTTATTACCCGATACTCTTCCTGAAGATAAGCCGATTACAGCGCAAGCTAGGTCAGAACAAACAACAATGGAAGGTATTGAAATAATTGAATTAGAAACAGGCGAGAAAGAAAAGGAGGATATTCTAACGATTCTCCCAGACACTCAAATAGCACAACTTGATCTCACCGAAGGAAACATAATTAAACAAATATCGGAAATTGTGACTCATGAGAAAGAAATATTATTAACACCCGAATTAACACCGCAGGGAGTTTTAGCAGCATCAGGTATTCAAACGCAAGAAGTAATAAGTAAAATGATTCATGAAGCAGTAGTTCACGCTGAAACATTAGAACAACCCGAAATAGTCACCGGAAAAGCTAAAAAATACGCAAGACCTCTACAAGAACTTATCGTCACAGAATCCAACGTTACTGATATTGAAAAAGAACTTCCCGCCGATCTTGTGCCTGATAAAAAATTAGCTAACATTGACATCTTACCTATTTCTGGATTATCAGTCACTGAAACTGTGACAAGCGAAAAAGATGAAATCTTAAAACCAGAAGATAAACCAGAAGGAAAAATTGCTGACACAAACATATCTTCAAGAGAAGTTGCAATTAAAGAGGAAGTATTACCAAGTGGAAATGTAGGTACTTTTACAAAGGAAATTCCAGAATCTGATGTGGCTCAAAGTCAACAAGATTTACACCATCATATGACAAAAACAGAATTAACCATAGGTGAAAAGGAGGATGATCATCCTGCTTTTATAAAACCAGATGAAAAGCAAAGTTCGGTTATGTTTGAAGAGGGACAAAGTATTAATGTTATAGAAACACAAACTGTAGATAAAGAAAAGCCACTTGAAGAACTCGTTCGTCCAGAAGAAGCTCAAGGAAAACCTGACATTAGTTCCCATCAAGTAGCAAGCAAATCACTAATTATCGCTGATGATACAACCGCTGTGTTTAAAGAAACACCAACACAACAGACCACCGCTGAATCCACTAGAGATTTATTAGAATCTGTTGTAAGAAGTGATTTATTAATAACAGAAAAAGAAGGAACATTTGATGAAGTTGTTGTGGATATGAAAACAGCTTCCGCAGATATTCTACTTGGTGAAGAAATTGCTGTAACATCAATAGTAGCTGCGGAAAGTGAAAAGTTATTTACTGAAGAAAAGCCGGAAACCAAACAAGCTGAATCTGATATCTTACCGCACACTAGTGCTCAAATACATGAAACTGAAGTAAGCGACGATTTGGCTGATGTTGGAAGAGAATCTCCAACCAAAGCTGAAGCGATAATAGGATTATCAGAGTTAGTAAGTGTTGAGCATCTTCAGACTACTGCAGGAGAGGTTGAATCTGAATTCCTATCAGACGTCAAACCTGATACAAAAACGGCCAAAATAGAATTCGAAGAAAAAATTTCTTCGACTATCGGTGAAGTTACACCACAAGATAAAGAAGATATTTACACAGCAGAGCAAACACCAGAAGGAAAAACAGCAACGAGAACTATCCTTTCTCAACAAGTAGCTGAAACAACATTAACAATCTCTGATACATCATTAGGAAAAGCTGAAGAGATTCAATTTACAAGTTACCAAGCTAACGTTGAACAAACAACAATTGAAGGTATAACTCAATCAGTGCCTTTAGTTAGTGAATCAGAAAAACCATTAGAAGAACTAGTACCTGATAAGAAAACAGTTAATATCGATTTCGAGGAGGGACAAAGCGTCACTATCACGGAAGTCACCAGTGGTGATGTCGAAGGTGATTATAGAGGTGATGAAAAACCTATTTTTGAGCAAGCACAAATGGATATAAGGGAAATTAAACATTTACAGCAAACGGAAGTCATTTCTAATGATGTTCCGGAAATGTTAAAAATAGATCAACCAACAACCGCTGAGGCACAATCGGATATTTCTTCTCTTTCTATTGTTATGTCAACAGAAATTCAAACGTCTGAACTTGAAGGTGATATGTCAGAAACAGCGAAACCTGACACTAAAAAGGCTACTGTTGAATTCGACGTAGATAAGAGTGTTATAGTAGAATCTGTTATCACTCAAGAAAGTGAAATTGGACTAAAACCGGATGAAAAACCTGAAACAAGACAACCAACTAGTGATATTATTGATTTAAATCCGGTTGCGACAAAATATGAAATAATTTCTAATTTAACTACTGATTCATTCATCGAAAGTAAACCTACCGAAGCGCAAGCTGAAAAGCTTCAATCTCCACATGAAACTCTCCAACAATCTCAAGTAATCGCAGCAGAAAACGAATATGAACTTCCCGAAAAAGAGAAATTACCCATGTCTTCTGCAGAAATAAACATACAAGAACAACAAAGTACAATAGTTTCAAAAGTAATCACAGGTGATTCTGAGGATACCTTCAAATCTGCCGTGTTACCTCAAGAACAAGCAGCTTCTATTGGAGTTGATATTGTTCAACAAGTCGTTCAACAAGAAAAAACTCTAACTTCAGAATCATTATCTCAATTGGATATTATTACTCCTAAATCGGATACAGGAAAGCATATTCAAGACGTTTTGAGTACACTCACCGTTTCACAAAATATAGTTCAAGAAAAAGAGAGCGAATTTAGTGAAGAATTCCGACCGGAAACATTCGATGCCAAACTTAATGTTGAACAAGGAAAATCAGTTCAAAGTGTAACGGAAATCATCACACAAGAAACAGAGGAAAAATTCGATGTTACTCAACCTGAAGATAAAACGGCCCTTCCAAACGTTGATGGCTTAGAAGTGGCTGAGCATTTAGAACTTCTTATACAAGATTATCCTGGAGACCACACCGCGAAAGTACTTGATGTATCAACTGCAAATCTTCAACTTTCTTCTTTCGAAAGTATAACTCAAATCCAACCAATCATCAGAGAAACCGAAAGCGAATATATTACTGAATTGAAAGCGGTTACAAAATCCGCTGACGTCTTAATTGAAGAAATTAAAGGCGTCAGTGTATCTGAAGTATTACCAGCTGACCACGAAACCATATTCGAATCTGCACTTCTTCCTGATCAAGTAAAAGCGATACCTGATATTACTGGAAGTAAAATTGCGGAAACTGTAGAAACATTAACGTCAATGTCAACCGCTGATTTAACTCCTCAAATTCCTACTGAAGCTAAAGCAGAAAAAACGTTAGACGAACTTCAAAGTATTATTCAAACAGTCATCAAAACAACTGAAACAGAACAAGATTTCGATGAAAAATTCGAACCAGTCTCAAAACGAGCAGAACACAACATCGAAGAAATGAGCAGCATTGTAATCACAGAAACTCATTCTTCAGCAAATGAAGAATCTATGGAAGAATTTACTCCAAAGTCACAACAGGCAACCACCGATGTTAATCTTTTAGAAACTGTGGAAAAGTCAGAAGTCGTGCCAAGTGATTCGTTCGTTGATTACGTTACAGAAGAAAAACCAACAACCTCCGCAAATATCGTTCAAGATACTTTAGAAGGACTAATAAGAAATGAAGAAACAATTCACGAAAGTGAAGGGCTGTTTACAGAAAAATTAACGTTAGATACAAAAACAGCAAATGTAGACATTGAAGAAACAAAATCAGTTACAATCACTGTCACTATAGGCGAAGAAAAAGAAAAAGAAATCCTCGAAAAATTCGAAGTTGACAAAAAAATCGCGTTTACAGATATAATTCCTCAAGAGACAATACAAAAATTCGAAATTGAATCTCATTTGGGGCTAGATGATTTCAAAAAACCAACGGTTCAAGAGGAACTTGCCGAAATCACTCAAAGTAAGTTAGATAGTATAGAAACTAAACAAGTTGTAGTAGCGGAATCGGAAAAGGCATTCGAGACTGTTCCTGTAGATTCCAAACAAGCTCACCGAGATATTTTACCAGAGGAACACATAAGCATTATTGAAACTACTATACACACAAAGGAAGACGACTTTAAAAAAGTAGAGTTACCTGACACTTCATCGGCAACAGAAAAACTACTTCCTCACGAAACTCTTACATTAACCGAAACACTAGTATCTGAAGACGTACAAGAATACCAATACGACAAACCAAAAGAATCTTTAGGAGAAACAACACAAACACCATTTGAATCTGTTGAAATCACTGAACAAACTGTTACTGAGAAGGAGGCTGTACTTCTACCATATTCCAAACCAACAGGACAAACGGTTTCTGTTGACTTGGAACAAGCTCAAAAGGCAGCCATAGTCATTGAAACCTTAACAGAACAAAAAGAGGACACGTTTTCACCAGATCAAATTAAAGACAATACTGCCGACTTTACAATTACCGACACACAGGTTGCACAAAAAGGTATTATTGATATATTAACATCAGAATCAAATCTAAAAATTGAAACACAACCACAAACACAAGAAGCCGAATTAGAATTCGAACACGGCCAAACGGCCATCACTGTAATTGAAACATTAACAGAAATGAAAGAAGATATATTTTCTCCGGAAGATATCAAAAAAGATAAAGCTGGTTTTAGTGTGTCGGATCAAACCGTAGCAGAGAAAGTGCTAACTGAAATTTTAGCGTCAGAATCCGAATTTAAACCAGACGTTAAACCTGATACGCAATTAGCTGAAGTAGATTTGGAAAATGCTCAAGAAGCAGTTACAATAACCGAAATATTAAGTGAATCTAGGGAGGATGATTTTAAACCGGATGAGGTCAAAAAAGATTTGGCCAACTTCCGTATTACGGAGCAAACTGTTGCTCAACAAGGTGTTACTCAGGTTTTATCATCTGAAACGGAATTCAAACCCGACACACTTCCTTCATCTCAAAGCGCCGACGTTGACCTAGAAGAAAGTGAAAAAGCGTTAACAATCACAGAAATTTTAACGGAAATGAAAGAAGACGAATTCCTCCCCAAAGAAATTAAAAGTGATTTAGCTGAGTTTAGCGTTATGGATCAAACAGTTGCTGAAAAAGTTTTAACCGAAGTGCTATCATCGGAAACAATTTTACCATCAGATATAAAACCAACAACCCAAACAGCAGATTTTGATTTAGAAAAGGGTCAAGCTGCTGCAACGATAACTGAAACTTTAACGGAATTAAAAGAAGACACGTTCACTCCGGAAAGTGTTAGGACGGATGTCGCTGGCTTTAGTATCACAGAACAAGTAGCTCCGCAAAATATACTAACTGAATTATTGAGTTCTGAAACTGAATTTAAATCTGAAGCTAAACCAACCATACAAATCGCTGAAGCTGATATGGTAAAACCACAAAAAGCTTTAACAATAACTGAAACATTAACAGAAATGAAAGAAGACACCTTCACCACGGATGGCATCAAAAAAGAATCAGCATCTTTAAGCATAACGGAAAGGACAGTTGCCCAAAAAGACGTCACAGAAATTTTAACGTCCGAAACAACTTTAAAACCCGACGCAAAGACCGTATCTCAAACTGCTGATGTTGACGTAGAAAAGGGTCAAAAAGCAGTTACAATAACAGAAATCTTAACGGATGTTAAAGAGGATGTTTTTAGCCCGGAAGATATAAAGAAAGAATCTGCGACTTTTAATATCACAGAGCAAACTGTAGCTCAAAAAGATGTAATCGAAATTCTTACAGCAGAAACAGAATTAAAACCAGATTCTAAACCTACATCTCAAACCGCTGAAATCGACCTAGAAAAAGGACAAAAAGCTGTTATTATAACAGAAACAATCACAGAGCATAAAGAAGATTTGTTTAAACCCGAGGAAATTACACCAGATTCAATCGGATTTAGCATTATTGAACAAGTTGTCGCACAACAAGATGTAACCGAAATTCTTTCGTCTGAAACCGATTTAAAACCGGATACTAAACCAATACAACAAACAGCTGGGGTCGATTTAGAAGGTGGTAAAAAAGCTGTAACTATTACAGAAACAATCGGTGAAACCAAAGAAGATGATTTCACTCCTGATAGCATCAAAAAAGATTCGGCTAATTTAACATTTACCGATCAAACTGTAGCGCAAAAAGTAATAACTGAAATACTTACCTCAGAAACAGATTTTAAATCAGAAGTAGCGCCCGTTTTCCAAACGGCCGATATTGAACAGGAAGCGGCACAAAAAGCTCTAACAATCACGGAAACTATATCTGAAATCAAAGAAGATAAATTTACTCCACATGATGTTAAAAAAGATATCGCAGATGTAAGCATTATAGATCAAACGGTTGCCGAAAAGACCACAACTGAACTTTTAACAACGGAAGGTGACTTTAAACCAGATTTGAAACCGATTACACAAGTCGCAGATGTTGATTTAGAAAAAGCCCAAAGAGCTTTACAGGTAACTGTAGTTTCATCAGAACTCAATCAAGATATTTTCTCTCCTGAAGACGTTAAATCTGATACAGCTACTTTCAGCGTGATGCAGCAAACAGTTGCGCAAAACGTCGTAACTGAAACACTAACATCAGAAACTGAATTTAAATCTGACTTAAAACCTATAACGGGAATCGCAGAAGTTGATTTAGAAAAAGGGCAAAAAGCTATGGTTGTAACAGAAACTGTTACTGAAGTTAAGGAAGAATCATTTAAACCGGAAGAAGTTAAAAAGGATTCAGCTAGTATGACAATTTCTGAAAGAACAGTTGTTGAAACAATGCTCACCCAATTATTAACGTCAGAATCGAGTTTGAAGGCTGATGCTAAACCTACAACACAAACAGCTGAAGTTGATTTAGAAAAAGGCCAAAAAGCACTTGTAATTTCCGAGACAATTACAGAATACAAAGAAGAAACTTTCAAACCAGAAGATGTTAAAGAAGATTTAGCCAATTTGGCTATTTTAGAAAAAAATGTTGCCGAAAAAGAACTTACGGAAATATTAACTTTAGAATCAGAATTAAGACCTGATATAAAACCAAGTGCCCAAACAGCAGATGTGGATGTGGAAAAAGGCCAAAAAGCAGTGGTGATATCTGAAACAGTAACGGAAGTCAAAGAAGAAGAATTTATACCCGGGGATGTCAAACCTGATTCTGCGAACTTAGGAATTTTCGAACAAACCGTTGCTCAAATGACTCTTACTGAAACGTTTACCGCAGAAAACGAATTAAAACCGGATTCGAAACCAACCGCGCAAGTTGCAGATATTGATTTAGAAAAAGGACAAAAAGCAGTTGAAGTGTCTGAAATTGTAACGGAAATAAAAGAAGAAACATTCAAGCCAGAAGATGTTAAAAAGGATTTAGCAGGAATGGTCGTATCTGAGCAAACTGTAGCTCAAAACATTTTGACCGAAACATTTGTTACAGAATCCGAACTAAAACCCGATTCAAAACCATCTACACAAATAGCTGATGTAGATTTAGAGAAAGGGCAAAAAGCTGTTATCATATCAGAAATTGTAACGGAAATAAAAGAAGAAACATTCAAGCCAGAAGATGTTAAAAAGGATTTAGCAGGAATGGTCATTTCTGAGCAAACTGTGGCTCAAAACATTTTGACCGAAACATTAGTTACAGAATCGGAACTAAAACCCGATTCAAAACCATCTACACAAATAGCTGATGTAGATTTAGAAAAAGGACAAAAAGCTGTTATTATCTCAGAAATTGTGACGGAAATTAAAGAAGAAACATTTAAACCTGATGATGTTAAAAAGGATTTAGCTGGAATGACTATTTCTGAGCAAACTGTGGCTCAAAATATTTTGACCGAAATTTTAAGCTCTGAAATGGAATTGAAACCCGATGTTAAACCAACAACGCAAGTCGTAGATATCGATTTGGAGAAAGGTCAAAAAGCCATTACTATCAGTGAAACCATTACCGAAATAAAAGAAGAAACATTTAAATCTGATGATGCTAAAACAGATTCTGCAAGCTTTACAATTACTGAGCAAATAGTTCCCGAGAAAGCATTAATCGATACATTTACTCATGAAAGCGAATTCACGCCTGATAAATTCCCAACTTCACAAATAGCTGATTTTGATATGGAAAAAGGACAAAGTGCTGTCACCGTTACGGAAACCATCACAGAAATTAAGGAGGAGACTTTTAGTCCTGGTGAAGTCAAACCAGATACTGCTGTATTTAGTGTAACTGAAAAATTAGTACCACAAAAAAGTTTAGATGAAATTTTATCATCAGAAACAGAACTAAAACCTGATGATGTACCTACAAAACAAACTGCCGACATTGATCTTGAAAAAGCACAAAAGGCTGTAACAATTACTGAAACGGTTACAGAAACCAAAGAAAAAGAATTTATATCGGAGGATATTAAAAAAGATTTAGCAAGTATAACAATAGCGGATCAGAAAGTAGCGGAAAAAACGGTTAGTGAATTACTTCTATCCGAAACAGAATTCAAACCCGATGTTCAACCCACATCTCAAGTTGCTGAAATAGATCTTGAAAAAGGCCAAGAAGTTGTAACAATTACGCAAACACTTACTGATCAAAAAGAAGAAACTTTCAAACCTCAAGATATCACAAAAGATGTGGCAACGCTGAATATTACCGATCAAACTGTTGCTGAAAAAGGTTTAGTTGAATCTTTAACAACCACAGATGAATTAAAACTTGCTATTATTCCTACGACACAAGTTGCGGAGTTTGATTTAGAAAAGGGGCAAAAAGTTGTCACCGTTACAGAAACATTAGTCGAACAAAAAGAGGAAACGTTTAAATCTGAAACCACCAAAGAAGACTCCGCCACGTTTAGCATTACGGATCAAACTGTTGCTATGAAAGATGTTACTGAAACATTACTATTTGAAAGCGATTTGGAAGAGGATGTTAAACCAATTACACAAAAAGGATCAATTGATATAGAAAAAGGTCAGCTTATCGCAAGTGTAATTGAAACAATAACAGAACAAAAGGAAGATACATTTAAACCAGATGTAGTCATAAAAGATCTGGCTGATGTTAAAATAACCGATCAAACAGTGGCTCAAAAAGATATTATTGATGTGCTTTCAACAACGAGCGAATTTGTTAGTGAAGAAATACCCTCTAAAAAGAAAGCAACCCCAAAGAGGTCACCATTGGAAAGCTTAGAACAAACAGTCACCACCACTGAAGAAAAAGAAGGAGAATATGTAGTATTAAAAGAAGAAACTCACGAAGCTAAATTAGATATTACATTACATGAAGGTGTTAAAGTTACTCAAGTATACACTGAAGAAACTGAATCGGAAACTGTCTTGAAAGGTATAGCTGAAGATAAAACAGCTACTTCTGATATAGTTCCTAAACATATTGGATTAATTGAGGAGACTCTATCATTATTTGCACCAGATACCTTGTCAAAAGACAAACCTATAGGTACCACAGCTAGCTCGGAAATAATTCCAACACTAGCTGCCATGAAAGAAGAAAACATCGCTTTCTTTATTCCCGATGACTTCTCCGAGAAGAAACCGAGGATGACGGAAGCAAGAAGTGGTGAACTGCGCATTCAACACGAGGTTATAGTTACAGAACAAAGGTCGACGGGTGATATGCGAGTTGTTGAGCCCCTGGACACGCCCACCGTGCAAGCGAAAACTGTAACCGTGGACGACAAAACCGAGCACGCGACACTAATCGAGGTCCTGCCCCACGAAGGTCCCGAAGGTAAGTGAGTTTGACACTGAGCGTTTGCCCACCACGTTTTCGTGTCTGAGTGGGTTTTTTTTCCTTTCGCGACGGTATCATTTCATCTCCCGCGACAAATCCGCGCGCGTACCACACCCGACAGAGAAACACACAAACAAAGAGAAACCCAAACAAATGACACAGAACAATTACAGACTTAGGTCACATTTGTACACTATAACTAACAGAATCGTATTGCAGGTGAATTGGATGACCTTGCAATACACACCACACGAGCCAAACTTACTACACAGTCCACCATCACACCAGATGAAACCGTCACAGTACTCGAAACTATCACCAGAGACGACACACAAACGAAATCCGAACAAGAAGATACGCGCGAGGAAATCATCACCAAATTCAAATCTGTGCCGGGTGGTGAAGCCGCGAAGGTCGTTACAAAACGTACAATCATCAAGAAAAAGAAAGGTGACACCGGTGATGTCATCATCGATGAAGTTATTGAAGAAACTGGGTCCAAAAAGAGTCCACTCGACGAGGACTCAATCACCATTAGTGAAGTTACTGAAGAGGTTCCCCTCGAAGATGCAGTTCCATATACTGTAGAAGAAATGCCCGAAGAGGTCCAAGTCACTAAGGTGGAAACCGAAGAAGGACCCAAAACACACATAACTAAAAAACGAATCATCAAAAAACGTAAAGGTAAGAAAGAAGAAACAACGGAAATCGTTACCTCCGAGGAGGAAGGTAAAGAACCCGTCACTAAGGTCACCGTTCAAGAAATTGAACTCACAGACGAACAAGTACTCGACTTACCAAAAATAAAACCGACAAAAGCAAAACCCGTTGAAGAACTCCCAGAAGAAGTGACAATTACCAAGGTGATCACCGAGGAGGGCCCTACCACAGAAATAACAAAGAAAAAAAGAGTTATCAAGAAGCAAAAAGGAGGAAAGGTGGAAACCACAGAAATAGTTACGATTGAGGAAGAAGGAAAAGCACCAGAAACCACAGTGGTAACGAAAGAAGAAGATATTACTGAGCTTATTTCGCGTAAACCCAAATCGGTGAAAGCAAAATTAATTGAAGAACCAGTTGAAAAAGTTAAAGTCACTGAGGTGACTACCGAAGAAGGACCAACTATTGAAGTTACAAAGAAAACTAAAATTGTTAAAAAACCGAAAGAGATTACTAAGCCAGAAGAAGAAAAACCTATTGTAGTAGAAGAACTCCCAGAGCAAATCGAAACGATTGAAATTATTGATGAAATTGGAAAACCAAAAGAAATCAAAAAGAAGAAACGCGTTATTAAAAAGAGAGTAGGAGATGTGGTTGAAACCACAGAAATTGTTACGACGAAAGAAGAAGGGAAACAACCAGAAACTACAATAGTTGTCAAAGAAACACCTTTTAAAGAAGAAGAACCAACCGTTATTCAAGAATTACCAGAGGAAATTACAGTGACAAAAGTAACAACAAAAGAGGGTCCTAAGGAAGTTACTAAAAAGAAACGTGTTATCAAAAAGAAAAAGGGTGATACTGTAGAAACTACGGAAATTCTAACCGTTGAAGAAGAAGGTAAAGCCCCAGAAACTACCATGACTGTTGATGAAAAAATAGGAGAACTTCCTGAATTGATACCAGAAAAAGCACAACCCATAATTGAAGAATTACCCGAACAAATTGAAATCAAAAAGGTGTTAACAACAGAAGGTACAAAACAGATTACCAAAAAGAAACGGGTAATAAAGAAGAAAAAAGGCGACAAAGTAGAAACTACAGAGATTGTTACTGTTGAAGAAGAAGGTAAGAAACCTCAAACGACAATAACTGTACAAGAAATTCCGGAAGAAACAAAGCCAGAAGTGATTGAAGAATTTCCAGAAGAAGTTGAAATTTTAACAACTACCACAGACGAAGGTAAACCTCAAGAAATCACAAAGAAAAAGAGAGTAATCAAGAAGAAGAAAGGTGGTAAAGTCGAAACAACTGAAATTGTAACAATCGAGGAAGAAGGAAAGAAACCCAAAACCAGTATAACTGTTGAGGAAGTTCCAGAAGAACAAACAGAAACCCTAACGTTGAAAAAACATAGACCAAAAAAGCCTGACGTTATTGAAGAGTTACCGGAAGAAATCCAAATCACTAAAGTGATTACCGAAGAGGGAAAGCCAAAAGATGTTATTAAAAAGAAACGGGTTATTCGTAGAAAGAAAGGCGATAAGGTAGAAACTACAGAAATAACAACTGTCGAAGAAGAGGGCAAAAAACCAGAAACAACTGTAACCGTAAAAGAAATTCCTGAAGAGGACGTAGAAAGTATTCCAGAAGAAAAATTGGTGAAACCTACCGTTGTTGATGATATACAAGAAGAAGTTCAAGTTACACAAATTATTACTCGTGAGGGTCCAAAAGAAGTGACAAAGAAAAAACGAGTTATTAAGAAAAAGAAAGGAGATAAAGTCGAATCTACCGAAATAGTTACTGTTCAAGAAGAAGGAAAAGAGCCAGAAACAACAGTAACCATTCAAGAAGTTCCATTAGAAGAAATTGAAAAACCTACCAAGGCAGTCGAAATTCAAGAAACTGAGCAAGTTGAAGTAACCAAAGTTTTGACAAGATGGGGTCCAAAAGAAGTGACTAAAAAGAAACGCGTAATCAGAAAGAAAAAAGATGGAAAGGTTGAAACGACTGAAATCTTAACTGTTGAGGAAGAAGGTAAAAAACCTGAAACTACAGTAACTGTTCAAGAACTACCGGAAGAAGAAATTAAAGAACATCCAATAGAAAAGCCTGATTCTTCTGTTATTGTCGAAGAAATGCCCGAAGAAGTCGAAGTTACTCAAATTACAACACACGAAGGGAAACCAAAAGATATTACTAAAAGAAAACGTGTTATTAAGAAGAAGAAGGGTGGAAAGGTAGAAACAACTGAAATTGTTACTGTAGAAGAAGAAGGAAAGAAACCAATTACTACAGTAGCCACAGAAGAAATTGATGAACCCACTGAGTTTGTAGTTGAACAAAAACCATTAAAACCTGAACTCATTCAAGAATTACCTGAGGAAGTTGAAGTTACAAAAGTAATCACAGAAGAAGGGAAGCCAAAGGAGATTGTGAAGAAGAAGCGGGTGATCAGGAGGAAAAAGGGTGATAAAATAGAAACAACGGAAATTGTTACAGTTGAAGAAAAAGGTCAGGAACCAAAAACAACTGTCACAGTGGAAGAGGTGCCAGAAGAAGAAATAGAAGATATAAAGCCTCTTCATGTCGCTGTTGTTGAAGATATCGAAGATAAAGTTGAAGTTACACAGGTCATCACGGATAAAGGTAAGACAAAGCAAATTACAAAAAAGAAACGTATCATCAAAAAGAAACGAGATGATAAAGTCGAAACCACTGAAATTGTAACCGTCGAAGAAGACGGTAAAGCACCACAAACAATTGTAACAGTTCACGAACAACCCGATGAAATAATCAAACCAATCCCAACTCATAAACCTATTGATACCACAGAAATTCAAGAAACAGAGCATACCGAAGTTACTTTAATTGATACCAAAACGGGACCGAAAGAAGTCAAGAAACATAAAAGAGTTATACGAAAGAAAAAAGGAAAGAATATTGAACAAACTGAAATTATAACCGTTGAGGAAGAGGGTAAGAAACCACAAACTACAGTATCTGTACAGGAGATTACTGAAGAGGAAATTGGGGAGATTCCTGAAGAAAAACCTGATGAGGAAAAACCTGTCGTTATAGAAGAATTGCCAGAAGAAGTCGAAGTAACACAAATAGTTACAAAAGAGGGTAAACCAACGGAAGTAACAAAGAAAAAACGAGTAATCAAAAAGAAAAAGAAAGATGGTAAAGTAGAAACCACTGAAATTGAAACTGTCGAACAAGAAGGAAAGAAACCGGAAATAACGGTGAAAGTGCAAGAAACGACAGACGAAACTACAGAACAAATTATTAAGAAAAGAAAACCAAAAGCGGTAATTGAAGAATTACCAGAACAAATAGAAATTACAAAAGTGATAACTGAGGAAGGTAAGCCCAAAGATGTCATTAAGAAAAAGAGGGTCATACGTAGAAAGAAAGGGGATAAAGTCGAAACCACTGAAATTGTAACAGTTGAAGAAGAAGGGCAAACACCAGAAACTACTGTAACTGTACAGGAGATACCTGAAGAAGAGTTGGAAGAAATTCCTGAAGATAGAACCGTAGTTCCATCCGTGGTAGAAGATATTCAGGAACATGTTGAAGTGACAAAGATTGAAACGAAGGAGGGTCCAAAAGATATTACGAAAAAGAAGAAAATTATCAGAAAGAAAAAGGGAGATAAAGTTGAAACAACTGAAATTGTGACTGTAGAAGAAGAGGGAAAGAAACCCGAAACAACTGTGACTGTTAAAGAATTTCCAGAGGAAAAAGTTGAAGAGTTACCTGAAGAGAAACCTGATAAAGCTGTTGAAATACAAGAAACAGAACAAGTTGAAGTAACTAAAGTTTTGACAAGATGGGGTCCAAAAGAAGTGACTAAAAAGAAACGTGTCATCAAGAAAAAGAAAGGAGGTAAGGTTGAAACAACAGAAATAGTGACTGTGGAAGAAGAAGGTAAACAACCGGAAACGACTGTGACAGTAAAAGAGTTACCTGAAGAAGATGTTGATGAAATACCAGAACAAAAACCTGAAGAAGCGGTGGTTGTTGAAGAACTTCCGGAAGAAGTTGTGATTACACGGGTAATAACAGAAGAAGGAAAACCAAAAGAGGTTAAAAAGAAGAAACGTATAATTAAGAAAAGGAAAGCTGATAAAGTTGAAACAACCGAAATCGAATCTGTTGAAGAAGAAGGAAAGAAACCGGAGATAACGGTGAAAGTGCTAGAAACCACAGAAGAGACGACGGAACAAATAATTAAAAGAAGAAAGCCAGTAAAACCTGTTATTGAGGAATTACCTGAAGAAATAGAAATTACTAAGGTTATAACTGAAGAAGGTAAACCTAAAGATGTCGTTAAAAAGAAGAGAATTATACGAAGAAAGAAGGGAGATAAGGTTGAAACAACGGAAATTGTAACAGTTGAGAAAGAAGGTGAAAAGCCAGAAACTACTGTGACTGTAAAAGAAATTCCAGAAGAGGAAGTCGAGGAGATTCCTCAAGAAAAACCTGTACGTCCATCGATTGTAGAGGATATACAAGAACAAGTTGAAGTAACACAAATTGAGACAAAAGAAGGACCTAAGGAAGTTACTAAAAAGAAAAGAATCATTAAAAAGAAAAAGGGAGATAAAGTTGAAACAACCGAAATTGTGACTGTTGAAGAGGAGGGGAAGAAACCGGAAACAACTGTGACTGTTAAAGAATTGCCAGAGGAAAAGATTGAAGAGTTGCCTGAAGAGAAACCTGATAGAGCTGTTGAAATACAAGAAACAGAACAAGTTGAAGTAACTAAAGTTTTGACAAGATGGGGTCCAAAAGAAGTGACTAAAAGGAAACGTGTTATCAAGAAAAAGAAAGGAGGGAAGGTTGAAACCACAGAAATAGTGACTGTGGAAGAAGAAGGTAAACAACCCGAAACAACTGTGACTGTAGAAGAATTACCTGAAGAAGATGTTGATGAAATACCAGAACAAAAACCTACCGAAGCGGTGGTTGTTGAAGAACTTCCGGAAGAAGTTGTGATTACGCGAGTTATAACGGAAGAAGGGAAACCAAAGGAGATTACTAAAAAGAAACGAGTGATTAAGAAGAAGAAAGGTGATAAAGTTGAAACTACCCAAATTGAAACTGTGGAAGAAGAAGGAAAGATGCCTGAGATAACAGTAAAAGTGCACGAAACCACAGAAGAGACAACAGAACAAATTATTAAAAGGAGAAAGCCGGTAAAACCTGTTATTGAAGAATTACCTGAACAAATAGAAATTACAAAAGTTATAACTGAAGAAGGTAAACCTAAAGATGTCATTAAAAAGAAAAGAATTATTCGAAGAAAGAAGGGAGATAAAGTTGAAACAACAGAAATTGTAACAGTTGAGAAAGAAGGTGAAAAGCCAGAAACTACTGTGACTGTAAAAGAAATTCCAGAAGAGGAAGTCGAGGAGATTCCTCAAGAAAAACCTGTACGTCCATCGATTGTGGAGGATATACAAGAACAAGTTGAAGTAACACAAATTGAGACAAAAGAAGGACCTAAGGAAGTTACTAAAAAGAAAAGAATCATTAAAAAGAAAAAGGGAGATAAAGTTGAAACAACCGAAATTGTGACTGTTGAAGAGGAGGGGAAGAAACCGGAAACAACTGTGACTGTTAAAGAATTGCCAGAGGAAAAGATTGAAGAGTTGCCTGAAGAGAAACCTGATAGAGCTGTTGAAATACAAGAAACAGAACAAGTTGAAGTAACTAAAGTTTTGACAAGATGGGGTCCAAAAGAAGTGACTAAAAGGAAACGTGTTATCAAGAAAAAGAAAGGAGGGAAGGTTGAAACCACAGAAATAGTGACTGTGGAAGAAGAAGGTAAACAACCCGAAACAACTGTGACTGTAGAAGAATTACCTGAAGAAGATGTTGATGAAATTCCAGAACAAAAACCTACCGAAGCGGTGGTAGTCGAAGAACTTCCTGAGGAAGTTGTGATAACTCGCGTAATAACAGAAGAAGGAAAATCAAAAGATGTTAAAAAGAGAAAACGTATAATTAGGAAAAAGAAGGGTGATAAAGTTGAAACAACAGAAATCGAATCTGTTGAAGAAGAAGGAAAGAAACCGGAGATAACGGTAAAAGTGTTAGAAACCACAGAAGAGACAACGGAACAAATAATTAAAAGAAAGAAACCAGCAAAACCTGTTATTGAGGAATTACCTGAAGAAATAGAAATTACTAAAGTTATAACTGAAGAAGGTAAACCTAAAGATGTCGTTAAAAAGAAGAGAATTATACGAAGAAAGAAGGGAGATAAGGTTGAAACAACGGAAATTGTAACAGTTGAGAAAGAAGGTGAAAAGCCAGAAACTACTGTGACTGTAAAAGAAATTCCAGAAGAGGAAGTCGAGGAGATTCCTCAAGAAAAACCTGTACGTCCATCGGTTGTAGAGGATATTCAAGAACAAATTGAGGTTACACAAATTGAGACAAAAGAAGGTCCTAAGGAAGTTACTAAAAAGAAAAGAGTCATTAAAAAGAAAAAGGGGGATAAAGTTGAAACAACAGAAATTGTGACTGTTGAAGAAGAGGGAAAGAAACCCGAAACAACTGTGACTGTTAAAGAAATGCCAGAGGAAGAAATTGAAGATTTTCCAGAAGAAAAACCTGAAAAAGCAACTGAAGTACAAGAAACAGAACAAGTTGAAGTAACTAAAGTTTTAACAAGATGGGGTCCAAAAGAAGTGACTAAAAAGAAACGTGTCATCAAGAAAAAGAAAGGAGGTAAAGTTGAAACAACGGAAATTGTGACTGTGGAAGAAGAAGGTAAACAACCTGAAACGACTGTAACTGTAGAAGAATTGCCTGAAGAAGATGTTGATGAAATACCAGAAGAAAAACCTACCGAAGCGGTGGTTGTTGAAGAACTTCCGGAAGAAGTTGTGATTACGCGAGTTATAACGGAAGAAGGTAAACCAAAGGAGATTACTAAAAAGAAACGTGTGATTAAGAAGAAGAAAGGTGATAAAGTTGAAACTACCCAAATTGAAACTGTGGAAGAAGAAGGAAAGAAACCAAAGGTAACAGTGAAAGTGCTAGAAACGACAGACGAAACTACGGAACAAACAATTAAAAGAAGGAAGCCGGTAAAACCTGTTATTGAGGAATTACCTGAACAAATAGAAATTACTAAGGTTATAACAGAAGAAGGTAAACCTAAAGATGTCATTAAAAAGAAAAGAATTATTCGAAGAAAGAAGGGAGATAAAGTTGAAACAACGGAGATTGTGACTGTTGAGCAAGAAGGTGAAAAGCCAGAAACAACTGTGACTGTTAAAGAAACACCGGAAGAAGAAATCGAGGAGATTCCTCAAGAGAAACCTGTACGACCGTCGGTAGTGCAAGATATTCAAGAACAAGTTGAGATTACACAAATTGAGACCAAGGAGGGTCCTAAAGAAATTACGAAAAAGAAACGAATTATTAAAAAGAAGAAGGGAGATAAAGTTGAAACAACAGAAATAGTGACAATTGAAGAAGAGGGTAAGAAACCCGAAACAACTGTGACTGTTAAAGAATTACCAGATGAAAAAGTAGAAGAGCTCCCAGAAGAAAAACCAGATAAAGCTATCGAAATACAAGAGACAGAACAAGTTGAAGTAAGTAAAGTTTTGACAAGATGGGGTCCAAAAGAAGTGACTAAAAAGAAACGTGTCATCAAGAAAAAGAAAGGAGATAAAATTGAAACAACAGAAATTGTGACTGTAGAAGAGGAAGGTAAACAACCGGAAACGACTGTGACTGTGAGTGAATTACCGCAAGAAGAGGTTGATGAACTACCCGATCAGAAGCCTACCGAAGCAACGATAATTGAAGAACTTCCAGAAGAAGTTGTAATAACTCGTATAATAACAGAAGAAGGAAAGCCTAAGGAGGTGACTAAAAAGAAGCGTATAATTAAGAAGAAGAAAGGTGACAAAATTGAAACTACCCAAATTGAAACTGTTGAAGAAGAAGGAAAGAAACCAGAGGTAACTGTAAAAGTTCAAGAAACCACTGAAGAGACAACGGAACAAATTGTTAAAAGGAGAAAACCGGTAAAACCGGTTATTGAAGAATTACCCGAACAAATAGAAATTACAAAAGTTATAACAGAAGAAGGTAAACCTAAAGATGTCATTAAAAAGAAGAGAATTATTCGAAGAAAGAAAGGAGATAAAGTTGAAACAACGGAAATCTTAACTGTTGAGCAAGAAGGTGAAAAACCAGAGACTACTGTGACTGTTAAGGAAATTCCTGAAGAAGAACTCGAGGAGGTTCCTCAAGATAAACCAGTACGTCCATCAATTGTGGAGGATATTCAAGAACAAGTTGAGGTTACACAAATTGAGACCAAAGAAGGTCCAAAAGAAATCATGAAAAAGAAAAGAATCATCAAAAAGAAAAAGGGCGATAAAGTTGAAACAACGGAAATTGTAACTGTTGAAGAAGAGGGTAAGAAACCCGAAACAACTGTGACTGTTAAAGAATTACCAGAGGAGAAAATAGAAGAATTTCCAGAAGAAAAGCCAGCTAAAGCTGTTGAAATACAAGAGTCAGAACAGGTTGAAGTAACCAAAGTTTTGACAAGATGGGGTCCAAAAGAAGTGACTAAAAAGAAACGTATCATTAAGAAAAAGAAAGGCGACAAGATTGAAACGACAGAAATTGTGACTGTAGAAGAGGAGGGTAAGAAACCGGAAACAACTGTAACTGTTGAGGAAATACCTGAAGCTGATGAATTACCAGAACAAATTCGCCCAGAAGCGTCGGTAATAGAGGAATTACCAGAAGAGATTGAAATAACTCGTATAGTTACCGAAGAAGGTAAACCAAAAGAAATCACGAAGAAGAAACGCACAATAAAGAAAAAGAAAGGTGATAAAGTTGAAACCACGGAAATAGTTACTGTTGAGGAGGAAGGTAAAAAGCCAGTAACAACTGTTTCGGTAGATGAAAAACCAGAAGACATTAAAGAGATTAAAACAAAACGAAAACCTAAACAACCACGACATCCGACAGAAGATCAACTTGAAGATGAAAAACCAACAATAATTGAAGAACTTCCTGAAGAAGTTGAAGTTTCTCGAATTCTAACGAGAGAAGGACCTAAAGATATTACCAAGAGGAAGCGAGTAATTCGACGCAAGAAAGGAAAGAATGTTGAAGAAACTGAAATTATTATAACTGAGGAGGAAGGAAAAGAACCAAAAGCAACAGTAACCATAGAAGAAATACCTGAAGAGGAGACTACTCCAATTTCAGAACAACCTCAGAAACCAAAACTCGTTCATGAATTCCCAGAAGAAGTTGAAGTAACCGAAGTAATGACCTGGGAAGGTCCTAAGGAAGTAAAGAAAAAGAAGAGGGTAATCAAAAGAAAGAAGGGAGGTAAAATCGAAACTACCGAGTTAGTAACTCTTGAAGAAGAAGGTAAGAAACCCGAAACAACCGTTACAATAACCGAGCAACCAGAAGAGTTGGTGTACGAAGAATTACCCGAAGAAGTGTTAACTACAAAGGTTGTTAAAGATGGTATGATAAAGAAACGTGTCGTTAAAAAGCGCACCATTAAAGAAAAGAAAGGAGACACGGAAGAAACAACAGTTATTACAACTGTCGAGGATGAAGGCCAAGAACCAAAACTATTTGCTACCGTAGAGGAGCAACCAGCAACTGAAGATATATGCGAAAAACCAATTTTACCCCTAGAAGCAGTAGAAATGCCAGATGAGGAACAAGTAATAGAAATTGATACGTTGAGTAGAACACCTAAAAAGAAAATAACGAAAAAGCGAAAATTCCTAAAGAAAGAAGGGCCATCTGTAGAAGTTACTGAAGTAACAACAATAATTGAAGATGATAAGAAGCCAGAAACAACTGTCTCAGTAACAACAGAAAAGATACCAAAGAAAGTAAAACAGAAGAAGAAGAAGGAACCTGAAAAAATTCTCTTCGTACCAACTTTAGCCGCAAAATATGCTGACGATGATGATGAAGTAATCGATAAAGCGAGAATTGAAATGATACAGAAAGCAATTACATTACCTAAATATGAAGGACTTCCAGGAGATGAACTCGAAGAGTTTAAACCTAAAAAAGTTAAACCTGAATTTGCAGCTTGTGTTGAATATCCTGAGTTGGTACGAGTTGAAGAAACTATTACACCAACAGGTTTTATGAAAAAGAAAGTTACAAAAACTCGTAGAATTAAACAAACCGTAGGAGATGATGAAAAAGTTATAAATATTGTTACTACAGAAGAGGAAGACAAACCTACAACATTAGAAATCTTTGAAAGTACCCCAGAAAAGGCTGGAATTACGGATGACACTCCTATTTTATTTGAAGCAACTCCGGAGGAAACCGAAACTCTTCAAAGTGTCGATGATAAAGGAAAGCCTAAGAAGAAAGTAATTAAAAAGGCTAAAATTCATAAAAAGGTAGGAGATAAAGATGAGGTTACTGATATTATTACTGTGATTGAAGAAGGAAAAGCACCTGAAGTTACAGTTACTGTAACAGATGCAAAAGATAAGAAAGACAAGAAACCTAAAAAACCTTCAAAGAAACATTTAGAAGGAAAGGTTCCGGAATCTGAAGAACTAGTACCTGAGGAAACTGTACCAGAATTTGGGGTATACGAGGAATACCCTGAGGAAGTGGAAACAAAAGAAGTTATTACTCCTGAAGGCATTACAACCAAAACCATCAAACGACGCAGAATTAAGAAAAAAGTTGATAATAAAGAAAAAATTATTAATATAGTTACAACTCAAGAAGAAAATAAACCAGATGATGTAGAAATATTCGAAACAACACCTGAAGAAGCTGGATTAAAATCAGAAGACGTGCCTTCAGTAATTGAGGAAATTCCCGAGGAAACACAAACAATAGTTCATATAGACGAAGATGGAAAACGAAAGAAGAAAACAATTAAGAAAACTAAACTAAAGAAAACGGTCGGAGATAAAGAACAAATCACCGATCTCGTCACAATTGAGGAAGACGGCAAAAAGCCAGAAACTATTGTTACCGTTACCGAATCGAAAACGAAAAAACCTAAACGTAAGAAGCCTCTTAAACCCGAAGAAGAAGAAATTACACCAACTCCTGAAATATGTGAAGAATATCCAGAAGAAATCAAAGAAGAAACTATACACACACCGAAAGGAGTTAAAAAAATAATAACAAAACGTCGAAAAATTAAAAAGGATGATGATAAGGTAATAAATATTGTTACAACACAAGAAGAAGATAAACCTGCTTCTGTCCAAGTATTTGAAAGTACACCCGAAGAAGCAGGTATAACTGAAGATGTTATTCCAATAATAGTGGAACAATTACCAGAAGAAACTCAAGTCTTTGATATCGTAGACGAAAAAGGAGTACCAAAGAAAAGAACGATAAAGAAAACTAAAGTTAAAAAGAAAGTGGGCGATAAAGAAGAAGTAACAGATATTACAACTATTGAGGAAACTGGCAAACAACCTGAAGTAACGGTAACTAAGAGTACTACAGAAACAAAAGTACCTAAACGGAAAAAGCCTTTGAAACCTGAAAAAAGGGAACAAGAAAAACCAGAAGATAAACTTGACAAAGTGCTTGAAGAAGAAAAACCACAAGAAACACCTCAATTTGTAGATTTCGAAGAGTTTCCGGAGGAAATACAAGTACAAGAAACAATAACACCTGAAGGTCCAAAGAAAAAAGTAATTAAACGTCGAAAACTTAAGAAAAAAGATGATGATAAAATACTTAATATAGTAACTACTGAAGAAGAAGGTAAACCTGAAGAAACACAAGTCTTTGAAACAACTCCAGAAGAAGCTGGAATTAAAAAGGATGATATTCCAGTTCCAGTTGAAGAATTACCGGAAGAAGTACAAACCATCGAAGTCATTGATAACAAAGGAATGCCCAAAAAGAAAACAATAAAGACAAGGAAGTTGAAAAAGAGGGTTGGTGATGTAGATGAAATCACTGATATAGTAACGATCGAGGAAGATGATAAAACACCCGAATTATCCGTAAAAGTTTCCAAAGATAAACCCAAAAAGCCAAAGAAAGAGAAACCAGAAAAAGTCGAAAAGGGCGATAAACCCATGAAAAAGGATTTAGAACAAATTAAACCACAAAAATTAGAGAAGCTTGTAATAAAACCTCAAAAAGTTGAAATCCATAAAATTGAAGATTTACCTCTTCTACTAAAGAAAAAACAAGCCACACCAAAGAAAGTTAAAAAGGTTAAAGTTCCTAAAATAAGACTGAAAAGTCGTATTACTCCGGTACCTTTCCCACCGCAAGGTCAACAAATGCAAACACCACTAATTTCTCAATTAGAGCCAATTTATAAGGACAACGGAATATTATCGAGAAATATGCGAGAAGCAGAGAAAGTAATAAAAACAAAACGACGTAAATTGAAAGATACTGGTAAAGAATCTCCTGATTTAGATAAACTTGACTTGGAATTTGAAGAGCTCAAAAAGAAACAACCAGAAGAAGTAGACGAAGCTTTCAAATACCAACGTAAACCCAAAAAACCTGAAGAAGAAAAGGAAGAACCCAAACCACTAAAAATAGGAAAAGGTAAAATACCTCAAGATGTTGAAGAACCTGAAAAAGTAACACTCAAAAAGATACCAGGAAAACCAGAAAAACCAATTCCTGAAGAACCTGCTAAAGACACGAAAGACAAGCCAGTTGAAAAGAAGAAGAAGCCTAAAAAGGATAAAGATGAACCCGAATTAGAACCGTTTAAACCTTATGATATTGACGATATTGATAGAGATCGTGAAGAGTTTGAAAAACCGGAATTTGATAAGGAAGATAAAGAGAAGCCTACAGAAGAGAAAAAGCGAACACCAAAGAAAAAAGAAAAGAAACCTCCACAAGAAGTAGAACAAATTACACCAGAAAAAGGTATACCGAAACCGAAACCTGAAGAAGAGCAACCGGATATAAAATTAAAATACAAACAAGGCCCTAAACCAGAAGAACAACCGGAAGAAATTAAGTTGAAACCGTTTAAGAAACCTAAACCGGAAAAAGACACTGAAGATAAACCCGATACTATCGGAAAACCGAAACCAATTTCTAGGGACGAAGAACCTTTCGAATTACAACCTAAAGAATTTGACGTGGATGATGATTCACACAAGAAGAAAAAGAAGAAACCCCGTACTCCTATAGTTCATGAAATTCCAGAAGAAATTAAAGTTATTGAAGAAATAACACCCGAAGGACCTAAGAAGAAAACAATTAAGAAACGAGTGATCAAGAAACGAGAAGGCCCAAAAGAAGAAATAACCGAAATAGAAACAATCGAAGAAGATGATAAAGCTCCAATTACCACAGTCACAGTTACAGAAGAAATCATACCTGAAGAAAAATTAGAAGAACCTATTTATGAAGAACCTGATAAAGCGGATGTAGTCGAAGAACTTCCTGAGGAAGTTAAGGTCACAGAAGTTGTAACAGAAACAGGTAAAAAAGTTAAGAAAACTATTAAGAAGAAAGTGTTTAAGAAACCGAAAGGAGAAGAGGAAGAGGAAACTACTGAAATTGTGACAATTGAAGAAGAAGGAAAGAAACCAGAAATTAAAGTCACAGTAAAGAAAGCTAAAATTGATGAAGTCAAGCCTAAAGAGGATGACACAAAAGTACTACCACAGGATAAAAAGAAACCTAAGAAAGCAAAACCGATTGTTCAAGAACTTCCTGAAGAAGTAAAAGTCACTGAAAACATTGTTGAAGGTAAAATGACAAAGAAAACTGTTAAGAAACGTGTAATCAAGAAACGAGATGGTGCAAAAGAAGAAATAACTGAAATTGAAACAGTCGAAGAAGGTGATAAAGCTCCAATTACCACAGTCACAGTTACGGAAGAAATCTTACCTGAAGAAAAATTAGAAGAACCTATTTACGAAGAACCTGAAAAAGTTGATGTAGTCGAAGAACTTCCTGAAGAAGTTAAGGTCACAGAAGTTATCACAGAAACAGGTAAAAAGGTAAAGAAAACTGTTAAAAAGAAGGTGTTTAAGAGACCGAAAGGAGAAGAGGAAGAAACCACAGAAATTGTCACAATTGAAGAAGAAGGGAAGAAACCCGAAACTAAAGTCACAGTTAAAAAGGCTAAGATTAAGGAAGTTAAACCAAAAGAAGATGACTCAAAGCCACTTCCAGAGGACAGTAAGAAACCCAAGAAAGCAAAACCAATTATTCAAGAGCTTCCTGAAGAAGTTAAAGTAACTGAAGTAATTGTTGAAGGTAAACCGACAAGGAAAACTGTTAAGAAACGTGTAATCAAGAAACGAGAAGGCCCAAAAGAAGAAATAACTGAAATTGAAACGGTCGAAGAAGATAATAAAGCTCCAATTACCACAGTCACTGTTACGGAAGAAATCTTACCTGAAGAAAAATTAGAAGAACCTATTTACGAAAAACCTGAAAAGGTGGATGTAATCGAAGAACTACCTGAGGAAGTTAAAGTAACAGAAGTTGTTACAGAAACGGGTAAAAAGGTAAGGAAAACTATTAAAAAGAAGGTGTTTAAGAAACCGAAAGGAGAAGAGGAAGAAACCACAGAAATTGTCACAATTGAAGAAGAAGGGAAGAAACCGGAAACTAAAGTCACAGTTAAAAAGGCTAAGATTAAAGAAGTTAAACCAAAAGAAGATGACACAAAGCCACTTCCAGAGGATAGTAAGAAACCTAAGAAAGCAAAGCCAATTATTCAAGAGCTTCCTGAAGAAGTTAAAATAACTGAAGTAATTGTTGAAGGTAAACCGACAAGGAAAACTGTTAAGAAACGTGTAATCAAGAAACGAGAAGGTCCAAAAGAAGAAATAACAGAAATTGAAACGGTCGAAGAAGATGATAAAGCTCCAATTACCACAGTCATTGTTACAGAAGAAATCTTACCTGAAGAAAAAGTAGAAGAACCTATTTACGAAAAACCTGAAAAAGTAGATGTAGTCGAAGAGCTACCTGAGGAAGTTAAGGTCACAGAAGTTGTTACAGAAACGGGTAAAAAGGTAAAGAAAACTATTAAGAAGAAGGTGTTTAAGAAACCGAAAGGAGAAGAAGAAGAAACCACAGAAATTGTCACAATTGAAGAAGAAGGGAAGAAACCCGAAACTAAAGTCACGGTTAAAAAGGCTAAGATTAAGGAAGTTAAACCAAAAGAAGACGACACAAAACCACTTCCAGAGGAAAGTAAGAAACCCAGGAAAGCAAAACCAATTATTCAAGAGCTTCCTGAAGAAGTTAAAGTAACTGAAGTAATTGTTGAAGGTAAACCGACTAGGAAAACTGTTAAGAAACGTGTAATCAAGAAACGAGAAGGTCCAAAAGAGGAAATAACAGAAATTGAAACAGTCGAAGAAGATGATAAAGCTCCAATTACCACAGTCACTGTTACAGAAGAAATCTTACCTGAAGAAAAAATGGAAGAACCTATTGACGAAAAACCTGAAAAAGCAGATGTAGTCGAAGAACTTCCTGAGGAAGTTAAAGTAACAGAAGTTGTCACGGAAACAGGTAAAAAGGTAAAGAAAACTATTAAAAAGAAGGTGTTTAAGAAACCGAAGGGAGAAGAGGAAGAAACCACAGAAATTGTCACAATTGAAGAAGAAGGAAAGAAACCAGAAACTAAAGTCACAGTTAAAAAGGCTAAGATTAAGGAAGTTATACCAAAAGAAGATGACACAAAACCACTTCCAGAGGATAGTAAGAAACCCAAGAAAGCAAAACCAATTGTTCAAGAGCTTCCTGAAGAAGTTAAAGTAACAGAAGTAATTGTTGAAGGTAAGCCGACAAGGAAAACTGTTAAGAAACGTGTAATCAAGAAACGAGAAGGTCCAAAAGAAGAAATAACTGAAATTGAAACCGTCGAGGAAGATGATAAAGCTCCAATTACCACAGTCACTGTTACAGAGGAAATCTTACCTGAAGAAAAATTAGAAGAACCTATTTACGAAAAACCTGAAAAAGTTGATGTAGTCGAAGAACTTCCTGAAGAAGTTAAGGTCACAGAAGTTATCACAGAAACAGGTAAAAAGGTAAAGAAAACTGTTAAAAAGAAGGTGTTTAAGAGACCGAAAGGAGAAGAGGAAGAAACCACAGAAATTGTCACAATTGAAGAAGAAGGGAAGAAACCCGAAACTAAAGTCACAGTGAAAAAGGCTAAAATCAAGGAAGTTAAACCAAAAGAGGATGACATAAAACCACTTCCAGAGGATAGTAAGAAACCCAAGAAAGCAAAACCGATTATTCAAGAGCTTCCGGAAGAAGTAAATGTCACTGAAGATATTGTTGAAGGTAAAATAACAAAGAAAACTGTTAAGAAACGTGTAATCAAAAAACGAGAAGGTCCAAAAGAAGAAATAACTGAAATTGAAACGATCGAAGAAGATGATAAAGCTCCAATAACCACAGTCACTGTTACAGAAGAAATCTTACCAGAAGAAAAAATAGAAGAACCTATTTACGAAAAACCTGAAAAAGTAGATGTAGTCGAAGAACTACCTGAGGAAGTTAAGGTCACAGAAGTTATCACAGAAACCGGTAAAAAGGTAAAGAAAACTATTAAAAAGAAGGTGTTTAAGAAACCGAAAGGAGAAGAAGAAGAAACTACCGAAATTGTCACAATTGAAGAAGAAGGGAAGAAACCCGAAACTAAAGTCACAGTGAAAAAGGCTAAGATTAAGGAAGTTAAACCAAAAGAAGATGACACAAAACCTCTTCCAGAGGATAGTAAGAAACCCAGGAAAGCAAAACCAATTATTCAAGAGCTTCCCGAAGAAGTTAAAGTAACAGAAGTAATTGTTGAAGGTAAGCCGACAAGGAAAACGGTTAAGAAACGTGTAATCAAGAAACGAGAAGGTCCAAAAGAAGAAATAACAGAAATTGAAACCGTCGAGGAAGATGATAAAGCTCCAATTACCACAGTCACTGTTACAGAGGAAATCTTATCTGAAGAAAAATTAGAAGAACCTATTTACGAAAAACCTGAAAAAGTAGATGTAGTCGAAGAACTTCCTGAGGAAGTTAAAGTAACAGAAGTTGTTACAGAAACGGGTAAGAAGGTAAAGAAAACTATTAAAAAGAAGGTGTTTAAGAAACCGAAAGGAGAAGAGGAAGAAACCACAGAAATTGTCACAATTGAAGAAGAAGGGAAGAAACCCGAAACTAAGGTCACAGTTAAAAAAGCTAAGATTAAGGAAGTTAAACCAAAAGAAGATGACTCAAAGCCACTTCCAGAGGACAGTAAGAAACCCAAGAAAGCAAAACCAATTATTCAAGAGCTTCCTGAAGAAGTTAAAGTAACTGAAGTAATTGTTGAAGGTAAACCGACAAGGAAAACTGTTAAGAAACGTGTAATCAAGAAACGAGAAGGTCCAAAAGAAGAAATAACAGAAATTGAAACGGTCGAAGAAGATGATAAAGCTCCAATTACCACAGTCACTGTTACAGAAGAAATCTTACCTGAAGAAAAAATAGAAGAACCTATTGACGAAAAACCTGAAAAAGCAGATGTAGTCGAAGAACTTCCTGAGGAAGTTAAAGTAACAGAAGTTGTCACGGAAACAGGTAAAAAGGTAAAGAAAACTATTAAAAAGAAGGTGTTTAAGAAACCGAAGGGAGAAGAGGAAGAAACCACAGAAATTGTCACAATTGAAGAAGAAGGAAAGAAACCAGAAACTAAAGTCACAGTTAAAAAGGCTAAGATTAAGGAAGTTATACCAAAAGAAGATGACACAAAACCACTTCCAGAGGATAGTAAGAAACCCAAGAAAGCAAAACCAATTGTTCAAGAGCTTCCTGAAGAAGTTAAAGTAACAGAAGTAATTGTTGAAGGTAAGCCGACAAGGAAAACTGTTAAGAAACGTGTAATCAAGAAACGAGAAGGTCCAAAAGAAGAAATAACTGAAATTGAAACCGTCGAGGAAGATGATAAAGCTCCAATTACCACAGTCACTGTTACAGAGGAAATCTTACCTGAAGAAAAATTAGAAGAACCTATTTACGAAAAACCTGAAAAAGTAGATGTAATCGAAGAACTACCTGAGGAAGTTAAGGTCACAGAAGTTATCACAGAAACCGGTAAAAAGGTAAAGAAAACTATCAAAAAGAAGGTGTTTAAGAAACCGAAAGGAGAAGAGGAAGAAGAAACAACCGAAATTGTCACAATTGAAGAAGAAGGGAAGAAACCCGAAACTAAAGTTACAGTGAAAAAAGCTAAAATCAAAGAACTTAAACCTAAGGAGGATGACACTAAGCCACTTCTACAGGATACTAAGAAACCTAAGAAAGCAAAACCGATAATTCAAGAACTCCCCGAAGAAGTAAAAGTCACTGAAGTTATTGTTGAAGGTGAACCCATCAAGAAAATTGTTAAGAAGCGTGTTATAAAGAAACGCGAAGGTCCTAAAGAAGAAATTACGGAAATAGAAACAATACAGGAAGGTGATAAGCCCGCTGTTACTAAAATCACGATTAAGGATGAAGAAATTCCAGAAGAAAAACTGGATGAAGTTCCAACAGATGTTGATACTGCCCAAATTATTGAAGAATTACCAGAAGAAGTTATTGTTTCCGAAGTGCATACTGATGAAGGTCCGAAGAAAAAGGTTTTGAGAAAGAAAGTGTTCAAGAAACCGAAAGGTGATACTGTTGAAACAACCGAAATTGTTACAGTAGAAGAAGAAGGAAAAGAACCAGAAACAACTATGTCTGTAAAGCGACATAGGAAGAAGCCAAAGAAAGAGAAGTATCTCTTCGTGCCTACATTAGCCCAAAGAGATTCTGAAGATTCAGAAGAAGAAGTAATCACTAAAGTAAGAATAGAAATGATTCAAAAGGCAGTATCTCTTCCAAAATACACCTCAGTAGAACAAGAAGAAGTGGACACGTTGGTACCCACTACCCCAATAACTCCCCAATATGCAATTTGTGAAGAATACCCCGAGCATATGCATGTGCACACCACCACTTTGCCGACTGGAATTGTTGAGAGAAAAGTAGTAAAAGAAAGAAGGATTAAAAAGAAAGTAGGCGACAAGGACGTTGTTACTAAAATAACAACTGTCGAAGAAGAAGACAAAGAACCTACTGTTACAGTCGAAGAAATCACACCAGAAGAGGCAAACATCAAAGAAGACGAAGTTCCTGTTCCAGTTGAGGAATCTCCTGAATTAGTTCATGTTATTGAAGATAAGAAAATTAAGAAGAGAGTTATTAAGAAACCAAAAGGCGACGAGGTAGAAACTACGGAAATATTAACTATCGAAGAAAAAAATAAAAAACCCGAAGTAACGGTAACTGTAACAACATCCAAAGAAACTCAAATCACTGATGATCATGTACACCCACTCGATACACACAAACCGAAAAAGAGCCGAGCCAAAGTGACACCCACCACCACGGATACAAAAATTATCACCGAAACACACACTTATGACACTACAGGCGATGTTAACTTAGGTAAGCTTTATACGTTTACTAAAACTGATATATCTCGTGCTCTATCCTGTATACTACTTACCGAATACTTAAACCTAATACTTAACGTAGAACACCGGATATACGTACACTAGTGCACATAACATTTTCCATAACCATAAAATAACAGTAATCTATAACAGCATTTACGTGTTACAGGAGATTTGTTACCAACAGAAAAAGTTCAACCGACTATTGAACCTGTGGAATCGGTTACAGTTGAAGTTGTAGACACCCAAAAACAAAATGAGGAAGTAAGTAAAAAGAAACCAATTAAAAAGGTAAAGGCAACCAAAGTTGAGGAAGTTGAAGAACAACCAGAAGTTATTGAATTTAAACCAGAAATTTTAGAAGAAAAACCAGAAGAGGAAGAAATAATTGAAGAGAAAGTAATTAAAACTAAGAAAATACGCAAACCAAAGAAAATTGAAAAAGAAATCGTAATTGAAGAGACTGTCGTTCAAGAAGAAAAACCAGATGCTTCCAAAATTGAAGAAATAACAGAAAAAACCTTTATCAAAAAGAAAAAGGTGCTTAAACCTAAAAAAACTGAAACTGGAGAGTTGGTTATTGAAGAGGTAATTATAGATGATGTGAAACCTTTAGAGGATATTCCACAGAAAGAAATTGCGGAAGAAAAAGTTCAAAAGAAACATGTTAAAGCGAAAATAGAAAAACCTGAGATTGTGATTGAGGAGGAAATAATTGAAGAAGTGCCTGTTCAAAAACCAACCGAAGAAAAACCAACTGAAGAAAAAGTAACTGAAGAAAAACCTGTCGAAGAAGTTAAATTGATCAAAAAGAAGCGAAAGAAGGTTATTAGGCCACGCGAAACTGATACTGGCGAATTAGTGCTTGAAGAGGAGGTTACTGAGGAAATCATTCCGATCGAAGAACCTGAGAAGAAACCAAAGAAAAAGAAAATTATTAAACCAAAAGAAGAAAAACCTGAAGAAATAAAACCAGAAGAAGTTAAACCTAAAGAAAAGAAAACGAAGCCAGTTAAAATAGGAAAGCAACTTATTCAACCTATGGAAATCGAAAGAACTGAAGTTAAACCAAATAAACTGATTATTACAGCTCCTAAAGATGCACCAATTAATTTTGCAGAAATCAAACTTCGTAAACCCAAAGTACCTCAACGCAAGGAATCTAAAGTAAAACTTCCCAAATTTTTATTAAAAAGTAGAATTACTCCAGTGGATTTCCCACCTAAAGGACAACAAGAACAAAAACCAATTGTGACACAGAGAACTCCAGATCGTAAAGACAACGGTATTTTAAGTCGCAACGTGGAGGATGCTGAAAAAGTATTGAAAACGAAACGAAGAAAATTGAAAGATAAAGGAAAAGAAGAAATCGACTTGGAAAAATTAGAGTTGTTAGAGGAACCAGAAAAACCAGAATTAGAAAAAGTTGATGAAGCGTTTAAATATCAAAGGAAGTCGAAGAAACCAAAGGAAGAAGTAGTCGAGGAAAAGAAAATTCCGATTGGTAAAGGTAAGGTTCCAAAAGAAGAAGAAAAGCCTGAAGAAGTTAAATTAAAAGCTATACCTAAAAAACCGGAAGAAGCTCCCGTAGAGGAAGTTAAAAAACCTAAGAAAGAAAAGAAAGAAGAAAAACCTGTAAAAGAAAAACCTGAGGAAGAACAACCTAAAATTGAACCATTCAAACCGTATGATATCGAGAGGGAATCCCCCGAAAAGGAAGAATTAGAACTTCCACAACCGGAAAAACCAGAAGAAATTCCTGAAGAAAAAGAGAAACCTAAGCCTAAAAAATCACGAAAACCAAAACCAACACCGGAAACTGAAGAAATTCAGATTGTAAAAGGTGTACCTAAACCGAAAGAAGAAGAAGAACAACCAGATATTAAGTTAAAATACAAGCAAGGACCAAAACCCGAAGAGGTACCGGAAGAAATTAAATTGAAACCATTCGTTAAACCGAAACCTGATGATACCGAAGAAACAAAAACTTTAGATGTGGGCAAACCAAAAACTATTCCAAGTGGAGAAGGTGAAGAAATTGCACCTCCTAAACTAAAGAAAACGAAAACTAAAAAGATTAAAAAGCCTGAGGAGGAAATGCCAGCTGATGTACCAGTTGAAGAAGAAAAAGTAGAAGAAGAGGTGCCAGAAGAAATACCAGAAGAAATAAAACCGGAAGAGGAAATACCTGAAAAACCAAAGAAACCTAAGAAACCAAAACAAGTTAAAGAAATACCTCAAGAAGAGGAAAAGCCGACAGTTGTCGAGGAAATACCGGAAGTTCCAGAAGTATTAGAAGAAATAATCGAAGATAAAGAAGTCAAAAAACGTAAAAAGATTATAAAGAAAACAAAAGTAAAAGAAGAGGAAGTACCGACAGAGGAAATAATAGAAGAGGTGAAACCAAAAGAAAAGAAAAAGAAACCCGTTAAAGTTGGAAAGGAATTAATACAACCGATGACAATTGAACATACGGAAGTAAAGCCACAAAAGCTAATAGTAACTGCTCCGAAGGATGCACCTGTTAACTTCGCCGAAATAAAATTACGCAAACCTAAAATACCAGAAAAGAAAGCACCTAAAGCTGGAAAGCTACCCAAATTTTTATTAAAAAGCAGAATCAAACATGTTCCATTCCCACCGGCAAATGAAATTGAAAGAATACCGATTGTTACGCAGAGGAAACCAGATCTTAAAGATCATGGTGAATTATCTAGAAATGTTAAAGAAGCCGAAGAGGTATTGAAAAAGAAGCGTAGAAAACCAAAGGATGTTGATCGAGAACTACAGGACTTAGAAAAATTAGACTTGGATTTAGAGGAAATTAAAAAACCGGAGCTTGAAAAAGTTGATGAAGCCTTTAAATATGAAAGGAAGCCTAAAAAACCAAAGGAAGAGAAGGTGGAAGAAGCACAACCAATTAAATTAGGTAAAGGTAAGGTACCCAAGGAAGAAGAACAACCAGAGGAGGTTAAACTGAAAAAGATTCCTAAAAAGCCTGAAGAAAAACCAGAGGAAATCGTAGAAAAGCCAAAGAAACCTAAAGAAGAAAAGAAGAAACCTAAAGAAATCAGCGAAGTTGAACAACCAGAATTAACTCCATTTAAACCATATGATATTGAACGAGAATCACCTGAAAGAGAAGTATTTGAAAAACCTGAGTTTGAAAAACCCGAAAAAGATATTCCAGAGGAAAAGAAAGAGAAGCCTAAAAAAGGTAAGAAAACAAAACCCACACCAGAAACAGAACAAATACAACTTCAAAAAGGTACACCCAAACCTAAAGAGGTAGAAGAACAACCAGACATCACACTCAAATACAAACAAGGTCCAAAACCGGAAGAAGTTCCGGAAGAAATCAAATTAAAACCATTTACAAAACCTAAACCTGAACAAGAAGACACCACACCTGAAACTACAATCGGCAAACCCGACACACTACCAACAGACACTACTGAGCTTGAAAAAATTAAAATTGTTAAAATTAAAAAGAAAGTCCGTGGTAAAAAATCTACTCCTGAAACAGCCGAAGAAGTGGAAGGACAGCCAGACGAATTCGCCGAGGTTCCAGAGGAAGAATTACCTGAAGAAACTATAATTGAAGAAATCGTGGAGGTTCCTGAAGAGGAAGAACATATTGAAATAATACGAAAGAAATTAATACGAAAGAAACCAAAGGAACAAAAACCTGTAGAAGAAGAAAAACCTATAGAAGAACAAAAACCAACTGAAGAAACCCCGATTGTAGAAGAACCAGAAGAACTTCCAAAAACTGAGGAGGAAACTATTGTTGAAGTAAAGAAAGTGAAGAAAATTATTAAGAAGCAGAAACCCAAAAAGGGTGAAGAAATTGTTGATGAACAAATAGTAATAGAAGAAATACCTATTGAAGAAGATGAAAAACCAACAGTTCCGGAAGAAATTCCTAAAGAAGATGAAGAAACAATAGTTGAAATAAAGAAAGTAAAGAAAATAATCAAAAAGCAAAAACCTAAAGAAGGTCAAGTTGAAGAGGAAAAGATTATAATCGAAGAAGTACCGTTAGAAGAAAAACCTGAGGAACAAGAAGAAATCATCGAGGAAATTATCAAACGTAAAAAGAAAGTTAAGAAACCAAAGGAAATAGAAGAAGAAAAACCAGAAGAAATAGTTCCAGAAATAAAAGAAGAAAAACCAAAGAAACCTGTTAAGGTTGGTAAGCAACTTATTCAACCACAAACTTTAGAACTAAAAGAACAAGCTCCACAAAAACTGAAAATTAGCGCACCTAAAGATGAACCTGTTAATTTTGCTGAAATAAAATTAAAGAAACCAAAAGTGCCTCAAAGAAAAGAATCGAAAGTGAAACTTCCTAAATTCTTATTGAAAAGTAGAATCAATCATATTCCGTTCCCACCACAAAATGAATCAGAAAAGAAACCGGTTCTTACAGTAAGAACGCCCGATTTGAAAGATAGCGGGGTGTTATCAAGGAATGTTAAAGATGCGGAAGAGGTACTGAAGAAGAAGCGCAGGAAACCAAAGGAAATTGATAGGGATCTTAAGGAACTGGAGAAAATCGATACTGAATACGATGAGTATAAGAAACCTGAACTGGAAAAGGTAGATGATGCGTTCAAATACGAAAGAAAACCAAAGAAACCAAAAGAAGAGAAAGTTGAAGAAGTTCAGCCAATTAAATTGGGAAAAGGAAAAGTACCTGTAGAAGAAGAAAAACCAGAAGAAGTGAAATTAAAGAAAATTCCGGCGAAACCGGAAGAAATATTACCCGAAGAAGTAGAAAAACCCAAAAAAGTTAAGGAAGAAGAGAAACCGAAGAAATCAAAGAAAGAAAGAGAAGCTCCTGAACTAAAACCGTTTGAACCTTACGACATAGAGCGTGAATCACCTGAAAAAGAGGTCCTAGAAATACCTGAAAGGGAAAAACCTGAAAAAGAAATTCCAGAAAAGAAAGAGGAGAAACCTAAAAAACCGAAGAAAGAAAAGAAAGAACCTGAAGTTGAAGAAATCACGTTGGTGAAAGGTAAACCGAAACCGAAACCGGAAGAAGAGCAACCTGAAATTAAATTAAAATATAAACAAGGTCCCAAACCGGAAGAAGTTCCCGAAGAAATCAAATTAAAACCGTTTGATAAAATGAAAATTGAAGAAGAAGTGAAAAAAGATATTGAGAAACCTGAAGAAGAAATAAAACCGGAGAAAAAGGTTGAAAGGGAGGAAGAAATTATAGAAAAGACAGTTATTAAACGTAAAAAACCAAAAGCTAAGGATCAAAAGCCAACTGAAGAAGCGGAAGTACCACAAGCAGAAATACCAGAAGAAGAAATACCTGAAGAAATTCCGGTTGAGAAACCAGTTGAGGAGGCTAAACCAGAAGAAATTGTAGAAAAGAAAGTAGAAAAGAAAAAGAAACCGAAGCCAAAACCAGAAGAAGTTCAAGAAGAAAAGCCGGTGATACAAGAAATCGTACCAGAAGAAAAGAAACCGGAAGAAAAGATAATAGAAGAAATAGAAGTTCAAAAGAAAATTATTAAGAAACCGAAACCGAAAAAGAAAGAAGAAGTTCCTGAAGAAATTCCAGAAAAGGTTCCAGAAAAACCTAAAAAACCAATAAAGGTCGGAAAAGAATTAATTAAACCACAATCTATTGAACGAAGCGAACATAAACCGCAGAAATTAGTAATAACTAAGCCGGAAGATGCACCTGTTAACTTTGCTGAAATTAAATTAAAGAAACCAAAATCCGTTCCGAGAAAAGAATCTAAAGTAAAACTTCCTAAATTTTTATTGAAAAGTCGAATACAACATATTCCCTTCCCACCGGCTAGTGAATCCGAACAAAAGCCTGTATTAACCGTTAGAAAGCCAGATCTTAAAGATAATGGTATTTTATCTAGAAACGTACAAGATGCTGAAGAAATATTGAAGAAAAAACGAAGAAAACCAAAAGATATTGACAGAGACTTACTGGATTTAGAAAAAGTTGACACTGATTTGGACGAATATAAAAAACCGGAACTCGAAAAGGTCGATGAGGCGTTCAAATATGAAAGAAAACCAAAGAAACCTAAAGAGGAAAAATTGGAAGAAGCTAAGCCTATACAAATTGGAAAAGGTAAAGTACCAAAAGAAGAAGAACAGCCAGAGTCTGTAAAACTAAAGAAAATACCTGCAAAACCAGAAGAAGCCCCTCAAGAAGAAAAGGAAAAACCAAAGAAACCAAAAACTGAAGAAAAGGTGAAAAAAGAAAAACCAGAAAAAGAACAACCAGAATTAAAACCTTTTGAACCTTACGACATCGAAAGGGAATCGCCCGAAAAGGAAGAATTTGAAAAACCGGAATTTGAGAAACCCGAAAAAGAAAAACCTGAGAAGGTAGAAAAGAAACCGAAAAAGGAAAAGAAACCTAAACCCGAACCTGAAACAGTACAAATTCCTTTGGAGAAAGGAAAACCCAAACCTCAACCGGAGGAGGAGCAACCTGAAATTACACTTAAGTACAAACAGGGACCTAAACCTGAAGAACAGCCAGAAGAAATTACCCTTAAACCATTTAAAAAGCCCGCTGAAAAGCCGGAAGAAGCTGAAAAGGAATTAGAAGCTCCAAAACCAGAACCTATTCCAACTGGTGAAGGACCAGAAGATAAATTAATTATTGAAAGGAAGGTAATAAAGAAGAAAAAGCCGAAACAAAAAGATGTGCCGGCCGAAGAAGAGAAACCAGAAGAAATACCTGAAGAAACACCAGAGGAAAAACCGGTGGAGAAAAAACCTAAGAAACCAAAAGAAGAAAAACCGGTTAAAGTCGGTACGGAAACTATTAAACCAATTAAAATCCAACGACATGAAGTTAAACCTCAAAAACTCATCATTACCAAACCAGAAGAAGTTAATCTGAGTGAAATCAAGTTGAAAAAGCCTAAAGTCCCGCAAAAGAAAGAACCAAAGAGTGTCAAATTACCTAAATTCCTACTGAAAAGTAGAATAGTTCACGTTGATTTCCCACCTCTATCCGAATTAGAAAAGAAACCACAAATCACGCAATTAGAACCTGTCGTAAAAGAAAACGGTGTTTTATCAAGAAACGTTCAGGAAGCTGAAGAAGTATTAAAAACAAAAGCCAGAAAACTGAAGAAAATCCCCAAAGAAAAAACCGAATTAGAAAAACTCGATCTGGACTTTGGAGATGACGAGAAACCAGTTTTAGAAAAAGTTGATGAAGAGTACAGGTACAAAAAAGAACCTAAGAAACCCAAAGAAAAACCAGAAGAACCAAAACCAGTTAAGGTCGGAAAAGGTAAAGTGCCTGAAAAAGAAGAAAAATTGGAAGAACCTGTTAAATTGAAAAAGGTTCCAGAAAAGAAGGAAGAGATTCCAGAAGAACCGAAACCTAAACCTAAAAAAGAAGACGAACCGGTTCCTGAAAAGAAGGAAAAAGAGGAAAAAGAATTCCCAACGGCACCCTCTTTTGAACCATATGATATTCCCAGAGAATCCCCTGAAAAGGAGGAACTGGTAATGCCAGAATGGCCAAAAGAAGAGAAAGAAAAACCAGTTGAAGAAAAACCAAAGCCGAAAAAGGCTAAGAAACCTAAACCAGAACCGGAAACCATACAAATTCCTTTGGAAAAGGGACCTCCGAAACCTAAAGAGGAAGAAGAGCAGCCCGAAATTACATTGAAATATAAACAAGGGCCTAAACCTGAAGAACAACCCGAAGAAATAACTTTGAAACCGATCAAAAAAGAAAAGGAAAAAGTACCTGAAGAAAAACCAGAAGAAAAGCCGGTAGTTGTAGAGGACGAAAAGAAAAAGGAAGTTATTGAAGAAATTGAAGAAAAGGTTACAATTAGAAAGAAAAAACCGAAAGAGAAGCCGGAAGAAAAACCAGTAGAAGAAGCCCCTGAAGAGGAAGTTGTTCTTAAAAAACCAGAAGAAATCAAAGAGGAAATCACAGAGCAGGTTATAATTACAAAAAAGAAAACAAAGAAACCTAAAGAGGAAGCACCAGCCGAAGAGATAACAATTAAAAAACCGGTTGAAGAAGTTGCTCCAGCTGAGGAAATCGTTATAAAGAAAAAGAAACCACAGGAACCAAAAGAAGAAGTTGTTGAGGCAGAAATTGTAATTAAAAAACCAGAAGAAGAACAGGTTACAGAAACAATAACTACGGAGGAGATCATCATAAAGAAACACAAGAAGCCAAAAGCACCCGTTGAAGAAGAACAACAAGCAGAAATTACTCTTAAGAAACCTGAAGAGGAAAAACCGGTTGAAGTAGTTGAATCGAAAGAAGAAGTAAAAATTGTTAAAAAGAAACCTAAGAAACCGAAAGAGGAAGAAGCTCCGGCTGAATTGACTATTAAGAAAGTGGAACCTGTTGAAGAAGAAAAACCAGAAGAGAAACCAGAAGAGAAAGTACCGGAGGAAGTTGAAAAACCTAAGGAACCTGAAAAGGTTGAAGAAAAAACACCAGAAGTCGTTATCAAGAAGAAGAAACCAGTGGTGGAGGAAACTGTAGAAGAACAGGTCACATTAAAGAAAGTTACAGAGGAACAACCGGTTACTGAAGAAGTTGTTTTGAAAAAGAAGAAACCAAAGAAAGTTGTTGAAGAAACGGTAGAAGACGAAATCACCATAAAGAAGGTGGTGGTAGAGAAACCGGAAGAAACACCAGAAGAAGTAACTGAAGAAGTTGTAATTAAAAAGGAAAAACCTAAACCTGTAATTGAAGAAACTGTTGAAGAAGAAGTTACTATTAAAAAGACTCCAGAAAAACCAAAGGAGGAAGTTGCAGAAGAAATTACTTTAAAGAAAAAGAAACCGAAGAAAACGGTACAAGAAACCGTCGAAGAAGAAGTTACCATAAAGAAAGTTGTGCCAAAAACGCCAGAAAAGGTAGAAGAAGTTGTGGAAGAAGTTGTTTTGAAACCTAAGAAACCAGAAAAAGTTACTGAAGAAACAGTTGAGGAAGAAATCACAATTAAAAAAGTTGTTCCAGAAAAACCTAAAGAAGTTGAAGAAGTAACTGAAGAAGTCACTTTAAAGAAGAAACCAAAGAAAGTAACCGAAGAAACGGTTGAAGAAGAAATAACAATTAAGAAGGTGGTTCCGGAGAAACCTAAAGAAGTTGAGGAAGTGACTGAAGAAGTCAGCTTAAAGAAAAAGAAACCAAAGAAAGTAACTGAAGAAACTGTTGAAGAAGAAATTACTATTAAGAAGGTCGTTCCGGAGAAACCTAAAGAAGTTGAGGAAGTGACTGAAGAAGTCACCTTAAAGAAAAAGAAACCAAAGAAAGTAACCGAAGAAACGGTTGAAGAAGAAATTACCATTAAGAAGGTCGTTCCGGAAAAACCTAAAGAAGTTGAGGAAGTGACTGAAGAAGTCACCTTAAAGAAAAAGAAACCAAAGAAAGTAACCGAAGAAACGGTTGAAGAAGAAATTACCATTAAGAAGGTCGTTCCGGAGAAACCTAAAGAAGTTGAGGAAGTGACTGAAGAAGTCACCTTAAAGAAAGAGAAACCAAAGAAAGTAACTGAAGAAACTGTTGAAGAAGAAATTACCATTAAGAAGATCGTTCCGGAGAAACCTAAGGAAGTTGAGGAAGTTACTGAAGAAGTCACCTTAAAGAAAAAGAAACCAAAGAAGGTAACCGAAGAAACGGTTGAGGAAGAAATTACCATTAAGAAGGTCGTTCCGGAGAAACCTAAAGAAGTTGAGGAAGTGACTGAAGAAGTCACCTTAAAGAAAAAGAAACCAAAGAAAGTAACTGAAGAAACTGTTGAAGAAGAAATTACAATTAAAAAAGTTGTTCCTCTGCAACCAGAAGAAGTCGAAGATGTGACCGAAGAAGTGACCTTAAAGAAAAAGACACCAAAGAAAGTAACGGAAGAAACAGTTGAAGAAGAAATTACAATAAAGAAAGTCGTTCCTGTACAACCAGAAGAAGTCGAGGAAGTAACCGAAGCAATACAAATTAAGAAGAAGCCGAAGAAGCCAACTGAAGAAACAGCCGAAGAAGAATTAACAATCAAAAAGGTAGTTCCTCAAAAACCAGAAGAAGTGGAAGAAGTAACAGATGAAGTGGTAATCAAGAAAAAGAAACCAGAAAAACCTAAAGAACAAGAAGTTGAAGAAGAGATTACAATTAAGAAACCTAAAAAGGTTGAGGAAACCAGTGAGGAAATAACTATTAAAAGAAAGAAAGCTAAAAAGCCTCAAGAAGAGGAAGTATCAGAAGAATTTACCATCAAAAAAGTTAAACCTATTAAGGTGGAAGAAACTGTGGAATCTTCAGAAGATGTTACAATAAAGAAAAAGACACCGAAGAAACCAACTAAAGATGAAGCTGCTGATGAATTGACGGTGAAGAAGATGGTAGAAGTTGATGAAACGGATGAAGTAACTGTTAGAAGAAAACGACCGGAAGAAGAGGAGGAAGAAGAAGCTGAAGTAGTACTAAAGAAACCACATGAAGTGGAAGATGTAGTACACGAATTTGTAATCAAAAAGAAACCTCCACCTAAACCACCAACGATTGAGGAACACGCACAAGAAATCACGATCAAAAAATTGAAGAAGATGCGTAAAAAGCCTGAAATTCCTGAATATACAGAAGTAGAAAATGTAACATTTAGACCAAAAACAACCAGAACCAAAGAGGATGTTGAACAAGAGTTTAACATTCAATTAGATTCATATGCGGAAGAAGAAATTTCCATGTCTGGAAAAGTAAAACTTAAGAAACAACGTCCACTCACTTACTCTGAAGAAGCAGGAGCAAAAACTATTAAAATCAGAAGAGAAATTGAGGAAGAAGGTCCTACTCAAGAAGAAATCATTGACGATGGTAGCGACGCTGAAGAACTTCCTTATGACGATGATGGCTTAGAACAAAGTTTCCATGTACCATTTAGAAGAAAATCAAAACCGGAATACTCCGTGCATGATGAAGATGAAGAAAGTGTTTCTATTGGTATTAGAAGACCGCGTCCTAAAGCTGTTGATTATGAAGAAGAATCCTTGTCCATCATGCAGAAGAGGAAACCATCCCAACCAACATTTGACCAAGGTTTTTATACTACTACTACTACTATCCTTTATACCAGCTTTTCAGCTATACAAATATATTTTACCGCTACATCCGCTCTCCACATTCCATATATTTTCTTTTACACATAAATTAACAGTTATTAATATTTTAGAAACAGCTTCATTAAGTATAACTAGGGAACAAGATATTTCAGAGGAAGAACAAATTGTAGAGGTTACCGAAGGTGACACTTTATACTCAATCTGCTCATATGTAGCTGAAGCAGACCAAGCAATAGATTTAGTTGAAGGTGAAAAGGTTTATGTACTCGATATGGATAATGTTGATTGGTGGTTTGTGAAGAAGCATTTAACCGAGGAAAGAGGCTGGGTTCCAGCTCAATATCTTATGGATGAAGAAAATTACACTATTTATGTTCAAAAGAAATTACACGAAAAAATAGACAAATTACCAGTCTTTGAAAGTAAGTAGAAAATAATCAGCATTAAATGTATAATTTTCAAATTATCTTAAATTTAGGACCTAAACCAACTGAAAAGCCAGTTGCTCCAAGATTTATCGAAAAACTCCAACCACAACACACTCCTGATGGTTACACAGTTCAATTCGAGTGCCAAGTTGAAGGAACTCCGCGTCCTCAAATCACTTGGTTCCGACAAACAGCTATCATTAAACCATCTAAAGATTTCCAAATGTTTTACGATGAAGATAACGTAGCCACACTTATCATTCGAGAGGTATTCCCAGAAGATGCAGGAACATTCACTTGCGTGGCTAAAAACTCGGCAGGTTTTGCATCTAGCACAACAGAATTAATAGTTGAACTACCTCTATCAGATCACGGATCAGACTTTACAGGTCTTTCTCGACGAAGTTTATCGAGAGAATCATCTTTAGCTGACATCTTAGAAGGTATTCCACCAACCTTCGCCAAGAAACCCAAAGCTCAGTGCGTCGATGTAAAATCAGATGTAGTGATTGAATGCAGACTTGTAGCAGTTCCTGAACCAGATGTTATTTGGAAATTTAACGGAAAGAGAATTAAATCTGTAAAGAATGTCACAATCGTTACAGAATCTGATATGCACATGTACACCACAATACTGAAAATTAAAGAAATCGAAAAAACTCAAGAAGGTGTTTATGAGATTATAGCCAGAAATCGTGAAGGTGAAGCCAAAGTTAAGATTCCATTAAAAGTAAGAACAGGAGAAAATGAGAAACCACAAATTTTGGAACCTTTACGAAATACCAATGTAAGAGAAGGGGATAGTGTTCTTCTCACCACAACAATTGTGGGAAATCCAACACCAACGATTACATGGTACAAAGATGGAAAACCATTTAAGACTCCAACTCCCAAAAAGGTTGATAACGAATACATTTTACCCATCGTTGAAACAGTTAAAGGGGACACGGGAGAATATACTGTGAAGGCTGAGAACCCATTGGGAGTAGCTGAAACCACAGCAGTATTAACCGTTGAAGGTAATTATTAAGTTACCTAAAAGCTTCGCAAATTAATCTAACCGCTTTATTTCTTTTTAGCCAACAAATAAATTTATTTATTTTATTTTTCTTTCTCGTTTTATTGCTTACTAACACAACACTTTGCTTTTTTAATATTCCTCTTAATTTTGCTTTGTAAATTAAATTCGCATTTCTAACTTTTATATCTTCTCTCAGAATGCCCCGTACCAAAACCAGAACCGCCAATCTTCGTCGAAAGATTCCAAGAGCAAACAGTGCCAGAAAAAGGAACCCTACGTTTATACGCAAGAGTCATCGGAAACCCAGTACCAGAAGTTTTCTGGTTACGAAACAACGAGCCGCTTAAATCATCACCAAAGATAAAAATGTCATACGACGGCGAAAACATCGAGCTAACCATCAAAGATGCTAACTCCGAAATCGATACTGGCGATTATAAATGTGTCGCTACAAATTCTATTGGTAAAACATCTCACGGTGCTAGAATCACCGTTGATGTAGAAACGGTGACCTTCACCAAACAGCTAAAGAAGGTTTATGAAGTTACTGAAAGGGAAACCATCAAAATGGAGTGCGAAACCTCGCACACGGTTTCAACTAAATGGTGGCACAACGATAAAGAAATTAGCGGAATGGATCATCGTGTCGTTATACAAGAAGGTAAAACACACAAATTAGTAATTAAGAATACCACGACGAAAGATGTGGGTACCTATAAATGTACGGTGAAAAATCAAAAAACCGAAACTACCTTGGAAGTGACCGAAATGAAACCTGAATTTATTCGAAAACTTCATGATGTTGAAGTAACCGAAAAAGAAACTGCCTTATTGGAAGTTGAGATTACATCGGACACGGTTGATGTTGTCTGGATGAAAGATGGACAACGCATACCTGTTGAAGAAGATAAAGAGAAGTACACCGTTGAAAAACAAGGTGGAAATCGTAGGTTGTTTGTTAAACATATCACAATTCACGATGAAGGCGAGTACACTTGTACATTAGTCGACGAAACCTCAACCTGCGAAGTAACAGTAATTGAATTACCACCAGAAATAATTAAAAAATTAGAAGACCAAACAATTTACAAAGGAGAAAAAGCAGTATTCGAAATAGAACTAACCAAAGGAGACGCATTAGTCTCTTGGTTTAAGGATAGCCAAGAAATCCAATTCTCCGAACACATCCAACTCTCAATTGATGGCAAATGCCAAAAACTGAAAATTTATAATTGCGAACCCGAAGATGCAGGTGTTTATTCATGCCAAGTAGGCACCCAAGAATCAACGGCAAACTTAATTGTTTTCGAACCAACTTTGACATTCCTCAAGAAACTTCCAGAATATACAAGAATTCCACTGGGCGAAGATGTCGAGCTTGTTGTAGAACTTTCTAGACCAGACGTAGAAGTCAAATGGCTGAAAAACGGTGAAATAATCAGAAAAACTACCAGCACACGTATGACCACCTTCGTAGAACAAACCATCAGAAAACTCATCATCACAAAAGTAACCCACGAAGATGAAACTGAATACACGTGTGTCGCTGAAGATATTCAAACATCAACCAAATTAATAGCCGAAGAAATACCATCCCCACCACAAGGACCACTTGAAGTTTCCGGTATGACGGCCACTTCATTTACGTTGAAATGGCAACCATCTCTAAGTGACGGTGGAAGTCCAATTATTGAATATATTGTTGAAATGAAAGAAAGCACGAAGAAGGAATACAAGAAAATTGGTGCTTGTAAGGGGGATATCACATTTATATCGGTTAATTACCTCGAAAAGGACCATGGATATAACTTTAAAATAGTAGCAAGAAATTCTGTTGGAGTCAGCAAGCCTTACGAACCATCAGATACTATAAAAGCTGGTTCCAGAATAAGTAAGTATATTTTTGTGTGTTAATAGAACCCCAAAATCATGCTTCTGCAACCCCGCTTTTTGCTATCTAGGAATGCATTATGATTTCAAGAAAAACGACGACACCCTTTATTGCTTGCTTGGCATATTTCCACCTTCAAAGATTAAGCATAGCAGTATGTACCTCCATCATTAAAAAAGGTTATTATTCTAACAATTCATTTTAAAAAATTCCAGCACCTCCTGGTCCACCAGAAAACCTCAAAATAAAAGAATTCACCAGCAGAACGTGCACGGTTCAATGGGAACCACCATTAGAAACAGGTGGTAGTGAAATCACCGGCTACGTTATTGAGAAAAAGCTTGAATTTATGCCCAAATGGGAAAAAGTGGTTACACTCGAAGCTTTTACGCTCGAATATACCGCTATTAATCTAAAAGAAAAAAGTGATTATATTTTCAGAGTATGCGCAGAAAATTCTGTGGGACTCAGCGTACCAGCTACGACTGATGTTGTTCATTTAAGAACTCACGCAAGTACGTCTTATTATTAAAACAAAAATGAATTCAATTAATTATTTGGTTTTAAATTATCTATAGCGGTCCCATCACCACCTACAGCACCATTAGAAATCAGAACAATAGGTCCAAATGCAGTGGTAATTGAATGGGGCGCTCCTGAGAGTGATGGAGGAGCTCCACTTGAAGGCTACAACATCGCCATTCGAGATACCAAGAAGACGATGTGGATGGAAATCGGACGCGTTTCAAAAGGTGTCCAGAAATTCACGATTAGAGATTTACAAGAGGACCATGACTATTTGATTAGGATCTTCGCGAGGAACGAAATAGGATTAAGCGATCCATTGGAATCAGAGGAACCTATCAAAATCCTTCCATCCGGAGGTAAATACAATGATTGCGTTTTTTCTCAAGAGCTTCTATGCTATGCTTTGTTAATTTCTTGCTTTCAGAGATTGCACTAACTCAGGGTATGGATTTTATAGTTCTTACCGTTAATATTTAAAAAAAATATAGATACTAATTATTTATTTTTGGAGAAGGATGGGAGTTGGCGGAGGTGGATGCTCTGTTAGGTGACGATTCAATATAACGTGTGGTTGTGTCAATGTGATTGGGGTTATTTAGTTTGATTTTTTTATTATTGTCCTAATTGTTTATTATAATTAGATGGTCACATATCGAAAACATCTTTAAAAATACGAGCATTCATGTTTTCTTTTTCTTCATATTAAAAAAAATTTTAACTAATACATTAATAAATCTTTTTGTATGGTGTCTTCAGATGTCGATCAAGAAGACTTTAGAGAAGTTACGGACAGAGATCGGTCTTACAGTACCGAAACGACGACATCTTGGATGCGCGAGGCGAACATGGACGCAGACATTTCATCCTACGCGAAGGGAACATTATTGAGAAGAGACGAGTACTTCTTCAAGATTTGGCATTATGCGAAAAAATTGTTTAAGTAAAAAAATTTAAACCAACTTCCATTTTTCATTCTTCCATACGTATTCGTAAGATGTAAATATTGTTAAAACAAAAAAATATTTCCGTAAAATCGACAATTAAAAAAAAATGTTTGTATACTCGCGACGTAATACAAATGCATACTACATTAAACGAAAGATGTTCATAAAAATGGTGAAACGAACAGCGCGAAACCATAAAATAAATGTAAGTGAATTTCGGAATAAAAAAATTAAATTTGTGTCGTCTCGCCGAATTCACTACAGTTTTTTTTTACTTTGCGGATTGCGAACCATACGAAGAGATGTTTCGCGTTAATGTTTCGCCATATATTTATTACTATTGTTATAAATATTATCATTACCGAGTACTGTGATACGGAATCAAACACGAGAAAAACAAAACTCGTATTCACTAAATAACATAAAAACACATTACTATTATTTTCTTTGTTTAGTTGATAGTAGTTCTTCTCCTAATTTGATAAAGAAGAAATACAAAATGAAATTATTATATTCTACACTATTCATTATTATAATATGTTCGATAATAATATGCCGCTTGTTACGACGTTTACCTTTCATTTTATTTTTTTTTGAAATACCTTATAGAGTGATTTTTGGTGTTTTTGGAATAGTTTCGTTTATTCATTATGGAGAGAAATATAGGTGCAAATTCGACAATTGTGAAATAAGCGAAGCTATTCTTAAAACTGATTATTATTGCTGTATTATTATTAAGTTTCAATAAATAAAATTAATAAAATTAACTATTTGTTTTTTGACTTTTTGTTAAAATTATAAAATCAAGCATTAGCCACATAACTATTTTTTGTACATGAGGGTTGTTCAACATGAAACGATGATTCTATAATCTGCAGTATGCCAGTACACGTATAGAGGGTTGAAAGGGAAGTTTTACGAAGGTCCACTAAACCTAGACGTAGGTAGACGTCGTTGAAGACAAATTTTAACAAATAATTTATTAATCAATAACATTATAAATCAATAATGTACGGGCCAAAAAAATTTTTAAATCTATATACTTACGAAAAAGAAAAGAAGTATATAATAATAATAATAATACTGCTTCTAGTCTTCTTGACATTAATACAGTAGTCAGAACCAGAACTTTCAATATAACAGATTCTAAACGATACAGAAAAGTGTTATCACTTTTACAAAAATTAGCGATATAGATAAAAAAAATGACTAGCAGAAGCAGCTAGAAAAAATAACGTTAACGAATCTTATATAAGAACTATTCGTAAAAATAAAGTCAAAATTCTAAAGTTCATAAATCTTCAAAATTTGTCAGATATTCTGAAAAAGGACCTATAGAAAATGATCAAAATCAAACCCAAAAAAGAGCCATTCTAAGCTCTGGAGTCATTAGAGATGACTATACTACAATATTCTGAATGGAGCACCCTCTTTATTAAATAGTGAACTAGAATCATTTGTGGCATGATTAGTTGTACAATTTGAAATTGCTGCTTCAGCCAATCATGAAGCAGCAAAGCTGTATGCAGAATCCTTAAAGAGGATAATTCAAAATGGTGGTTATGTAGCAAGTACATAATACAGATGAAACCAGTCTTCTTGAAGAAAGTGTCCTCAAGAACTTTTATGTCCAAAAATGAAAAAACCGCTCCTATTTTTTAAGGTGGCTAAAGACCTAACTTTACCACAATGCTAGACAAATTATACCATTGCTGATTATATAGAAAATGTTGAACAGTTCTGCCATGAATTGAAAAAATCCACATTGAATGGTTGCTGGAGGAAAATCGGTCCAAATGTTGTCACATCAATGAAGGATGATGAGAATTTGCAGAATGACATCCAGGCTACAGTAGCTTTAAGACGGTCGTTACCGGGAGATAGTTTTAATGACCATCATTCAACTGTCAGATATTGAAGAGTAACTTGAGTTACATGACTATGAACTGAAAGACGAAGAGCTGGCCGATTTAGTAACTGATCATAATCATGAATCTGACAATCATGATTATTATCATGTCGATATCTAACATCATTCAACTGTCAGATATTGAAGAGTAACTTGAGTCACATGACTATGAACTGAAAGACGAAGAGCTGGCAGATTTAATAACTGATCATAATCATGAATTCACTGACGGTGATGACTTTTCCATGTAACTAGTAGTGCTATGTTAACTCTCAAAACAGTTAATAATTGTTTAGAAATGGGAGAAAAAGTAACAGATATGCTAATAGAAAAGGATCCTATAACAGAATTAAGTTTAAAGACACAACGTGATATCCGTAATTGCTTAGCACCTTTTACAAGAGGGGCACCAAAATGAAACAAAACAGTTTAAAATCACAGTTTTTTTTATCTTATAATGCCGGGTTTATACAGAATTTAGCTGTAAATTTAAATTTAAAGATTTAGATTTAAGGATTTTATTTAGCTTTAAGAAAAAAATTGATTTATATAGAATTTAAGATTTACAGAATCGCAACCTCAAGAAACAAAATATTACTAGTTTTTGTGTTGTCATTTTCTACCAATATGTTATCTTTATGTTCAGAACATTTTTTATCGTAAATATATCGGTAGTTCTCAACAATTTTAATTAATTTTCCGTCGAATTCGCTCATTTTGTTGGCACAGAAATAAACAACAGTTGAGGTTAGGATATAACGCGCTATTAACACCGACCGATCATTGGATACCAAGGTCTATAGGTCTATATATCTAATAAAAGATAGCCTATACACGTGCCTATACTGTGGTACAGTCTATATAAAATATTTAAACCTCGCATAGTGTTGTGTTGTTCATAGAACCAGCTACGTCACTGACCCACCTTGCCTCTCAGAGGAGGAGAATCGGTATTGGGTAACCTTATGTTCTATAGACCTTGGAATAAATGCATTTAAAAACTCAACATCCCTAATTCCATATAATTCAATTTAAGCGCGATTTTACCCTCCTTTACACGGCCCAGTACGTCAAAATCAATGTTTCGACAGACATCAATAACTATTTCTTTCAATTTTTCAATGATCTACAGCNTACACGGCCCAGTACGTCAAAAATACGTCAATAACTATTTCTTTCAATTCTTCAATGATCTACAGCGGTTTTATGTACATTTTAGATTTTAAATATGTTTATAAAAATCCAAGGGTGTTAGGTCTACAGATCGACTTGGCCATAATAAACTGTCCACCATCAAAAACATTAGCATTAAGGTACAATGGCACAAGGGTTTTATCATACCCGCGTAATGTGGTGTTGCTCCATCCTGCTGCTAGGCTTTTTTTTGTTGTTCCACACTTGTTATCATTCGTGGAATTATGTTCTAATAATTGTTAATATGATACTCCTGTCAGGCAGCATGTCAGGAATATATACTTTTAAAAATTTAGTAAAGTGAAAAAATTGTACTTTTAACTGGTTTATTTTAAAATATGTCTGCTTTACATATTTTGACAATTCATTATCAGAAGCGTTATAAATTGAGACTTTTCGATACAAAATTGAGTTTATAAAAATTTTTCAAAATTACTTACTTGTTATTAGATAAAATTGACGATTAAAAACATTTTCGAACACGTTCCCAAATTAGAATTTATAAGAATTTTATAGTTAAAGGTTCTATCAAAGCTCTGCTACTCTACCTGCCCGCTTGTAAGACATATATTCAGCTGTCAATGGACTAACAAACAAATCTTTTTGTTTCATAGATTAATTTTCGCTTACAGATCTTTCGCTTTACCGTTTTGTTACGATTATCTCGACTATACTGTTAACAAATTAAAATTCAGCTTTATAAGATAGTAAAAGCATTATGATAATTTCAATAATCTAAGAATTGGTTTTATTAATATTTTATTAAGTGACGTTATTTAAAACCGGTTATAATACAGCTAAAATCAAAGAAATCGTAAATGTTGCAAATATAAACATAATGTTATTAGAAATGTTATAATCAATACAATTTATTTTATATTTAGGACGATAGAAACGAGTGCTTCCAAAACTAATTCTTCTATGATGTTTATTTTTTTGTAAATCCTTAATTTTCAATTTTTCGTGACAAACATTATAAAAATGTAATAAAAGTCTGTTCCCCAATAAACTTGTTTTCGTCGCCTTATAAACATATAACAACAGAATACTCTAAAAAACAGTTTCTTAGCTTTTATAAACATATCAATATCCCTATTACTCACAACTCTTAGAATAAGTGTTAAGCTGTATGTTATTTTAGTTTCGCTAGTATTAGTGACCAAAATTAAGCGGTAAATAAAATAAACCGAAATCGAACAATCACACACAAAAACCATCAGCATTTGACCTCCAAATAAAGTGTTGAATTTTTCGACAATTTCATACATAACCGTATATAATACAATAAAATCTTTGATTTCTAATAATTGTTCTTTTAAAATACTTTCCAATTCTTTGAATCTCCAATAAATACTTTCCGTAGCGTAAATGATCGTCGATAATATTAAAAATTGTTGCATGCGTGGGTAAGTAACCCACGTCGGATAATACCTTATTGCAGCTTCTAATCTAAATATCAACCCAATTAATAAAAGTAAACTTGATATCGTAGTAAAGTTATTCTTTGAACCAAACACGGCTTCCATTTTAGTTAAACGATTTAAAAAATCAACCCAAATTTTCGTTTTACTTACATTAAACTGGTAAATGAAGTAAATGTTTGCCGATAATGTTTGAACCGCTGCAATAATATATATGTATTCGTAAGGATTATTATACACTATTTTTTGTTGTGTTAGAAAAACCCATATAGCGATCAGTAAACATAAAATATTAACGATTGATACACCTTTAAAGAAATTTTTGTGTATCACATCTTGTTTTTTTAACGAATACATTGGCAAAATACCACAGGTATTAAATACCAATTGAAAATGTATAAACATTGATGTTGTTATACCCATTTTTATACATATATTATTATTAACTTCAAACTTATAATGAAATTGTTGTTTACATTCATACTAAAGGTTATGACGTTAAAGTATGATTTTAGGTCAAGTATTTTGTGGAATTTAGATGTGTAAACGATGATAATAAATAAATAATTCAAATATACAGGTCGCTGATATGTGTGGAAACGGTCAGTTATCTCTTAAAGTAAGATAGCTAGCGAGAAATGTTAAGATACAAAAGTTTTAGTGTTTTTTAAAATTTATCACAATAAAGACAAATTAAGTGTACAGGTCAGTCAAAAAGTGATGACGAAACAAAGTTACGTTCTCTTTAATGGAACATCCTGTATATTATTCCATATTTCAATTCATCTCGAAATTCTAAACAAAATTCATGTATTTTGTTGAAAATTGTTTTCATCCATGTTGCGAGTGTAAGATTAAAAATTTGACAAATTATTAATAAAGAATTAATAAAATTAACAACTTTTGACTTGCTAAAATAATTTATTTACTCAGAACCGGTTTCAAAACATAAAAAGTTTCATCTTCAGCTGAATCTACATATAATGGAGACAGAAGAAAATCACTTAAAAATAAAAAAGAGTAATAAACTAAACTTACAGTCAATAAATTAAAAAATTAATATAAGATGTTAAACGAAATATTAGGAAGAACATTAGCTGATAAAAACTTATTAAAAAAACTTAATAAAACACACAATCGTCTAAAAATGGCAACGCGAACATGAACACGATAACAATTGTAAGGCGAACAAATCCAGGACTGCTAACAGTATAAGAACAAGAAAACATTGAAGTCAAAAACGAAGGAAATAACAAACGGAGATGAAAAAAACTACAAAAATAAATAAAAATATAAATTAATTCCTATAATTCCATCCCAATTAAATCTTCTCCGTTTCTTACAATAAATAAAAACCATTAACCAAATTTCAGAAAAACATGTGTAAAGTGGAATATAATTGATCATTTAGTGTCATATATTCATTATTATTTGTTGCTCTATTAATTTCAAGAGATTCCAAAAGATCCAACTTGAAACCTTTCTTACATTTATGCAATAATCTTGTTTCGTTGTAATTAACTTTATGTCCAGTTTCTAAAATATGTTTATAAACATTGGATTTTGGATTATTGTTATGTTCCGCTAGTCTAGTCTATAATTTACACCCAGTCTATCGTACGTAAATAGCATTGCAATTAGAACAACCGATAAAGTATACTCCGATTTCATTTAAGATGTTATTATTTCCAAAATGGTAATTAGATAATAAATTGTAAATACTATTCTTAGAATTCGAAAAAATTGTCGAACTGAAAGTGATTTCTCAAAACGGCTTTTTGCATTACAAAGAGGATACTTTAATTGATAATTGGTGATATTTCCACAAGGATCCTTAAAAAAATTAATTTTATAGCGAATTTTGAAAATTATCGATGAAAATTGCAACATCGAAAATTATTCAGGAACCAATAAGTTAAAGAGGGGGGTAGAATATCAGGTTAAACAATGACTTTAAAGCGATTTTTCGTCGATTAAAGCGATTTTTAAGCGAAATGATGATTCTTGAATTGTACCTAAAAGAAATCTTTTACCGAAAACTCCTCGCATCCTTACAACTGATGTGTAAATGAAACAATTCCCTTTGTTCGACGCTTTCGATTAATCCCAATGGGATGTGATGTTGGGTGTCGCATAATTGAACGTAAAGCCGGTAGCTGGTTAACACTAAAAGTCCGTCGACGGAGGTTCCGGTTCTTGTAACTGATTCCCCAGCTAAAAGCACGAAGGGGAGGTCGATTTTATCAGCGGTAGTAGGCGGCATTGGGTACATCTGGATGGGGCGCACGTGACAAATCGAATTCGGCTGGTCCGTGGTGTCCATCCTCCAAAAACCAAAAAATAAATACTCAAACACTTTTGATAACATAACAAGTCACACAAATTTAATTTCCTCCTTTATTTTAGTAACAAAAACGTGATTATGGATTATCTTATCAGGGGTTTTGATGTTTTCGTTGGACATTAAGGNATGATGAAGAGCGAAGAGAAGAAAACTAGACAAAACTGCAACAAGAGATTTTATATATCGTATTGGGATTGTTACAATGAGGTTGCTAATGATAAATAAAGTTGTATTCAATGAAAAATGTCCTATTGGGGTTGAACTTGATTATTATCTGCAGTGTCCAACACCTAAAAGAGATACTAATTCCTGTGAATGGTGGAGTACTAAGTAATAGGTTTTTAATATCCGGCAGAAGCCGGATATCCGGCCGGTTTTATAAAATTGCCGTATAGGCTGGATACCGGATACTTGCCGAATATCCGTTCCACCACTAATTAACAGAATATAAAAAAAACAAGAAGAATCAGTAAGAAACAGAATAGTGATTGACATTTCAGAAAATATCTAGCCTATGCAAAAGTATGTGTAAAATGTCAAGGAAAAATAAAAACAGTAATACTACTGCACATACTACAGAGTTTTTTGGCTTTGAGTGTTATAGATCAATAGCTATTAAGAGTAAATAAACTTTTGTTTGATCCCATTCCAGTTCTCAGCTAGGTTACAGTCATTAAAAGTGGTTTCTATGGTGTAAAGAAGTTCTTCATGTTTTTAGCTACAACCTTATACAAGATATTATCTTCATGACTGAATTGAACACGATTTTGGGAATTAAAATAACTTTATTTACGTATCAACGTTATACATCAAAACGTCTGTCGCCGTAAATAACCATATTTCCATTGTAGCCATTTGTATATTGTCTTATCTATAGGCAGCGCAATTTATATTGAACACAATATTAGTTAAGCAACTTCCAGATTTAATATTCCAACGGTCCATATTCCCAGAAGAATTGTTACTTTTTTGTGTTTAAAATACCTCATTTATTATTTTTGGTGGAAAATAAGAAAAAATTAGTTACTTTGATAAAATATATTTTAAAATATAACATGATTAAAAAAAAATGAAAACAATAATTGGTTTACAAGATTTTTTAAAACGGTATTACGGATTTTATTTTTATAAATAAATAATGAAATATATAATTATGTAGAAATACGACAAACAGGATTCGAAAATAGAAAAAATAAAATTGATAAAACATGTTCTAAAAATCATAAACGATCTTAAATAATTAAGGACGATAATGTTGATGGATAAAATTAACACAAAAAGAGTTATTAATAGAGAGATAATCACTTGCTTCTAATAAAAATACTACGAGATTATAAAATGAAGTTACATAAATTACATGCAGAATACATAATTTTACGTATTGTCTAAAAAAAGAATTAATTAAAAAAACTACATATACCAGGACTACTTAAGTAATAACTGTAAATAATTCTAACAGTAATAATTACTTAAATAACACAATTTTTAAGGCTGCGCATCATAATCACAAATTCGGTTTCATTCTTGTGCTTACAAATTTTTAATAAAAAAAAGAAAAAGCACCTCTTATTTGTACTTCCCCTTTAATTCATATTAAGGCCTAATATTCTAAAGACATCCTTCATTGAACGAAGAATACTCACAAAAAATAAACGTAAACTAGGCACCGTCGGCAAAGCACATTTTAATACTTCATAATAAAAAATTACAAAAAAAATAATCACTTCTTCATCAGAGATCTCACTTTATTGACACACTTGTCCATAAAGTTCCTTTTACGTTTCGAGTCGCTCGTGCTACTCTGCAAGCTGAGAGTCGACGACTTTTTGCTCATATCACAGTTTTCATCTGAAATGTCGCTTAAATCGGGTTGCGTTTCTTCTATTTTTACTTCACAACCGTCTTCCGATTCGACAACAGCAGCATCATTATCAATAATAGAAGCTGTAGACGGTGGGGAATCATCTGGCTCGGAAATAATAATTTGAGTGGTTTCGGGTACTTCCGAAGAAGACGGCGATGATAAAACGTCCGTAGAAACAGTAGTCGGTTTCACTTCTTCAACTTCCGCGTCAAGAAGTCCATCTAAACTACGAGATCTGTTTGGTGGTTGAGATTTTTTTACTAGTGGCGATATTGGCGTATGTGAACCTCTACGATCTGTAGGTATCGGGTGTTGAGGAGGTAAACCAAATTTTCTAGCTGTCATTAGCCATGGACGGGACGGATTTGATGATTTATAAAACCTAAAAATTAAATATAGATTAATATTTTTATTCAAATTTATAATACTGGTTCAAAAAGAGATGACTCTTTCAATATCATATTTTTTCTGCAATTGATACTAAATAGTTGCTTATGTACAACTTGGCAAAGTTATCTTGTAGGTATAGTCCCAAAAAGTTAATACCCTAACATTAATGTTTATGGTTACGCAAAGATGAAGTCAAAAATTCATAAGTCTTAAATTTGAAGATTTGAAGAAACCATCTTTAAAATATTAAATACCAAGTAAATTTACTTTAAATTGCTTTTTATTTCATGATGATATCTCAATTAGTTTTTGAGATATATTTTTTTTAATGTGTTCTTAAAATTTAGAATAATCAAATATGAGACATTAGATTTTAAAAATCATAACAATGATGTTTATGGAAAATAAGAAATTATTTATGGCACATTAAATCTTCATCAAATTTGCTTTAAAATGTTCTTTATTTCATGATGATATCTCTATTAGTTCTTGAGATACGATTTTTTAAATTTATATTTCGCCAATAACAATCAAAGATGTAGCGTTGGGTTTAAAAAATCATAACAACGATGTTTATGGAAAATAAGAAATGAATTATGGCACGTTCAATCTACATCAAATTTGCTTTAAAATGTTCCTTAGTTTATGATGATATCTCAATTAGTTTTTGAGATACGATTCTTTTAAGATCTCTTCTTAAAGTTTAGTATAATCAAACATTCCAAGTTAGATTTAAAAAATCATAACAAAGATGTTAATGGAAAATAAGAAATTATTTATGGCACATTAATTCTTCATCAAATTTGCTTTAAAATGTTCTTTATTTCATGATGATATATCTCAATTAGTTTTTGAGATACGATTCTTTTAATATCTCTTCTTAAAGTTTAGAATAATCAAACATACCAAGTTAGATTTACAAACTCATACCAACGATGTTTATGGAAAATAAGAAATTATTTATGACGCATTAAATCTTCATCAAATTTTGTTTAAAATGTTCTTAATTTCATGATGATATCTCTATTCGTTCTTGAGATACGATTTTTTAAAATTTATATTCATAGATAACAATCAAAGATGTAGAGTTGGGTTTAAAAAATCATAACCACGATGTTTATGGAATATAAAAAAATATTTATGGCACATTAAATGTTCTGCACTAAAATGTTCTTAATTTCATGATGATATCTCTATTTGCTCTTGAGATACGATTTTTTTAAATTTATATTTACCAGTAACAATCAAAGATGTAGAGTTGGGTTTAAAAAATCATAACAACGATGTTTATGGAAAATAAGAAATAAACTATGGCACGTTCAATCCACATCAAATTTGCTTTAAAATGTTCCTCATTTCATGGCGATATCTCAATTCGTTTTTGAGATACGATTTTTTTATATCTCTTCTTAAAGTTTAGTATAATCAAACATATCAAGTTAGATTTAAAAAATCATTACAACGATGTTCATGGAAAATAAGAAATTATTTATAGTGCATCAAATTTGCTTTAAAATGTTCTTAATTTCATGATGATATCTCCATTAGTTCTTGAGATACGATTTTTTAAAAGTTGTATTTCATATCTATAACAATCAAACATGCAGAGTTGGATTTAAAAAACCATAACAACGATGTTTATGGAAAATAAGAAATTATTTATGACACATTAAATCTTCATCAAATTTACTTTAAAATGTTTTTTGTTTCATGATGATATCTGAATTCGTTTTTGAGATACGATTCTTTTAAGATCTCTTCTTAAAGTTTAGTAAAATCAAACATACCAAGTAGGGTATAAAGTATCGTAAGAACGATGTTTATTGAAATTAAAAAATTGTTTATTCCACATTTAATCTTCATGAAATTTACTTTAAAATGTTTTGTATTTCATCGTAATGAGTCAATTCGTTCTTGAAATACGACATTTTAAAATTTTATGGTTAAAATCTACACTAATCAAAAATGTTGGGTTGGGTTTTAAAAATAATAACAAGTGCATTTAATGGGAATTAAGAAATTATTTATGGCACTTTGAGTCTATATTAAATTTGCTTTAAAATGCTTAAAATTCATTTCGTCATTACATCTCTGTGGTGTAAGTGGTAAGTGGTTCTTGAGATACGATATTTTAATAGAACTGATTAATAAAACTATAAGCGTTAATTGTCAATACGTCGGCTAACTGATTGACTTCACTTATGCTCAAAAACCTCATTTGTGAAGTACTTTTTGCAAATAACATATCAGATCTTTACATCTTGTGAAGTCGCCGAAATCTACAACCTCAGGCTACACTTAATGATAATGTAGACTGATTTTGATCTCTTCTAATATGTTGAACCTTTAAAACGTTCAGAAATGTACATCCTTAGTATAAGGTCTGGTTCTAGCAAACAATATGCCATTTTTTAGTTCTTTATTATTTGCTATGACGCATTTGACATTCCAAGATAGAACCAAGATAGATTTGCCAAGGTGTATTAAGAGATTTAGAAGATGAACTTTAACGATTGCAGAAAACATAATAAGCATCATTGCCAGAAAATATGATACCCTATATTTTTGAATCATTCTGTATTAAGTGATTAAGTTGTTAGGCAAAAACTTAAAAATTATTATAAGATTTTTTTAGTACCTTTGGGGTAATTAGAAGTCAAATTAATTTTTCATGCGTTCACATCGTACCTAGGTAAAGGTGAAGGTGCGACCGAGGCATGGGGACCATCTAGTCAGTCCCGATTGCCGTTAACATCCTTATCCCCTTTCCCAGAATCGTTACTATGCATCCTTTGGTAAACGGGAGGACGCGACAATCCAGGATTTGAAGGAGTACCCGGAGTTAAATCGCCTTTAGCCATTCCAACACGACTCAGTGAAGTGTCATTTTTCGCGTTTACTTCACCACGCATGAACCTGAAATAAATTACAAATTCGAAAATTATTAATAAAGTTAGCAAAAATATTTGATTTGAAAAACATTAAAGCGTAAGTGTGATTGAAAGCGTATATGAAAGAATTGGAGGTATTTATAAAATTTAATATGGCCTTCGAATGTATGAAAACCTGTTATAAATAGTCGTTTGATGTGAATATGAACGCACAAACAGTGTGGGCTTAAACATAAGCGGTCGACAAAAGATTCTTGAAAAGCTACAACATTTAAATTTAAAAGGATTTCTTTTGTATAAACAAAAAATTCTTACCTAATGGAATAAACCGTCACCAAACGTTTAAAATGATTGAGTTTCGGCGCAACTATACTTGAATAACTATACATATAGCAAATATAAATACCGCCAATTTATGTTAATTGTTGCAATTAATTGGGATAGGATAAAAGGATTCGTGTGAAAAGAAGACAATATTACAAAGAAAGGAATAAAATAATCTGTGTACTGTGTATCACATTTATTATTATCAACAGAACAAATATATATTATAACATATATATCATAAAATATAAAGAGATAAAAATTAAAATACTTGGTAAGAATAACTAAAGTGGCATATATACTAGGAAGTGTGTAATGCTGTTAGTATCATTGGAATGTTAGATGACAATTAAATTTGATTATTTATACTTAATCAAAGAAGAAATCTTTGTTTCTTATTTGATCAAAGAAATTAATTAGAATTAATTAGAAACCACTAAAAAATCCAAATTGCTTTAAAAGTAATTAATAAAAACATTAATAAAATTACCCAGTTCACATTATTAGCAATTAATTAAAGCATGGGGAATTAGAAAATCTAGTATTTAAATTGAGATAACTTGAAAGAAATTTTGATACTAGTACAATGCTACATCTAACCAGAAATGATTAAAAATCTTGTAGTATAGAGTATAAACAACATTTAGTTCAATTGGTATAATGTGAATCAGGTAAAACCATTTATAAAGTAGTGATCCCTTTTATACCACAATTTCCTTCTACTTTATTAGCGATTGCTTTAAAAGTGTGATTAGAATCTTGTTTTAATAACATCAACTTCAATAAAAAAATAACCTACTCATGCAAAAAGTTAATACTGTTGAATAATATTATTTAACAGGGAAGAAACATCTAGGTACTTATTTAATCAATTATTTACAAAAAATATATATATTCGAATCACTGCCATTAATTAAGCTGCCTTCATATTAAATTATTATAATTAGCTTTGCCAAAACGCAAAACCCAATCAAAAATTTATTGTGTACTCCGTACTAACCTTTCTAATTTATCCACGCAAGCATCCTGATAATCGTGTATCCATCTGACCCCGTTAAAATGGCACACCTGACGCATATCTTCAGGCAAAACATCCGTTTCGGGCCAAGCAAAATTGTCGATAATAGGTATGATGTTGCATTGTGCCTGTAAAGCTGCCACGATTTCCCTGTGAACCCAGTCTTTCTTCTCAACGTCCCCAACGCACCTTTCGAGAGCGTTCGGGGTAAGCACCAAAAGAAAATGTTTTGCTTTTTGAATACTTTGAAGGAGATTGTTATCGAATTTTCCAGCCTCGAGTCGTTCCACGTCAATGAACACGCTAAAACCGCGTAATTGTAAATGGACTTTGAGTAAACTGGCCAGTTGAGAGCCGTTTGAGCGTCTGTAGCTGACAAAAACGTCGAGGGGTTTGTTCATGTTGTCTTCGCTGACGCTTAAGGAGTTCTTTTCTGCTGCTTTGATTCCTTCCATAATACGAGCACGATGAATGGAATTGGTTATGCCACATTCTTGAAGCAGCTGGTCTTCAGATAAAGAACAAAGGGAGTCTTTACTTCCAACTCCTGCGTTTAACATGGAATAAGTGTACATTCCGTAATCTGGACCGAGATTTTGTAGGAAATGATTGATGTTTGCTATATCACGAGAAGTGTAATCTGCGAGTTTTTTGAGCTTTATTAATTCACGAGTGAATCTACATGAAAAAAAAGCTTTATTTAATACGAATCAAATAAATCTTAAATAATATTACCTTTTTCTTTTAATTCCATTTGCTAAACCAATATCATCAATTAAGTTTTCTTCAGTTAATTGCAACAATAAATCTCCATCAACTCGGCTTTCAACAAAATTCGTAGCGACTTCACTAAATCCAATTTGTTTGACCCATTCTTCAACATCCTCAACTGACCATAAAGGCACCTGTTGGCTTAATTTGTGTGGAACTTCTTCGCCAATTAATCTTAAAGCTTGCGCAGCGTATTTGGAAGCAACAGCATTAGGAGAACTTGCGACCCTTTTCAAAGATTCAATTGCACCGATTTCGGCAAAAATATTCGTATTGCATTGTTGCTTTTTAATTCCAGCCTCCATACAAAAATGGAAAGCGGCTAAATTCCTAGCTTCTTCTCTTTTAGAACTCAAAACCGGTACAAGATGTTGTAACCAAGTTTTGCTTTGACCATGTGCGTGAGCTAAATTGGATCTTGCAAATTCCGATGGATTATGAGACGTAACAAAAGGTTCAACAAGTCCTAAAGTTCCCGATTGTATCACTTCAGCTTCGATTTCAGCGTTGGCTACAAGAACTGTTATTGCTAAACAAGCGTAATATTTGATGTTATCGTCGGTGTGAAACGCTAAGGGGAATAACCACATTGGTACTTTGCGTTTGATCATTGCTTCTTGATTTTCAGCACCACCGTATAAACTTAAATTTGCTAATGCGCCAGCGCAATGTCTTAAAGTTTCGACGTCTTTTTTTCTGCATTCGAAAAGTAACGCATCTAAGCCGCCTAAACGAATGACGTCACTACAGGTTTCTTCGCTATGTTTAAACAAATGTTCTAAAATTCCTGTACCGATTCGAGAATCATTAACGGTATTTGAATTTTTCGTGCAAACGCAAGCAACATGAACGACTTTATCTAATCCGTGTGCGACGACGTGTTCCCTATTTTCAGTGGTAAGACATTGTTCAAGTAATTTTGCGCTGGATATCTTAAGTTTGTCGTCGTCATTGATGCAATTAGCTATTAGTAAATCTAAAAGGCCGCATTTTCTCATTGCGTTGCAAAGTTCGTAGCCGAGTTCGTGACCGTGAGTTGGCACAGCCCAGGCTTTACGCATTATATCGTTCACTTTCTCCAGTAGGTTACAAGACTTTTCGCCTTGCATATCTTTCTGTCGAAGACATTGGAAGGATTTGTCGAAATAAGCGGCGTATTTCTGTATTGCTTTGACTATGTCCTCGTTATTGGAGTTTTGGGATAATTGTTCCAAATCGTCCGCGGACATGTTTATTAGTTCGTCTTCTATTTTTGATGAATCGTTAAGTTGGAACTGAAAAATTTTATTATTGGTCGTTAATTTTTTGAGATTTTCAAATAGTATTGGGTTAAACTTCAACATAACAATTTAATGTCTTTTTAATATCATGTGTCGTTCAACGTTAAACAGTAACTAAAAATAAATGATGAATGAAAATAAATTTTAAAAAAATACTATGAATAATAAGTAATAGAGAAAATTAGCATACAAAGGAGGAAAAAAAAATTAGAATTGTATATACCTGAGCAGCCGATGATAACAACTTTGAGCTAGCCGAGGTGTGTATTCCTTTAGTTGTAGCAGTGAAGGAAGTTGATTGTGAAGATGAACTATGTTGTTCGTTGTAAACCCCCGAAGCTGTAACCATTTGTTTTCGTTGGTTTGCTTCGCTTTGTGTCTTCTCTTGACTAAACGTGTCTGTGGTAACTTTCATCGTTGTGTGGGCCATATTTTTCGATTCTTGTTGACTTATATCACCGGCTATCAATGATCTAGCTTCCTAAAAGCAAAAGATTGACACCATTATAATGATTATTATTGCATACCAAAACCTTGTCTTCAACTTGTGGAAATGTTTCCATCGAATTCATTTTGACAGGCGCGATGGGAAACCGTGGGGATTGGTCGCGCATTCGAAAAGTGCCCCTTCTAATTGGCCACGGAGCCGACATGTTGACCGCGCGAATTTCGAGAGAAAAGTGTGAATATTTAGTTTTTGGCGCGAATCGAACTCGTAATCGCGTGTTTTATTTGTGTCGCTTATCTAACTTGGTAGTCAGAGTCGTCGCCGACGTATTCGCCCGTTTATCTCGACGTGTTAAGTCTATTTTCCCTCATTCGGTCCAAGTTCAAGCTCGCGCACTAACATTCGTATAAAACCGAGTCGTTGGAAATAGACCAGAAAACCTTAAATGTTTTTGTTGGCCTGAACTGACGCCAAAACGAATTGTTGACGATTTTTGATACCAAGCTTCATATCTATTTTATTTTTTTCTTGTTGTTATCAAAGAATGGATTTATTTTGTGTTGTGATTTAAATAAATTTGTTTTGTGCGAATTTTTTTGCTTATATCGATCTATTTTTATCATCTTACATACAATTTCCAAGTTATTATCTCATAAACATTTAATTTGGTGAGTGAACGATAACAATTTTAATTAAAAATATCTCAAACACTAAAAGATACTTACGCAAACGAAGCTTTTCATTAAAACGAACTCTCTTGTATTCAGTGTTAATAACCGAAAAGGTTTATATTGAAGATTCTTTCGTGTTTACGTTCGTGCGCAAGATTAAACATTTTCAAACATACCTCTTTGTTCGATTGAAATCTCGAAACGCCTCTAATTACATTACACGCCACTGCATTCTGCCGGTGGAAAATGACACCTTTAGTTTCATTTATGCTAAAAGGGTGGATCGCACCCTTTAATCTAACGGCGATTCGGGTAATTTGCCACACCATGACGTGAGAAGAACATGGCGACTGAAACGGCACTGAATCTGAACGTTTATGGTGGAGACTTGGGGTCTGATATCGACCGGAAAATCTATAATGTTTTAGTGGTTGGGTTTTCGTGACAAACCCCAAGAAAGGTCAACTAAATCTACCAAAATTTGTTGCAAAATTAAGCCAATGGTGTTTGAAATTTAACTCAATTTGCTATTATTTTAGATAAATCTTATCGTTTATGATTAATTGATGCTGTTATTAATAGGTGTTGATTAATTGGATGTTGATTCTATGATGCTTATTTATCTTTAAAAGAAAAACAAGACCTTCAAATATTTACTAAAGTAGTGTCGATTTCCTTCACCTTTTCTCGACTAAAACACCGCGACATCGTGCATTTTCTTCGTCTTCTTCTTTTATCCTTGACCTGTCGGCCGGTCAGAATGTTATTCAGGTCGCAGTGGCGTGCGGCGTTTGGCACACCTTAATCCAGGTGCGGCTCTCATAAACGATGTAAATAAAAGCGCTGAGACCGTTTTAATATTATTTTCAATCGTTGAACAGAAAAAAAGTCGGTTTCGTCCATCTTTACTCACTAATTATCTACCACAATTTACATACCGAACTAATCAATTTCAAAGTGACGACCTATCATTTTGCTCAAGGCAAGGAACAACGTGTTTATGTATTTATTAGTAAGAGGAGAGTATTTCATAAATTATAATATGAATATATGAGATCGTTGGCATGAATAGTTAAGGTGTTAAATGTTGAACTATAAATAAATATTATCCGATTCATAATCGAGTTTCTAACATTTTTTTCTAGGTAGATAAGGTTACGATAAGATTATATCCTGTTATGAAAATAATATTTATTAGAACAACTTCTCGTCATTTTGTTATCTTTTTTTTCTTTTGGCCAGATATGTTTAAATAGATCTAGTTTAGATAATTGTAATGATTAAATGGCGTGTTAATTAATATTTAAAACACTTTATAAATAAACCAAAAAAGCGACTAAATTTCACAATTTTAGTACTGTATCTAAATTAGCATCTTTAACAATAGAACTTTTAACAACACATGACCTATTTCACTTTCTAGAGGGCAACCTGTCATAATCGTATTCATTGTTTTTAAATGAAAATGGTCAAATGGATCACGTTTTTTTTTTTTCGATTTAATCACTTAGAGTGTCAAAAAGGAATTTGAAAAAAGGAATTGGTAATGCAACCTGAATGTAACAAAAAATTTAACTCACCAGACACGAGCTTGAATAAATTTTCAATCAACCGCTTTGATTTGTTGTAAATTAATTTCAAAATAGCATATAAAGAGTTAATGAAATGTAAATTGTGAATCCCCCGTATAATATGTCTATTAAACGATGACGGTTAAAATGACTTTAATAAATACTTGTTGTGAAATTAATCGCAACATCAAAGGGCTTGGGGCTTCAAATCAGGAAGTTATTTGTAACTATGATTAAGAACATTACATTGGAGAAAAGATTAAGAGTTGTCTTGAAGACTCTTAACATGGTAAAGTTCTCCACTTTTTTTGAATCTTTCTAATGAGATTAATTTATGCATTATTCAATCAATTATTTTCCGGTTATTCAATCGAATATCAAGTTACTGGATTTGTTATTTGCATTGAAAACTGCTACAAAAGCTATAAAACCTGCTATAATCACTTACACCAAAATTTTGTGTACTTTCGACATCAATCTTAGATTTCCTTTGTGAGCAAGACCATTTGAACCAGTCAAGATATTCTTATTGACTCCGACAATAAACGACTAAAAATCAAGATCAAACTTAGGAATGCCAACAAAACCTGGTGTTACAAAGCCATCGATGGTATCAGAAAGGTGGTACTTATCATGAAAGGTTTTTAAAACAATTAAAAAAAAAAATCTTCTAACAATCAGACACACTCAAAAAAGGGAATGACAAAGAAATCTGTACGGCAAATTACCGCTAAACACACCAGCTTTCATTTTGAATTAAAAACGTACTAATAACTTACCAACTCATTCGACAACTCGAAAAATGTCCATACATTTGTCTCACATTTTTGTGTCAATACACTTAGAGGAACCCTACAAAGTGATATTTTTACGCCAAACTAGAATGTTAAGTTCCCCTACTAAGACAAAGATTATAACGATGGTTGTTTAAATTTTCGAAGTGATAATATTGATTCTGACAACGTCAGTTATCAGTTACGAATGGCATAAGCTATTTTTAATTATTTCAATACCAGCTCTAGCACTACGAAAAAATAATATTTTATAACATAAACTTGTCGAGTTTATATCTGTACAAACTTCATATGTTGTCATGATCTTATGCCAATCTTATAACTCTTCGTATGATCAGGAGGATTTTTCTATTCAGGTTATTGTTCTTTGGCACAATTCGCACGACCAAATATAACCTGTAGCATCAACTCTCATTTTAAACCTGTCACAACGCTGTGACAATTAGGAAAAAGTTTTAGTCACCCAAAGATAACTATCTGGTTTTGATGATTATCTGAATCATGATAATGCCCAACTATGTTACCATTTATGCCAAATGCGGTTACGTTAACAGCGGAAGATTAAATAGTAATAAATTTTGAATTCATTTTAAACCGACACTCTCAGAAGAAGAATAAATCCCAGTCATCACCGACACCGACATGGATCAAAGATGGACCGACAGCCAAACCAAAGAGTTGATGACAGTAAATGTCACAGTCAAATTTGTTTTAGTTGTACAAAACTTTGTTTCTTGGGGAGTCAAGGAACAACTAGGATAACATACAATACCCTCCATAGCAAGTAAGGAACTTTTCCTGGAATAAATTGATCGCAGAAATGAACAAAATTTGTTTGGATACATCCCGAGCTATTTTCAGCTCATTCACACTTTCTCCACAATCAAACCCAAAGATCTAACACTAGAAAAATCACCCCCATGCCACTCTCACCGAAAACCTTACATCTGTGTCATCTTCCTAGGATGGATCTGAGTTTTCTAAAATAACCTAATCTCTAGTTTGGTCTTAAAAGTAAAACAGCTCATTATACTCGAATAGAGCAGGATTATTTGTATCTAATAAAGGAGCAAAATACAAATTTTAACTCAATTTTAACAAGTGCCTACGAAATCCCCTCAAAAGAAATTGTATATGGTAAGTGTTAACTTTAAATTCGTAATGCATATCATCTATAAAAGAACGATTGATTCCCAACTTAGGTTTTGTGACACTCGGCATGTTATTATATAATACAAAGAATTACCTAAAACCGAAAATAAAATAGTGAAGTTAACAAAGTTAACAAGATGGTTCAAAGAATTCTTGCCTAAATCTTTGAAACACCTCTGAACTACATTAATAAAAATAAAAAACAAAAAGAAAGTACAACGAGCTCACTATTAACAAATACTGTTACTACGTATTTGAATTCTGTAGGTTAACAAATATGGCATAGGAATGCCAAGAGCGGAGTTTGGTTGTATACTTCAATATCTAAAATTCAATGGAATAGTTTCAAAAACTGTTATCAAGTTGCAGTCATTTCAAAGAGAATACAATTTTTATAGAGTAAGGTTGAATAAGTTTAACTTGGCGTACTCGTGTAGTTGTTGTTGCTCATTTTTCGTATAACCTTTCTAAATGTTATAACAATCATAAATTTGATGAAAAGTTTGAGAGAAGTGGTAGTGTTTGTCATTACAATGCTGGTCGTCGAGCAAGTGTGCAAATATCGAGAAAACATGAAGTGTTCTTCAAAATTGCCCAAAGATATTAATCTTTATAATGGGTCGGAATTAATTGGGAGACTTTCCGACAAATTGCTGTTCCTGAAGCTCTTTTATTGCAAAATTCAAACTCATCAACCACTGAATACCAACCCAACCCTATTGTCGATACTATTGATAAAGATGAATTTGATATGAATATGGTTTGGTTTAGTGAAGTAATATTGATGTTTTCCAGAACTGTATAAAACGTTCTTACCACTCAATACAATATCAACCTTAAATGAGTTAACAAAAAATGTAGCGCCTTGGCTGCAAGCGACCTCGGCTAAATCTATAGAGAAAAATGTGCGATTGTGTTGAACTAAAACAACTCTTAATCGATTAAGAGATAATGAAGCCTAACATATAAGTTCAATTCCAGTTCATGCAAAAAGCTATGCAAAACTTCAAACTTCTCTTTTACACTGCAGCGCATTGGTAACAAATTGGAAATCATAAGAAAATGTTGTGTTCATGCCTTTGATCAAAGTACATTTTAAAAATGTTTATAATATACTATAATGGTGACAACATAAAATAAAAATTGCAAGATAACGGAGCGCTCATTATTTACCTTTGAGATACCAAACATTCATATTAAAACTATAAAACTAACGTAGTTAAGCATATTTTGGAACTCTGCCACGTCAGAACGCGTGCATTCCAGAATTAAAGAACAGAGATAGATCATTTACGATAGAAAGTTAATAACCTGATTTAAGCCTTAGAATTTGAAATTTAATTCAGAACATTAGCTGCATTACTCGATACATATTTAATATATTTTTCGATGATTCACTCCAAATATATTTTAGAAGTAATCTTTACCCCAATTTTAGAGTTAATGCTAATTACTTATGCAATAGTGAAGGTTTCATTTTTCTGCAGATCACCGGAAAAGGTCTTATAAACAACCTACCACTTAATTCTTATCAATAATGTTGTTTCTTGTACACGTTATGAAGAAACAATTCTTTCCTTTCCGTTAACATGATTAAATCTGCAACCACGTGTAGAACCTATTACAAAAGGTTGCTCTATCAACAGAAATTTTGCTGGATGTTTGTACCAAGAAAATGCCATTTATGGTATTTGTGTTTAAATAGTTGTGTTAAACCTAAAACCTAAATATGTTTTAGGTTTAATAAGGTTTTAGGTGTTATTTTATTTTCATCGAATGTCATAATAGAATCATAATTAAAAATAGATTCAGAACCAAAATTATTTTATGTCAAAAATGAATGAAAACATTTACATAATTACTCAAGGTTTTCTCGTACTTCTTTCACGCAACATAAACAGAAAGATTAATCGAGAATCGGCTTGTCAATTTAATTTGATTGGAAACACTTGTCTTGTTATGTTGTTATGTCTAATTAAAACGAAATGTTTAAATGATATTTACCATTGCTTGAACTTGTGATTTTTCTGCAGAGATTCCATCTACCTCCAATCTTGCATGTGAACTAGCAGCTGCACTATTTTCTTCATAAGACACATCACCAGCTTGTACCCTCTTCAATTCAGCACAATTAGCACTTTTCTTCTCAGCACTAAATCCATCTTTCACAACCTGAACAAAAAAGATCAAAAAGATTAATTCGGCCCAACTATTTTTTAATGTGCTTATTACCTTTGATGTTTTATAATTATTAACAGTTTTTTGTTCGAATTTAACGGTGTCCAATAAATTAGTTGGTGAATTTAATTCCGAAGGTACTGGAGTGTCATCTGGGAAGGTGACTAAAGGCTGAGGGGTGTCGCTGTTCATATCGTCGCCGTCGACTAACGTTTCGACTGAATTAAATCTTGTTTTTGTTTCGGCGATGGTCTTCATCTCTTTGAAATTGTTCTTAAGCGATTTAAGGTCTGATTGGACGGAGGTTACTTTGCTATCGGACGTAGATGATGACTTGGTTACGTGGAATCGTTGCGAACTGGTCGTTACCGAAGAGGTTTTCGCCACGCGACTTGTCGTTGTACTGGACTGGGTGTTTGTCTGCAGCTGATTTTTAAAAAGATAGTCACCAATGAGACATGAAATTATTTTCGGATCGTATTGTGACTAGGTTGCCAAATTTAGAAACCAATGCGTCTTGAAATTTTTGGAACTAATTCAACTCACAGCTCAAAGTGTGCGTGTGTTACAACGCTTAAATGACGTTTCAGTTAAGCAATGTTATGGTCTTTAACTTCCCATTAATCTATAATTGTTTTTTTTTCGTTCAGTTTTAAGTCGCAATTTAACTTAATATGTTTATGAGTTTCAAAATAGAAAAGCAAGAACAGTTTTTTATTTATTAAATAAACATTAGTGGACGTAGATTCTAGACTGTTTCGAATTTACGATTATTTTTAACCGAGTTTAAACAGTTTATAGATGCGTCATAAAAAGCGTGTTCTCTAAATTTACTCAATTTAACCTATTTTTAAAAATACTATTCATATTATGATTATTGTTGTTTCTAGAAACTATATTCTTTTTATTTGATATTTTGAAAATCTTGAAAAACAGTTCAAAGTATTTCCGAAACATTCCACAAACTCGTGTGTGGTCAAATTCACACATATTTAGGTCAACGAGATACGAGCGGCATCGTTTGAGTGTTTAATTACAAGAGAAATAGTACGCGAACGAGCAATTGACGACTTAACTGACCCAAGAAATTGCAACCGATACTCTTTTATTTCTACAGGGTGTTTTAGTTGAAGACTCTAACATTTTCAATTATAAACAGAAATTTAATTATCTATAATTATTATCTAAAAGCTTTTAACATAATTATATAAATTGTATGATACAGTAAAATCTCGATATAACGAACCTCGTTAGAACGGACTTCGGACTTACTTTAGGTGTATATGTCTCTTAAGATGGCTAAACCCGAATGTTTCTAGTTTGAGGTCTAGTATTAAAACTAATACTAGTGATAGTTCTTATGTTAGTTGTTATTCAGGGTTAGATTGTTGTATATTTTTCAATTAACTAAAACTAGAACTAACACTAGATCTAGAACTAGAAAGATTCTAGTTTTAATGGTTATTCTGTGCTAGATTGTTGTATATTTTTTTGAACTAAAAGTAGCACTAACACTAGATCTAGAACTAGAAACGTTCGGGTTTAGCCGTCTTAAGAGACGCACGGCTAAACGTTTTGAAAAATCACTTTCAGTTCTTGAGAAATAAATTTTTAAAATGATCGACAATATTTTCGAATTTTGCAAATTTTAAAACTTCGTATAAAATTCAGTTCTTGGAATATGAGTATAAAAATTTCCCAAAATGTTAATAAAAGTGTCCTCTTTCCAATAAACCAACACGTTTTGAAAAATACCTTTTAGTTTTTGAGGAAACAGTATTTGAACTTTTGATAAAATTTTCGATGTTGCAATTTTCATAGATAACTTGCAAAATTCGCTATAAAATTAATTTGCTGAAGGATCCTTGTGGAAATATCACCAATTATTAATTATAGTATCCTCTTTTTAATGCAACAAGCCGTTTTGAAAAATCACTTTTAGTTCTTGAGAAATAAATTTTTGAATTTATCGACAATTTTTCGAATTTTGCAACTTTCGCGGATTAGGTTTTAAAAATTCGTATAAAATTCAGTTCTTGGAATATGAGTATGAAAATTTCCCAAAATGTTAATAAAAGTGTCCTCTTTCCAATGAACCAACACGTTTTGAAAAATACCTTTTAGTTTTTGAGGAAACAATATTTGAACTTTTGATAAAATTTTCAATGTTGCAATTTTCATCAATAACCTTCAAAATTCGCTATAAAATTAATTTGCTGAAGGATCCTTGTGGAAATATCACCAATTATTAATTATAGTATCCTCTTTTTAATGCAAAAAGCCGTTTTGAAAAATCACTTTTAGTTGTTGAGAAATAAATTTTTGAATTTATCGACAATTTTTCGAATTTTGCAATTTTCGCCGATTAGGTTTTAAAAATTCGTATAAAATTCAGTTCTTGGAATATGAGTATGAAAATTTCCCAAAATGTTAATAAAAGTGTCCTCTTTCCAATGAACCAACCCGTTTTGAAAAATAACTTTTAGTTTTTGAGAAAACAATATTTGAAGTTTTGATAAAATTTTCGATGTTGCAATTTTCATCGATAACTTTCAAAATTCGCTATAAAATTGATTTATTGAAGGATCCTTGTGGAAATATCGCCAATTATTAATTAATGTATCCTCTTTTTAGAGTTGCCTCGTTAGATAAATCAGTATAAAAAAAGTTCATTTTGTATCTTGGATCCAAATAAGTTGGCATATTTTACTAATATAGTACCCAGTGTCATATAACGGACACTCCCTTCCCCATATTAATTGGTTATATCGAGGTTTTACTGTATATGCAAAATTAAAATAAAATAATGTTCACTGAAGTTAAGTGGGTATTTATATTTTGTGTTCCACGAATCTTAGACACATTGCTATAAAAACAGGATGTTTCCTTGAAATGCCTTACGTTTTTGTTGGAACAAGTTCAAAATCTGATTCACTTTTTAATAACATTAAAACTATATAATTTTGTAGCAAATATTTGCTTTTACTTTTTTTTTGTTTAAACGTTATTATTTAGATTTGTAGAAAAATATAAAAAAAGAAATCGTTTTTTTACCTGTGAAGTTGTTGAGATAACTCTGGGTGAAGTGTAAGGAGTGGTATGGGGGAAGGTTGTCGTTTTCGCCATGATTACGTCGTTTCCGTTTAATGTGTCGCTCGGATGTAGGTCGCTGGCCATCTGAAAAAAGGAAGACAATATAATGATAATATATTTAAAATAATTCGTGGGAAATTAACCACAATTCATTATTAGGCAAGTAGATATAGTAGACTGAAGGTGTCCAGGATGCATTACATCGACTTTGGCAGCTATACTTAAAAGAGAACGTAGAGATAACGTTTCCCTGCCAATTATTTTTTTCTAAGTAGACTAGTGTTGGAAGGTGCCGCGTGTTGAATTTTGTTATTTCGGGGGAAATTGTACTTCAGCTATTTAAAGATTAAAACAATGTATTATTTTGTTAGATTTAATGATTAAATATTTTAGGTAACTCGAAATGAATCATGTTATTATGTCAATTTAAGTCGCAATAAAATGCCACATTTCCGCTAAATACACACATAATCAATAATAATGTCTTCCGATTAGATATAAATGGTAATTTATTGTCCTTTATCGTTTCCATCGCATCGAATTATTAAAAGTAACAACGTGTAACGTTAATACCATTGGATCGTCAATAAATAATAAAAAATAAAAGAATCATACGATAACGTTGAAGTCCAAATTTGTTGAATCCAAACGAAAATATTTCTAGGAAATATTACACATTCAATAAAATAAAAAATAACTTACAGAAAATAAAAACTTTGCTCGCGTGTACTGATGAAAATCTCGCGCATTCATAGCTACTTATTATTTTTGAAAACCACTAAAATCATTTAAAATCCTTTAAAAACCGATTAATTAAATCCGATCATTCCGTTTAGGCTCAGCGTACCTCTCGTTATCACACTAAACTGATGGCACATTCTTTTGACAGTCATACATCTTATCATAAAGATAAAGATAAAGACTATCGTCTGTTAAGATAGGAAAGGTAGGGATAGACAAAGTGATTTAATTGATTAAAATTTTTGGCGAGAATATCTTAAAAATGTATACATAAAAACTAGTACTTGTTTTGATTTGAGTCAGTTTTAAACGTAGCAATTATACAATTGTCCACGATTGCATAATCTAAATTTTAACGCTCGACTTAATGAATTCGAACGCAAACATCTTCACGGTTTTTAATAGCACAAAGAGATTATTTATTCAAAAACTAGTCCTCGAGGAAAAATGTAGGAGACTTAATTACTTAAAATTTTGTTTATCTAAGTATTGCTCAACGACGACGAAAAAGATATCAATCATTCCGACTCGCCTACAGAAAAAAAACAAAGAGTAGAATATCCCAAAATTTACATAATTGACTCACACACTCTACTCTACTACCTATTTCCTGTATTACTGATTTTTTTATTACACCTATTGAGAGAACGATGTCATCCCACGCCGTTTTAACCTTGTATCTTGTAAGTTAACCGCGATATTTCGCAATAACAATTTGTTATAAACATGTTCAAACATGTACCAGAGGAAATCGGTAATTATGATGATTGTTTGTCAAAGATTGGTTTTTATGTAATGATTCTTGTAAAGTTATAAATGTTTATGAACTTGTTTCAAACTACAATTTTCTTATCTAAACAACACAAAGTTAACTATTAGTTAAAAATATACGACATTGTTTTGCTATATTTAAATCATTTTATATTTACCACATGGCCATTGTAAAATTATAATAAATTGATGTAGTAAAATTCGAAACAAGCAGTTTTATTCCGCTATGGAAATTGACAAACAAATACTAGAAATAATCAGAAATGATAAGAAATTTTTATTTATTGAACAATGCATTTTATCTAATATTTGAATTATAACATTTTGTGCTAAGGAATAAATCATCTTGCAAGTTAAATAAGCTAAGTGCAATAAAGATCAATACCACCAACCGTTATGGATTAATTTCATTCTTGTCAAAACGAAAATTCATTAATTTTTTTGTATAATACTCATTCTTTTATGGGCACATGACATTGCTTCTAAAACATACGGAGTTGATACTATTACAATTTCTAAGTTCTTAAAGATAAGCTGCCAATCTTCCGTAACACTGATCTCACCATATACACGAACAGTTCTTTACTTCAATTTGGCAGGATTTAAACTAAATAAAGAGTAATCCCCTAGTAAGTACATACAATATGTTAAGAATGAGTATTCCAAGTTATTTTTAGTAGAGTTTGCAAAAGATATGCAACCCAACCCAACCCCACGTGAATATGTTAAAATATGTTAAGAGTATCTTATGTTTATGCATCTTTTTCCCGCATCATCTGCATCAATCATGTCCTTCAGTGCGTAAGAGTTTAGCGCTCCCACCCTTAAGTATCTTAATTAAATTATGTTGAAAAAGCGTTAGTACCAAAAATGTACTGCCCCAAAAATGACTTGAAACAACATTTCTGGGTTCACGTTTTGTTTCATGTATCACATACCCTGGGTATGTTATCAATGTTTCAACCACGACCAACAAGATAAAATCATTACTGCGAATGAATCATTCAACACTATTCTTCTAAAAGAAAAGTAATGCATCCTCTCTCCGTACGCACAGGTTACCTTAAACATTAAAATTTGCTATTAACAAGATCACTTCCTCTGTTAACCACTCTTACACATATTCATTAAAACTTAAATTTGAAGAAGTGATAGCGCTAAATATTTAATGCTGTTGGAATAACCAGACAAAAAAAGTTTATCTACGATGGGCAAGAAGAAAAATCATCGAGGTCATTCAGTACCGAAGCATTGGAACTTGCACCGTTAAAAACTGTAAGAGAAAAAGTTGTAATTGGGGCATCTAGAACTAATAAAAACTAAAACTTGGTGATCTTGGCTTAGAACAATTAACGTATAACAAATCTATGAAGCTTTATCTTTGATAGCGAGAGGGAATATAGCAAACATAAAATATTCAATTGTAATGTCACAGCTAATCTAGCTGATTAATTGATCTATTTGAGTCTATCTAATTGAAGGTGAAATTTTGTATCCTTAGTATAGAAATAATTATCTGTAACTAGGTTACGGAAATGCATCTTTAAGTATAATCTGAAAGATAAAATCTTCAATTGTAGAAACTTAATTTTTGTGGTTTTGATTAGGAATAACTATTGCATAATAAAACTATGAAGCTTATTTTTACATATAAGATCTTCAACCTTAGTCCCTTGCCTTGTGCAATATTTACTTTTTACTGATAAACTTGTTGTTCATAGGAACGTTACTTCATCAACTTATCTATTCTTTTATTTATTTCCGATTTCTGTGTACCTTTGGTACCTCTGGCTCGTGGTATTGAAGAGTATTCGAAGTATTCGAAGAGTTATTGTGTCTTCGATGCACAATAATTCTTCGAAATATTCCCTCCATCTCTTCATTATTCCTTCTTCAATCACCAATACTTCTCCTTGTTTGTTTTGGATGATCGTATCCTGATCATATCTTTGGTATTTTTCAGAATTCCTAATTCTATCCTCTCCATCAATTCCTACTACTTCTTTATATTTCTGATTCCTCTTCCTTACCAAATTATTAATATTTCCCAAGATGTATATTTCTTCCCTTCACCTCATTTACAACTTGTGTCAAATCTTCCCAAAATTTATTTTTTTCTGTCTTATCATTCTCATTCAGTCCGTGTACTATTATTACAGTATTCTTATTACTACCTTCACCTTGTTTCATTACTACTGTTATTATTATTATGATTGGTACCGGGCTGAGGGGAGCGGTCCCCCTCGTTAACGCGACTTATAAGATCTATTGTAACTTTAGCCCTCCAAAGGTTTAGGGTAAATGTAGGTCCTTGATGAACCTTAGTATTGCTCTGAGGTTTTGAACCTTTATGTCGGTAGGTGTCAAGAGAGTTTTACCGAAAATTTTGTGTATTAGACGGCCTCTGTCGACGCAATTACACAGTATATGTCCAGCTGTTTCTGACTCGTCGTTGCAAAGTCGACAAGTTTGATCCTCAGCTTGTCCAATGTTAAAGAGATAGTATTTTAGGGGCGCATGGCCGGTCAGGTAACTTGAGAGCGTTTTTAGATCCCCTTTGCTGAGGCATAAAACCTCTTTGGTTTTGTTTTGCCACAGAGTTATCCTACTCTTCGCTTGTCAGTGACCTGGAAGTTCTTTCCAGCGTAAGGCTACCTTTGAGACCTCCCAATTGTTGATTATTTGTTTTTGGTGGCTTTTTTGTAGTCCACGGCCAGGTTGGGATCCAATGAAGGGCGTGTTCGCTGGTTCTTTGGCCAGCTTGTCCGCCTTCTCATTGCCCTCAATGTTGCTGTGACCTGGAACCCACCATAGGCAAACATCATTGCCCCAAGCGAGTTCTCTCAGGTTGCTGGTACACTCTCTGATCAGCGCGGAGTCACATGTGTAGGCCTGAAGTGCCTTTAAGGCGGCCCGACTGTCTGTGAAAATGTTTATGGGTGCACTTTTCTGTCCCTTCTGTAGGTTCAAAGCGGTGCAGAAGTTTATAGCAAGAACTAAATATAGTTATAACAAAACTCGAGGTGTCCTCTGAGGTTACCCTACATCAATTTGAGTGAAGAAACTACTTTCAGTGATAAGACACTTGAAGCTGCCTCCTTTTGTATATATAAATGGCGCGGTGTGAGACCGAATAGGGCTTCCAAAGCAGTCGTCGGACAGGATCTCATTGCACCCGTTATGTTAAGACCTGCTAACCGCTGGATTTGTGCCAACTGTTGTTTTGCTGTCTTATGTTTTGTTTTTGTCCACCAAAGCAATAAGGCGTAGGCGACCATGGATCTGATTATTGCTACGTAGGCCCAATAAGCCCAATTCGTGGTTTAAAACCCCAGTTTCTTCCTAGGAGCCTGCGGCAGATCTGGTTTGCCATGATGGCCTTTTTCCTCACCTTATCTAAGTGTGAGTTCCAGATTAGTTTACTGTCTAGTATTACCCCTAGGTATTTATCTTCTGTTTTAAAGTTTTAATGGAGGATGCTTTTATTTGTAGCTTCCTTCTCCGAGTGAAAGGGACTATTTCGATCTTATATTACAACTGTTAACATTCTTTCTGAGCATACCTTCCAGTCA